CCCCCCGGCCCAGCTGGAGGATCGACACAGGCTGCACTAACGCCATACCAACCACGTCCACATCCTCCGTGCTATCCACATCTCCACCTCACATATCCACGACTTCACAACTCCCACTGCTAGTATCCTGAAGTGAAAGGTACGGGAGGTAGGTACTCGTCCACACAACTGCACAGCTTCACGATGGCACCACGGAGCTATTACAAATCGCCGCTGTTACGCAACACAACCCACATCCAACAACCACACAACCGCTCTGCTTCACCATCTCGCAACTTCATCTTCGCCACCTACCGAGTACCACCCTCTCTCTCTCCAACGTGCAAACAGAAAAACACCTCCTCGGACCCGACGCCGACAGTGTGCTCCTCTTCCCCCTTCCTCAACCAACCTTCCCATTCTGGCAACTCCCCCGACGAATGGAGCTACTCCGTATAGCATCTCTCGCGTTTTCCCCTTTCATCCTGAGCTGCAGTAGTAGGAGAGCTTGTGCCGGCCACAGCGCCATTATTATGATCTCCCTTGAGTCCGAAGGGCACGAAGGCGGCGCCACGCTAGCTCCTCAGAAGGGACACCACACAATACAATACAATAAATACTACCTACAACGTCGCCAATAATGGTCAGTAGTTGCCTGCATACCGGCATTCGAGAAGCCTCCACGCCCAGCCCAACCCGACTGACTAACCTCCCCTTCTTCTGTGCGCTGAGACTGGCGCGGGCACCACATCGCGAATTTGCGCGCTCCCTCAATACTCGAGTCTCGCGCTGAGGGAATTCGTAGCCACTCGGCAGTTTTCCGGCAGCGTCACTGGCAAGCATTCTAAGATTGGCCTACGGAGGCTTCCCCCGACGCATTTTCACTCCCGATCTAGCCAGTTCGCTCTGTCGCCATGCCCAACTCGGCCCAAGTGGAAAAGCCCCACGAAACATTTGGAAAAATGCGTGGGAGGGAGACAGCAGATCACTTCTCTATCAACACCATGACGAACATCACGAGCCCTGGCCGAGCTGGCTGCCTGGCCACGGGGCCCACCACCTACTAGCAAGCAACAGCCCAGTGCCAAGTCACTCATAGCCATGGTCATGGCCCTTAATACGGTAACGACAGTATACAGTACTGTACATGGTTCCAAGGCAAACCAGATCTGCTCCGAAATATGAAATGGGCGTGAACACCAGGGCGATCTTCCCGTGCATGGACCACCTTTTAACCAGAGCAAATAAAACCGGCTCTTGATTTTGCGTGCGTCGGACTCGAGTGGAGAGGCTAAAATATTGTGTGCAGGATTACGAATCTAGTCTTCGGAGTCCGGTACGGCGCCGTGCCTGTACCTGTAGCTGTACCTGGGCAGTACCTGCGTCGCTGTTCGGCTTCTATCCGATCCTACATTTCGGATGTTGTCCGTCGACAGGTGTGGTTGTTATTTTATTTTCGCAAACCCAATAGCCGGTCGGGCGGGAGAGTTTCAGGGCGTCGAAACCGATCCTTTATCGCCGCTATCACCGACGGGATCATATCACATATGAGAGACACCAGCAGTCCCCCCCCCCCCCCTCCCCCGGATCGGATTCGTCTAAGATCAGAACAACATCGAAGGCCTCGAAACAGCCCTCCCAGTCCAAAAACGGCAAATTCCTCAGCCCCATTAGAATAGAATCTTGGATCCAGCGCCGCACAGACGAGGCGTTCATGGCCCTTGAACCTGAACCTTGAATAGCTACAGGGCCCCAGAAGACACTAGCAAACCGGGGAGTCGAACCGCGCAAATCCCCCACAGACGCGTCAGAAGCGCATCGCAAGATTAGGATCTACTTGCGCAAGTTTTTTAAGGTGGGCAGGTGCTAAGGAGGTAGGTCTTGTGGTGGTGCCTAACTGAGGCTTGATATAAGTTATAACCTCTGGAACATCTCCATACGATACACAGGCGCCCATACACGGACCAGCCAAATCCCCGCGAGCCCCCGTATACCGGAGTCACCGAATGACCGTTATGTATGCATTAGGGTCCTGTTGTGATCAGATCAATACATGACCAAGCCCCGCCCCCAAAGGGCTACAAAACACCACCAATGAGTATTATCTCGTCTGAATGGCATTGTAATGTAGTCTTACGCGCTTACCCACAAGAATTGGCCCAAAATGGTAAAGCTTGCGAGTCTTCTCACCACCGGGGGCCACCCAACCACGGCCTAATGGATCTCAGTTGAACCAAAAGCAACATCAGATGCTATTTATTTGGGTTTCCTTTTGCCTGGGCCGTACGCCCTGCATTTGTCGGGATATATGGCCCTCCAATGCCCCATTTCGAGTGAGGCTGCTCAGGGCTCCAGGGAACAAGTGCTAATTAGAAAAAGTACCTGGGAAGATTCTAGTTGCAGGCCCTTGAGTCCCTTGGAATCACATGGTATTTTGGTATAAAGTTCCCTCAAGGGTTATTTTTCATATTACGAAGTATTAAGAAATCAATAGACTGAAAAAAGCAAAGGCCTTTGGTGCCCAACCACCCGAGGGAAGCCCACGCGTCATTTACCAACCCTCATGGTTTTATGAACAGCAGTGATACGCTGTTCATCTTTCTAGTTATTTATTATCCTACATATCTCCTGTACATTATGTCAAGAAATTTTTTGGAATCAATGAATGAGCGGGCGTCGAGTGCAATGGGCAGTAAATCCAACCATGGAACATATTAGGGGCTGATAAATAATTGCCGGTTTTCTCTGCGAGCAGAGGGATACCAGGGATTGCGAGAACCCCTATATCCACAGTTGCTCTCTGCGGTAAAAATAAGCGATCCATCTGGGCAAAATAACCATGTATATAAAATGCGAGAAAACCGCCGATTGGGCTACGAATGCCCTTTGACCTATTTCATCTCTCGAGAATTATACATCACAAAACTAAAGATCTGACTTCCAGCGCGGGCAAATCTGGGCCTAAGAGACAGCCGATGATCAGCAAACTGTTTTAGCTGTATAAAACTGCAACACAGCTAATAAATAATAATTCTCCTTGGAAATATTTTGTAATGGCGGGGTATTTGGGACATTCAGGATTAGCAAATGGCGTTGCTATCGGGAGGTGGACTTGATAGGTGTGTAGATAATAATATAGCGATAATATTTTATTTAGAGAAATTAAATTTCGGAAAACAGGGTATTAAACGGTGAATAGAATTTACTCACTTCCTCATATAAATTATATATTTTTATTATATTAATTTATATTATTTCAATTTACTATATAGGAAGGCAGGGTTTATAGAGATACGATTCCGGAAAACTTGTAAATATAAAATAAATACGAACTGACAAAACTAAAGATCCCCCAAAAAATCAATACTAATACTAATAGTTATTAATATGTAGCAGTGCAAAAAAGAAAACTCCTCAGACGGAATATCTATTTGTCAATAGACTCACAGAAGGGATGGAATGGAATGGCACGGAACTACCCGCTGAAGGGCCAAAAGTGATCGTGGTATAAGGTATATCACTTCAGCCAACCCTGCCACGTGGTATCTGTCTAGGGAGGGAGGCTGATTGCATATTTATTGACAAGAAGTACGTAGTACAAGGGCTTATAGAGGGCGCCTCCCTCTAGGTGGAGAGATCAGAAAAATAAAGAAGAGCCGCGAAACGGGGGTTTGTCTGCCCCTTGCAGCGGAAATATATGCCATGCAGAGGGAGGGTGAGGCGGTGGCTTCATGTATGGGCATGTTTGTTTTTCACGAGGGCGGAGAATTGCCGAAACATGCATGGCATGCGCTTGCGGATGTGCCGTCGTCTCGGGCATATAAAATGATACATAGCTTTTTCGCTAGCGATGGCGGCGGACTCCTGTAGTGGGATCTTGAGTCTCGCTTGGACTCATTAAGGGTTTTGTATGAGTTCCTTGTGGATAGTTACTGAAAAGGGAGGATGGAAGATGCATGAAGCTGTAAGAGTGGAAGGCAAATAAGGCCGGGTGAGGTGGGATAGCCGGGGGGGGGGGGATTTTGATGTGTTGATTTGGAATTTGGAAGGGACAAAGGGATGATAGGAAAGAAACAAAAACAAACATTCGTAGAAGAAAAGGGGAGGGCGTGGCGTCAAATAGGAGGGAAAATATTGTTTAAATGCTCTGTTTTCTCTTCCTTGGTTGCTTGTTGGATTGTTAGGCTCTTGCCTTCATTACCCCGAAGAAGGCGCTGCATCCACAGTAGTGCTGGACTCTCTGCTCCTAGCTTCTCTGCACACTCGCAGAAAAACGCACTCAAGCCCCTTCCAATCATAAATGGTCGTGATATCATAGATTGTCTCCCATGGCCATTGCCCAACATCGCACTCAGAATTGATCTATTAAAAAGTCAGTCTCTAAACCCCATACATACCACCAAGGGAAAAAAGGAACACACAGATAATACATACCTAACGTCATGCTCATGCTCACATCCGTATTCTCCACCATCTTCGTAAACTCCTCAAAGCTAATCTTCCCATCGCGATCTAAATCCGCCTCCATAATCGTCTTGTCCACAATCTGCTGCAGCTGCTGATCCTTCAAATTGCTTCCCACCATCATCTTCAGCACGATAAACAGCTCCCCATTGCTGATATACCCATCGCGATCGATGTCGTAGACCTTGAATGCGAATCGCAGTTTCTGCTCCTTGTTGCCCTTGCTGGAGAAGGCGCTGAGGCCGGAGACGAATTCTTGGAAGTCTACGTCGCCGCCGCCGTCTTCGTCAAAGATCGCGATCAATCTAGAGGGATGTTAATGCGTGTTCTGGCTTGTGGGAAGGCTGGGAGAGTTAGACCTTGTGGCGAGGGGGTTCGAGGAGATCTGGGGAAGGCTGAGGAATTCTTCGCGCTCGATGGTGCCGGAGTTGTCCTAATACCCATCACATCACATATTAACGTTGGGTTCTATGCGCCGAGGTGGTGTGCGGCACTACCCACCTTGTCCAGCTTCATGAAGCGCTTTCGTATCCTCTCCACCTCATCGCGATCAACTACCACAGTTAGTTTGGTGGCTGGCGAAAGGAAGTGCAAGCATTTGGCATACAGTTGGAGCCCTGTACGATGTTCTCTAACACCGCGCTGCTGGTGTTGCCCATGTTGAAAGAGGTTGCGCAAAGTTGGCGGAGGCGGGGTGTGGAGGGGTGTTGTGGAGGGAGGCTGATAGGGGATGGAGATCAGAGGCGATGAAGGAATGCCCCGATTAAGCCTCTGAGCTAGTAGTATAATTTCTCGAGCTGCATGCAATGTGGATAAAGCGCGGGCACAATACAATTACTACGATGTTTGGTGGTGGTATTGTAGAATGTGCAATGCAATGCAACTGTTGACTATCTACCGCAACGAGCGAATCCGTTCGATATGAGACTTGGGGAATCTGATATTCGCTTATCCGCGCTAGGCCTGAACAGGCGAAAGCTCGCTAAATCTGGGAAGGCCGACAAAACAACACATGGGTGAAGCAGCTGAAGCTCGCCAGAAAACTTTGCACCAAACGACGACCGTCGAGCCACCCGATCTTCAGCCATCAAAAGAGCCACAACAACCATGCCCTTTTGATTTGAAATGTCGGCCTCCATCACATCATGATCCAAATATCACCCTCAAAAATTTTCAGCGTGGAAAAATCGCGATCACGCGCTGAGATCCTCACCTTTGCATTGTCACACCTTGACCCGCCACCATGCGATCGCAGGCCCCAGCCCGGGTCGTGAGGCAGCGGAAACTCAACAAATCCACCCTCCAGCAGATCCTTCGCGAGGACCAGATCGAGTCTGCTGAATTTCATTCACTTCAGAATCAATATCATGTTGAAACTGGAGTGGAGCGGTCAGAGGAGAATGTAAGTAATCACGTGATATAAACAAAGCAAATGTCGCCCCGCCACGTGACGTGGACCCAGCCCAAAGTCCCTCCGCTAACATGACGCCAGGAATACCATCTCCAAGCCGCGCTGGCCGCCAGTGCGGGCGCAGGGGAGAAGGATACCGAGAAAGAAATCCCAGCTCCTCCTGCCCAGGAGGGTACCAACATCGATTACGATGCCCTGTACTCATTAAAATTTGCCCAACCCGCTACCTACATTCGCTTTTCGCAAACCGTGGAAGAATGCACTGGTTGTCAATATGATATGACTACCGAAGATGATGCCTTTTTAAAGGTGTATAACCAAAAGAAAGGAATGGGTGCACGATGCTCCGAGGCTGACTTCGAGAAAATCATGGAAGTCTTCGAGGAAACTGCCGAACTCCAAGCTCCATTTGCAGCTGTAGACAATACAGTGGTACCTTTCGAGACCATGAAGTATGCGCTGAAGAATCAGATGGATGACAAAATCCAAAATGCATTTGCCAAAGATATCTACGAGCACTGGAAGGTCCGCAGGCAAGCCTCTGGCAATAAGCCTTTGCAGCCCAGCCTGAAATTCGAGACCCACCAAGAGAACGATGATGGTGATCCCTATGTGTGTTTCCGCCGTCGCGAGGTCAGGCAGACTAGGAAGACTAGAGCTCGGGACGTCCAAAGCACTGATAAACTCAAGAGATTAAGGAAAGAACTTGAGGAAGGACGCCAACTTGTGGCGCTGGCATTCCAGCGGGAAATGACGAAACGAGAGCTTTTGAATGTTGACCGGAATATCTTTGAGCAACGTGCTAAGGTTAAGGAGGCAAAGGTCAGGCTTGGTATCAAGGGCGATGACGAGGACTTGATCAACCAAAGGGTAAGCATCACCAAACCTGCCAGAGTATTCATCGCTAACCTCAGAATAGCCACAAAAGAGAAAGGTCTCCGACTTCCCCGCATTACAGCGGCCATCAGGTTCGCAAGTGCGCTTGCCTGGCCGTTCGGATGGCCGCCCGCTGGACGCCGATCTCGTCCAACTGGGTAACGTTCTTGCCCAGAAAGAGAATCTTCTTCAAAGAGAGATTGAAGAGAAGACAAACCAGCATCGTAAGTGGAATCAAAACCACATTGATCTCACCCGAGAACCTCTCTCGCCGGTTAGTGGTCAAAATCCCGACTGCGGGTTCCGTCCTGCAACCGCACAGTATCAGTACTTGATGACTCCTCCGTCGTCAGTTGCTTCGGAATCCTCTGATCATGATTCGCCACTTCAAGAAAAGCCTGAACCCTTCACATTCAGGTACAACTCTCCGCCAGAAGAAGACGAGCCCCGACCGCAGCCAGCATATCGTAGACGAATTGGTCGTGGTGGTCGCTTGTGGATCGATCGTAGGGGTATGGCCTCTGCATTCCGGACTGTCGAAGAGAATGGTTCGGATCGGTGGAAATATGATCAGGATGACGAAGAGGAGCAGCCCGTATATGAAATGGATCCATATGATACCAAGGCTCTCCGGTTCAGGGCAACAATACCGTTCCCTCCGCATCTCTTACCTCAGCGTCCTCGACAAGACGATAGAAACCGAATAACCAACGGAAGTCCCTCGAATAGTCGTGTGGCGGCTACGGGACCACCAGCAGCGGCTCCCACAGCACCCACTTGAAGGAGAGTGATTTCACCAATTGAAACACACACACCTCCCTCGAGCGCTATACCAGCGCGTATGTATATTACACTTCGTTGTAGGACATCATTTGGATGTGCCTACGGATTGGAGGCGTTGCCCAAGGATATGGGCTAGCAAAGCGTTGCTATTTTAGATCTCTGGACCCAATAAGCCACAATGAGCAGAGAGGGTCTATTGTACTTTAACACCCAGATGAGCAACAGAAATAATATATAGAGGGAACTTCCCCGCTTCGCCTAATTAGGCAAAATGAAATCATTTTATTTAGCGTGGAACACTCTCAAACGTACCATTTTCCAGACTTTCAGACTTGACTAGCCTTATCACCTATAGCGTCCCTTTTTCTTGGCCTTCAACGTATCTTCTGCTTGTCTTTTGCCGTTCGGAAGGCTTCCTTGCGCCGGGGGTTGAGGCTCCGAACCTTGACCGGTCCTCATGCGTTTGTTGCTTCCCGTAAACGAGGATGCCTCTTGAATTGCAGCCCTGAGAACTCTCTTTTCGCCTAGTCGAACTTGCATAGCCATTTTTGTGCGGTAGGGGACACTTTCTGTTTGGAGCAGGTTTTCATCTTCTTCGATTGACGTGGCATACTCCTTCTCTCTGAGCTGGATCAATGCTGCCAGAACTTGCCCAACAAGCTCAGTTGCTAGTTTAGATCGACTGGGGAGAGAGCTCTGTGAAGTCTCGATTGCCCTTAAGCTCTCTTCGTCTAGGAGTTGGAGGTATATCAGCGCCAGGAGTTCATCAGGAATTGCTGGCCCTTCCGTATTAGGATGGATCAAATCGTAGGAATCGTCGTGGACGTCTTCCCGCTCGGCCAGTGTCAATCTTCTCTTTGCCTCCATTTCACTTAAGGGTTGCAGTAACTGGCCCTCGCCCAATTTGAGCGGCCCACTTGTCAGCGCAGACATGATGGAAGATGTAGATATCTCAGCGACGTCGTACGGGGCATAGTTGTCTGTTACATATCCGTAGCGACGTAGCAGGTCAGATCGTGGAAGCTGGCCATAGTCGTTGAAGATTTCCTCGCCCTTCGAAATTGGTTTTATAGTCCTCATTTCTAGGTCCTCGTTGTCGCAGCACAATCGTGCATTATTCCGGTCGGCATCTGCATTCAACATATCCGCAAGTGGGATCATTGACAGAATCGTCTTCTCATCCCCATTGTCTGACACAAGCTCGTCGTCTTCTGCTCCAGCAGTCCCAGTCTGTTGTTCGCTGTCTGCTTCGTAGGGGATATCGAAGGCATACGCCATTATGATAGACGCCACCCGGTGGAATAAATCAGTACTAGATTCTCCCAGCCCGAGCGGTAGAAGATGTTGTGAGAACATGGCTTCTGCGCCTGCCTTGCCGATTTTCTTGACCACCGTACTAGCTTGCAGTTCTGTGAGTTCCAATTCGGACCAAAATGTCAAGGTATCAAGCTGTCGAGGCAAAACGGCGAGGTAAGCAGCCCACTTCGAATTCGATTGTTGGCTCTCGGAGATGATGAGGGCTGTTAGAGCCTATGTCCGTATTAGCAAGCTGTTCGGTTCCGGATAAATGAACGACATACCAACCAACTAGGCATGTTGAGAAGAGCATCTCTGGAGGAGCCTGCATCAATTCCAGCCAAACTGTTGTTTATGTTGAGAGCGGATGTCCGGGGAATACTGAAAATAACCTCGTCCTCTGCTAAGTCCGCAGCAGCAACTGGAAAGCGGTTAGTAAGAACTCGAAGGATTCTGCCCCCAGTAGGATTCAAGGTAAAGCAGCCATGCACTGACGAAAACCAGTTGCGTATTGCTTTCTCTTGAGCAGAACAGCATAGATCAGAGGGTTAAAAGACAAGACGACAAAAAGGCAAGCTCACCGACTCCACGTCCCCGACCGTCTGACCGAAAGTCCTCGATTCTTATCTTCGGATTAATTCGAACACCGGCGTCTGAAAGCCAGGAAATAAAGGCATCCGTAGTTGCTTGGAAACCATCAGTCTCCATTTTCAATGCTACACGCTGCAGAAAAACAGTTTAACAAAAAAGTGTAACGCAGAGAGGCTGGGTGAAGAGATACTAAGAAAGATACTAGAAAGCTCGTGGAGCTAATGGCCGCTAAGCGAGGAGCAGGGGTGTGGAGCCCCGATTCCACAATTGAGTTTTTCCAAATAACAACGTATCTGTGTAGATTAAGATATTATCTGTAGATTCTGAAGTGCTTCTATCACTCTGCTATATTATTACCCAATTCTTTCGTTGTTGGTACTTCGGGTTTGCTCGTTCTTTTGCATTTTATTCCAAACTGCCGCCATTTGCTTCAACCTTATTTCCAATCTTATCGGCCGATTACGAAGTACCAGCCTCGTCTAATCGTCAACCTTGCGGCGGGGCTAATAAGTACTTATCAATTCTACCACAATTTGTATCCGCGACAGCGTTCATTCAACCCCATACCAATACCGGTACAAATACTCTGCCTAGACAGCCTGTGAACAGAACCAATATTCGGTCTCAGAGCCAAAGATCCGATCTTCAAAATGATCGCCATCGGCCTCGAGGGGAGCGCGAATAAGCTCGGCGTGGGCATCATATCGCATCCATCCCCAGGCAAGCCTGCCATAATCCTCTCTAATATCCGCCACACCTTCGTCTCACCACCCGGGGAGGGCTTTCTACCTAAGGACACTGCAAAACATCATCGGTCATGGGTTGTCAGTCTCGTCAAGCAAGCGATGGCGGAAGCCGGAGTGTCAACTAGAGATATTGACTGTATATGTTATACCAAAGGACCAGGGATGGGGGCACCCCTGCAAAGTGTAGCAGTGGCCGCTCGAATGCTATCTCTGCTGTGGGGGAAGGAGCTTGTCGGAGTCAACCACTGCGTGGGACATATAGAGATGGGCAGAGAGATTACCGGCGCCCAGAATCCCGTGGTTCTGTATGTCAGTGGTGGAAACACCCAAGTCATCGCATACGCTGAACAGCGATATCGAATATTTGGGGAGGCTTTGGATATAGCCGTGGGGAACTGCCTGGACAGGTTTGCAAGGACGCTGGAGATCAGCAATGACCCTGCCCCAGGTTACAACATCGAGCAGCTGGCGAAGAAGGGGAAAGTTCTCCTGGATCTTCCATATGCGGTGAAGGGAATGGACTGTTCATTTTCTGGGATATTAGCGTCAATTGATATCCTTGCCGCTGAGCTCAAGGCGAATCCAGAACAGCGGGACCCTATTACTGGCGAGATTATTACTACTGCAGACTTGTGCTTTACGCTGCAAGAAATAGTGTACGCAATGCTGGTTGAAATCACCGAGAGGGCCATGGCCCATGTTGGAAGCGATCAAGTGCTGATCGTTGGGGGTGTGGGCTGCAATGAGAGACTTCAAGAAATGATGGGACTCATGGCCAACGATAGAGGTGGGAGCGTCTTTGCCACAGATGAACGGTTTTGCATCGATAATGGGATTATGATTGCGCATGCCGGCCTGTTAGCATATGAGACTGGCTTTCGGACCCCGCTAGAAGAGAGCACCTGTACTCAGCGGTTCAGGACTGATGAGGTGTTTATTAAATGGAGAGATTGAGAGATACCCACCAGCAAAGAAAGCGCCTGAAAATCAAGATTTTAATTCAGGAAAAGATGAAGCCGCTCTAAGAATTGTGGAGCCTGTAAATTGTTCAAGCAATGCCAGGCCTAATATTCATCAGAATCATCATCCTCCTCGATTATTGTCTGTCCAAGCAGGCCGGTATCATCTCGCCGCTTCCCTCGATCCAGATCCTGCCACTCTGTTGGTTTGCTTCTCCACCTGTCCGGACCTGACTTAGAGAGTGAGCTCTTCCAGGCTCCCTCAAGTTCCTTCTGTTCTTTTGTAGCTCGTATCGAAGCTGCCGATTGATTTCGGTCCGCGGGAGCAGAGTTAAGATCGAAGACCATTACGAGGATAGATGAGGAAAGGTAGAGTATGGAGCCTGTTATAAGTCCAATAATTGCCGCTACTCCGAGATAGATGTATAAAGTCTGTTGTTAATTAGCGGATATTTATTGAGTGCTTCAAATCGGTTGGGCATACCTCAAACTTTACGAGTAGCTTCAAGGGTAGCAATGCGGCAGCTGCGAAGTAACTTCCCAGGTGAATTACGGGCGCAAGGACTATTAGCAGCGACTTGAAAATAAACGTAAGTGGAAGGAGGAGGTATGAGGATATGCTGGCGATAGTTGATAGCCACGCCATGGCAGACATAATACGATGTCTTGATAAATATAGCTAAAGAGCTCGAGGTCAATGTCAAATAATGCAATATCCCTCGGTTAAGTAGACAGCATCTACCAACGTGATGGCAGACGCAGGTACACAGCTGGCAGCATTGAGGCTTCCATGAATGTTGCGTTGAGTTGAGGCTTATAAAATAAACATGGACCGCAATAAATAAAGTCCATGTCGTTGTTGTGATGGCGCGTGCACGGACCGTTTCCTCGGCGCTGGCTCTGGCTTGCGGGGCGGACACGGGAGCTAATCTAATCTTGGGCAGGCATCCGAATAGCATCATATACACCATCCTAGGGCCTCGCGCACATTACCGATATTCCATATTCCGATTATTGTACGCTCTCCCAAGCCATAAATCTCATATTTAACCTTGCTTGGATAGCTCCAGCTCGAGCTCTCGTTGCATCTCTATATATATCTCTTTATCTTTATCCCTGGAATCCTTTTCGTCGATTTGTGTCTCCCGCTTCACGAACGTGGATCTGCCGCACCTATAGGCCCGGGCTCTATGGTTCTCAACTCCTCGAAGTCAATCAGGTCACACAGATAGCAAGGCCTGATAACTATATAGCGACTAGCCAGCATGGGCAATGCTCCTTCCAATGCCCGCAACCCGCCCTCCGCCGCGCCCTCCGGCGCGGCTTCCCCGTCGATATCTCCCCCTCCTCATGAATTCACAAAGCCGTCGTCCACACGGAGGGTAATCCAACAAAGGTCTGCCGCTGCTCCTGAGCCTTCTTTGGCCCAGGCTCGTGGAACCACTACCACCGCGACCACCACCGCGACACACCGCCCACGCGTTTCTCAATCAAATCCTGTCAACCAACTCGGTCAACAATCGCAAACCCCCAACACATCTACTCCGTCATCCCACAGCAACAGCAGCGATTCTCAAATGGGTTCGCAACAATCTCGGGAGGAGCCTAAGGTCGAGCACGTCGAGGTGCGAGATCAACCAAGCCAGCCCGTTGATGTGCCCGCCCAGGGAACCAATCCTGACGCCATCTCAATCCCGTATCCCGAATCGATAGAACCCTCGGGCCCGCCAACCACACAAGATATGTCGTATCACCTCACGCGGCCCCCGAGACTGCCGCTTCCTATTGAGGAGGAGGTTCATACCCCAGGCTCGCCAATCATCGCCCCATCGGACGTCAACCCGCCTGTGCTGGACATAGAGTCCCTCGACGATGATACTCTTCCTCGACGTGCTTCTGCGCTCAGCAATACTACGATTGATGAAGAAGATGCCGAAGAACTACGCGTGGATAAGACAAAGGCGACGGTACCAACAAAGCTCGAATGGTTAGAAGGCAAGGGAGGGGAAAAGGTATATGTCACAGGTACTATTTTCCAATGGAACAAGAAGCATAGGCTTCATCCAGTGTAAGTGCCGCTCCTAAAAGCTTGCAGATCAGGAATAGATAGACTGACATTAGGATAAGTGAGGGTCAACCGGGTGTCTATAGGTCGTTCGTCCATGTCCGGCCAGGAACGCATCATATCAGATTCATTGTCGATGGCATAATGCAATACTCGAAGCATCTCCCGACCACCGTTGATTTTGGCAACAATCTAGTCAACTACATCGAAGTTAGCGCCGACGATATCCCCAAATCTATCACCGCTTCCGAGGAAACAAAATCTGCTAGTGGAGAAAGCCAGACGCCTGATCCATCGAAAAAGGGAGAAGCAAAATCGGGCGAGGATGAGAAATCTGAGACTGCGAAACCCGCAAAAACCAAGCCCGTTCTTCCCCAGGGTCGATTCTCGTCGCAGGTGCCGCAATATCTCGTCGACCTGGACAAGGCAGAGGATTCCGCCGAGTATCAGTACGCCGCAGCTGCTATTGAGAAGCTTCCCACGCCACCTAGTCTTCCTGGATTCCTTGGCAAGCCAATCTTGAATGCTGCTACCCCTATGAAGGACGATAACAGTGTCTTAACGATGCCAAACCACACTGTTCTGAATCACCTCGTAACCAGCAGAATAAAGGAGAATGTGCTTGCCGTCTCTGCTACCACTAGATATAAGAGAAAGGTATGTAGCAATCCCTCCTCGATATATTATTTACTCATAAGTCAATAGTACGTGACGACCATCATGTACAAGCCCAAAACCGCAGACGACTAACCGCTCCCTTCCCACGCTATCCTCGTCTCCCTAGCCACGCTTAATTCATTATATCAACAGCAACATGCGCTATACAGTTCTACTAGGATTGCCACTTCTTATGAGCCTAGTAGCTTGGTTAGCATTGAGCTGATATATGGGTGCCCAATCGAGTATAAATGACTGAGCCGCTGCTCATTACGTTTGATGCCATCATGAAAGCCGGTATAGCTTCTTTGTATTTAATTAAACTGCAAAAGCATTCATCCCACCAAAAACAAGGCGTTTCGCCTCCCAAAATGTTTAGGTACCTACTTTGCACAGGCACATATGTAACAGGTAGGTATTGTAGAATTCGATCTGATTTCCGGGTTATTGGTGACAAATCATGTGACCTTGCAGTACAACTTGCCGGCTGAGGTAATCACCAACACTCGCATCCCGAACCCTCCTATAGATTTCATTTGCTTCTTTGGAACGGAATCATTGCCACGAAGAGCCGCAATAATAGCGAAACGGGGTACGTATTGCAGTGTACGCTGTACTGGTATTGCTTTTTCCAGACATGTCGGCTTGCGGCTGTGAGTGCTGCGCCCGCCACTGAAATGCCCCATGGCCATGCAGGATTTCCTTACAAGGCGTGCCCGGGGAAGCCTTCGTGAGGCCTCAGCCTCACCGAATCAACGTTCTTGATAAAATCCCCAAGTTATCCCCCCAATCCTTCTTTCAGCGCACAGCTAAGTTCCGTTCTCCTATGCCTATCGGTACCATTTTCTCTTCTCTTCATGGCTTTCCTATCCAGCCCCCGACCGAGTGAGCGCAGCTCTGTGAGCCCAATCAGGAGGCGCTTAGGCGACACGCAATTCCGCTACTCCTCTATAGACCTTAAGAAGAACGAAGTGCGGCTTCTACGGCTATTGCCAGGGAGCGCGCATTCGATGGTCCACTGCGAAATATTTCATGACTCTCTGGACGCTCCCCGCAATTATTCCGCGCTCTCTTACGCGTGGGGTATTGCGGAGAACACGCGGTTGATCCGTCTAGATGGATACTCGTTTCCGGTCACGGAAAATCTGATGCTCGCACTTGAGCGTCTCCGTCTAGAGAACAGAAGTGTGATACTTTGGGTGGATGCTTTATGTATCGATCAGAAAAACGTCAAGGAGCGTAATCACCAGGTGCAAAAGATGAGGCATATCTACCGAAAAGCACAGCGCGTTGTGATGTGGCTTGGCCCTGAAGAAGCCAATAGCAAGTTGGCTATGGATGTGGTTTGGGAGATATATCATCATCCTGATCGTCTCCAAGATATTGTCGAAGATGTTAGCTTTAGACCTCACTTCACTGCTTTGGTTCACCTATTTGAGCGCAATTATTGGCAGAGAATCTGGGTTGTTCAGGAGGCTCTCAATGCTAAAAAGATTGCGGTCTATTGTGGGCCGGATGCTATACCTTGGACAATGCTCACAAGGGTCTCAAGACTTTTCCAAACAGGAAGGAAGGTTATTATACAGAAGTTCAATGATTTTATTACAAAGGGCAACGGCTGGGATGATATTCTGCTCTCGGGAGGACCTATGAACCTTGTTGACGTGGGCAGGAGAAATCGCGAGTCCGACATGCTTGAAACTCTTCTGTTCCACAGACACAAGCTGTGCGTCGAGCCTAAGGATAAAGTGTTCGGGATACTGGGTGTACTAAGAAGCCAAGAAAGGAGGGAATTCAAAGTCGACTACAGCCTATCCACACGGCAGACCTATATCGACGTTGCGCACTACATATTGCGTGTAAGTCGTCGCCTTGATGTTATCTGCGCCAGCTTCCCTCGCGAACCAAATATCCACCAACTTCCTAGCTGGGTCCCGGATTGGGAACAGCGTGTATCGACGGAACCAATGTGTAGGACCACAATCAATCTATCTGATACGTTTTGCGCTGCTGGCGATACGTTGGCCGAATTCTCGCTCTCGGAGTCTGGGGATCACCTCGAGATATCCGCAGTTGTCATCGGCACCCTTTTAGACCTTGGAAGCCCATTATCAGATGTCACGGCGCTGGATACTATTATCCTCACATTCCACCACTGGCGGTCAGCTCTCCTCCGATCCAAGAAATACATCAGCGAGGAAGACCACGAGGCGTTCTGCCGAACATTATGCTGCGGATCAATGGATGACGAAAAGTCCCCTCGAGATCTCATGAGCTTAGCCTATCGATCATTTGCTAGCCTAACACGAGAAACCAATCCATCCTATATCATGGATCAGCAAATGACTGCATACGCCGACGCCTTCCACCCGTCGATGGTTCCGGAACGAAAAGAGTTCATCTCCGATCACATCATTCCCGCTGTCCAAGGCCGAAGGTATGTCCTTTCTAATAATGGGCTCATGGGAATTGGTCCATATGATTGTGTGCTAGGGGATATTATATGCATCCCCTTGGGATGCTCTACACCGATTATTTTACGGAGGGAGGGGAGATTCCACGTTTATATAGGGGATGCATATATTAATACTTACATGTATGGAAAGGCAATTAATCAGCTTAATGATGGGAAGAGGGACTTGGAGATTTTTGAGATTCATTGATCAAAGGACCCTAGTTCCGGGCTGGTGCCACCTCCCTTCAGCAGCTACCCCAACTAGGTCAGGGCATTGATGACCAGGTATAAGCGCCGATAATCTTAACCTCGACTTCAACAACTACACGCATTTAACTAAGCTCCATATGAGATGTCGGTGCCTCTCAGGCGAAGGAGGACTCTCATAGGACCCATGTGGAACACAAAATGAGGGATATCCTGAGTATTTTAGCAACGCCAGGAGGGGCGGTCGATAATGGCACTTTCCCACTCAACCAATCATTGGAACCATGCAGGGTGCAATGCGCGAAAATCCAAATGGCTAGATAGCAAGAAGCAGGCCACCACTTCCACCTACCAGCTATCTAGAAATTTTATTTATTGGATATACTTGGGAGTGTAAAACCGGGATGGCCAATGAGATCTAGAGGGATTTACACCGAGGACGTACGATGGCCAGACTCGGGGAATAGGAGGATTGGATTGTATGTGTATGTATGAATACGGGCAAACTTTTAGGCCACCATGCTACAAATATTAGGAGATTGACTTCCACCCGGTCAAATAATATGGCACAAGAAATGGATTATTCTACACGTCAGGTACCAACATGGGCCCTAACTGGACTTTTTAGCAGGAGCCCGAAAACCCCAATAAACAAGTAACGTAATAAACTTTCCGGGGAAGGGAGAGCCAGTGCCATCCGGAATAACTACCGCTCCCAATCGAAGACTCTCCGCTTGATCCTAACCCTCGTCTCATGCACGGGCAGCGAAACTGCAGCCGTCTTCTTCTGCTTAGGGATAACCCATCCGGCTTGCTTATCTGCGGGTGTAATGTCCCAGAATGCGAGGATGCCCGCTACTTGAGCGAGGCATTCACGTTCGGCAATAATGCGGCCTTTGCACCACGATGGACCGCCTCCGTAGGGGCGCTAGAGGGGTGGATGAGGTGGTTAGTATGCTTTTAATTGTATGGGGCAATGGGTCGAGGAGGGAATGGGAAAGTGAAGTGGGATGGGAAAGAGTCGTTCGCTTACAATGGTTCCCATATTAGCCTCAACCGATCCATCCTCCTTCGTCACCAAAAATCGCTCAGGATCAAACTCCTCGGGATACTTAAAATACTTCGGATCCTTCATGTGCAAATCATGCGGAATAGTAACATACTCCCCCTTCTTCAATAAATACGTCGCCGGATCGTCAGCCTTCTTATCCCCCGAAATCACAACATCCTGTCCAACTTGTCGGACAGACCATGGCTGGTCGCTCATCCGGAGAGCTTCGAAGTACGTAGATTTTAGGAGGGGACAGTTTCTGGAGAGCTCCGGGTGAGAGATGTGCAGTTTAGGTGTTTCGGAGATTTTGCCGATGGTGGCGCCCTGGGTGACGGTTACGTATGGGGCGATTTCAGCGCGGATTCGGTCGGCGAGGCCAGGTACGGAGAGGATGTAAAGGAGTTGCCAGTAGACGAGGAGTGAGGAGTTTACTACCAGTGCCCAGAGGACCTGTGTATGATTAAGTGAGAGTCCTATGGAGAGTAGTTATATGAAGAGTAGCTTACACTGAATTCTCCCCTTTCTCTGATCTCGAAGCCATTTCCTAAATCAATACAGTTAGCATTAGATAACTACCTGTGAAAGTGTCTCATAGAGGGTCATACTTCTCTGGACCTCATTTCTCTTCACTATGAATTCACTAACATCATCCAACTCTCCCCAGCTGTAATCAAAGGGCTTCCCTAAAGCAAGCGCATCTAGAGCTCTCTGGTGTTCATCTAGAGCTTGCCAAACGTTCCTCCGCGCAATATGGGCTTTTATCACCCCAGGCCACGGCGTCCAAGCTGGCAATCCAAGTAGGAAAAAGTACATGCCGGCATCGGTGGCGTAGATATCGTGGAGGATGTCGGGATACTTTTCTATGAAAGCGCTACCGAACATCGCTGGAACGGAGGCATTTCCCATCATGTCTCGCATTAGGGTCATAAGATTGATCTCGGTCTCGGTGGAAGAAATGTACGAGGCGTTTGCCCACCGTTCCCAGGGTTGCAGGTCGATATCGGCGTCCGTGAACGTTATCATCTGGGGGATATGGTTTTCGAGGTAATGTACGGTTCGGTCAATCATAATCCCGATGTGAGGCTCTCTCATTAGGTAACTGGTAGTGGCATTCATTTCCTTGTTAAGTCAGTCAGGTGCAATCGATATGTAGATTTTGGGGCAATTACATCCCAAACCTTGTCAAATTTCCGTACGCTCTCCGGTGGAATACCGAAGAACTTCCCAGATTGTCAGTACGTTTCTCGGTATAGAGCGGGGTTTTCTTACTTTCCGAACAACTGATATAGCAATTGGTTTGAATAGCAAAGTGGACTCTCGTTGTGCCATCACACTATGCACAATTAGCTATGCTAATTAATAGTGACGGAATTCCCAACCTTCTGACCAAACTCGGGTCGGATACTATATTTTGCATTAGCCATCGAATCCGATAAGCATAATAATCGTGAATTTGAGCGAGAAAGAGTAAATGCACAAATGAAAAAGCGACATACTAATATTATGGGTGGTGCCTCCAAGGTTCAAAGAGAACATATCATGGGGACTCCGGTCGCTGAAAGATGTTAGATCTCCTCCCAGTGACCGCGGAAAATTACCCACCCTGCTTCTCTCATCAATTTGACTGGGTTCATCAAACTATCAAGAGTCAATTATTATTCTTTCGGATAAGGCACCAAATGTACTTACAAGGGAAACCCGTGACCGACGCCGGGCACCCAGTATGGCAGCTTCCAGGGCCTTTTTGCCTTTCCATTAGAAGATGCCTCAACGGAACGTCCGCTCAAGTAGCGGGTTACGATTGCAATAATGAACGGTCCTAGGAGTAGAGCAAGGACGACGTTAGGGCTTGTTATAGCTCCCCAGGCGACGGAGCGCCAAGCTGACGAGGGAGGCCTAACATTCGTTGACGACGCGTAGAAATCATCGTCCATAATGACAATATTCACGATGTCGACAACGAGTCCTGTTCAGTTCGGTAGCTATCGAGGGCTATTGTCTGTCTCGGTAGAAATAGGGGTAGCGGAGTGATCTTTGTCGAAGAGGGTAGACTTCTCCTTTCTAGCTCTTTATAGCGCTGGTTGATATAATATATTAGTTGGTATCCAACAAAGGAAGTGTTGTAAACCTACGGGGGAGAGTATTTTTCCCTTACCCCTGCTGATACATATATTAGATTCAGTTGGTGGTGGCTCTCGTTGTGGACGTGGCTTTACGAAGTACTTTTGAGATGCAGAACCATGTGCCAATGTTGTTCTGGAACCGGCTCGTTATCTGGTTGGCTGTGTCGTAGCTGTAATACTGCACGGGTAATCTGCGTCCGGACAACGCCATTAGTCACCATCGCCGAACCACCCAGGCGCTAACCTCGCCTCACCCTCTGCTCAGGTTACTCGGTTTCCTGCTCTCCATTAGTCGTAGGTGCAAAAGTAATAACACTACCTATTGTGTTGGTTGCTAGTTACTTCTAAATTGACCAGCCTTTACTTCGTAAGTACTCCTGCATACTAAAATGGCGCTACAGTGACTTCGGCTAACTAGCCCCGAGTACTGGACTTTCTGCAACAAAATTATATATTGTTGATAATACTAGTAGCAACCCGCTATAGTACAGTTTTATATATATAAAATATAGATGGAATCCTTGCTCGATAATATGCTAGACGTGTTCATTTTCATGGAGAAAGGTTACTCTGGGCCTTCTTGTTAACCTTTTTTTCGTTTTAGCGTGATTAAGTTAGTTGGGACGGCAGTTGCATGAACTTGTATCCCCTGATTTATTATTCTTTAAATTTCCTTTTTTTCTGTATGGTGGAAAATATACTTTAAGATTGCAGATGGAGAAGTCGTGATTGTAAGTCATTTAAAAGCTAGAGATCGTTGCGGGGTAGAAAAGAAGAACTGCCCAATAAGCAGAAAACCTTAATCCCCCGTTTGAGTAGTTATCCCAGTATATTGGAAGTCAGCCTATCTAATTGCATCCTGACTTTTGGCTGGCTTAGCGGCCTATCTTAGTGGTGAAGCTAAGCTAGGTTAGGATGGTAAGATCAAACTGCTGAAATTGATTATAATTTCCGGATTAACATTATTCAGAAGTCGTTGTTGAGCTGCTGGTGCTGCTATTATAGGTAGACGCGGAGGCTACGCTGCTGCTATAGCCACCACGTCTCCTATGCATGCCACTACTCTTATTGGCTGTCAGACCCTGAACAACGCCATTACGTGCGAGCATGCCTCCATTGACCGAAAAGTTACGGCACACCATGAATGCCCGCATTGCTGCGTTCTCCTGAGCTAGCCCATCAGACTCGTAGCTGATGTCTGTCCGATATACCCGACCATTGACGAGGACTACACAGGTAAATCCCGAAGGACTCCTAACCGTCGCATAGCGGGGATCTAGCCAGCAACGACGTCGGCATAGAGCTGTCTTATATGTCAGAAAAAGAACTTTGACGAACGAAATTTTGCAAAGATAGCCCTCAATTTAATAAACGTGTGGGGGCAGGGCTCGACGTACATTCTAGATATGCCATATAGAAGCCTCTTCCGTTTGCTCCCTGTAAAGTTGATCCATTCACCGCACTACCATTAACTAGATTAGGAACAATGGGTTGACTTTTCTGGGATTTCGCATTGTTCAAAAAAATGAGTTCACCATTCTCGGCGTTAGCAACGCCTTTCAATGGGTCGATCGTAGTGATAGCTGCTTGTTGCATAAGAAGCCCGCCATCCTCAGATTCTGGTTCCTTGGCACTGAAGGCTGGCAAAAGTGCCGGCCAATAAAGGTTCTCCACGAGTGGCTCGAAGGTAATCTTTGGCGTTGTGAAACTAGCTAACTTATTCTTAACTTCAATCTGAAAGTTTAGGCGTGCCCGCTTGCGTCTTTCTAAAAACTCGTCATTTGCGTTAATTCGACGGCTTACAACCTCCTTCGATATCATCTGAGAGCTTTCTGCAAGTCCCATAGATAGCGAAGGCTCACAACTGGGTGGTCGTGTAGAGGCACTCAGAGGACAACCGGCAGGTTCGCCCACCTGAACGTTCGATTCCAAGCCCATTGAGATATCGGGAGTTGATGTAGCAATGGTCTTGAACAGGGGCAAGTCCTTTATTGCTGTCGACTCTGTTGTCGGATACAATTCTAAATCCAATCCAAACCTCGTCTTTGCGTCTTCTAGAATCTGATATGCAGGAGCAATATACCCCACTCCGGATTCCGGACTGCCAGCGACGATATGACCCAACAAATCGCCACTTTGAGCGTTGACTACCCACGACCCACAGTCGCCATTAACCAATTTGCCCTCAAATCTGACGGTCCACAATTCCTGAATCCTTCTAGAGCCAGGTATGGTCATATAAGTCGGAGTTCCTGACATGGTTCCATGTAAAAGACCGGCTGACCCCGTGACGCTAAGGACTTTGGAATCTCGGGGCCTCGCCGCGACTCCACGGGGATGGAGGCGAGGCGAACCAAGATGACTTTCTAAGGGCATTAATTTGAAGCCTCGAAAATAGGGATAAATCTCGATCAAGGCATAATCAAGGCTGGGATGCTCTAGTTCTTCAGGAGGGTTTAGGAGGTGGCCAATGATGACCTGTAGGTCGCCGTGCAGTAGCATTTTCGTATTTTCTGAGTCTGAGCTCTTGTCCATTGAAACTGAGACGTCTTCACAGTCTTCCTTGAGATTTTCTTTAGCCAAGGTGCATTCCGGACGCGATGTGGACTCGATATAATCGCCAACAGATGCTGTCATGGCTTCTGAGATATCGGATTCAGCAAGATCTGGTGTGATGCTCCCTCTGCTAGTTGTTTCTATGAAATCAGAATCATCTTCAGAATCGCTTCTTTCGCCAATATCAAACTCGAAACTGTTATCGTCTAGATATTCTGTATTAGTCCTGATTCAATATCGAAAGCTGCTCAATGTCCCGCAAGTCGTGAAGCATTAATAACTCGTGACTTAGGATGGGAAATACATGCTCGCTGTAGATCATACATACCTTCGGCTTGGTGAGGGACGGAGAAATCCGCGACGGGTTTGAATACGTGACCGGCCGTTAGGTAAAAACATCTTCCCCCCGATCTCAGAACACCACCAGCAGTGGCCATTCGTACGGAGGCGAGGGACCCCTCTTTGTCGTAGAAGGGAAGAGCGATCGGCTTGCCAAAAAATACCCCAGCTTCCTTAGCAAAGGCAAAATTAGTCGCATAAAAACTCTCGTCCAAGCCCCAGATACCTTCTAGATTTAGGTTTGGGTCGGAAACGCCAAAACTGGCAGATTCGAAAGACTCGCCGGCCAACTGCACAAGTTGATCGAAATCTGGAGGCCGTGAAGCATCCCCGACTCCCACTTTCTGATATTGGTCCAGAATCCCACTCCCCTCCACAGTTTTTCTAACTTGTTTCCGAGAATGCGAGTCCCTGCAACAAAACATAATCATCGGCTGAGATGTCTCTTTGGTTCGCCCGATCATATAAATAGTCCATGTCACCGGATAAGGAACTGGATCGCTGTGTTTTTCCAGATAGACCTTAATTTCAGCCGCGATGAGGATGAACGTCTCGCGAGCTTTGCCCACGGCTTCCCAACACGACAAATCTCGACCCATTTTGCGATAAAAGGTACCAGTAGAGTCCTGCGAATTATGCCACTGGGGCCTGCTGTCTTTTAGCCTTCTCGTCCAAGGAATTATACTACTTCCAACAGGCATTGCGCTTGAATCACGGTGTGTTTATCCTTAGGCAGGTACTCAAAAATAGGCCATTGAGATCAATGGTTGGGTTGTCGCGGATAGGCACGTTTGTAAGAAGAGGATAGGGTAAGATGTCAAAAATAGAACCAGTATATTCTCGAGGCCGGTTTGCAGGATAAAGCTTCAAAATTTATTGCGAGATGAGGTGCCGGTGGTGTTGTACAATGATATCGCAAAAATCGGTATTATTTTGGAGGGGCGCTACCACCGCGTTTTGTTGCTTTTTTGGGTAGGATAATTGTAAAAAAACACATAACAAATCAACTACTAATTATTTTGCTTCCAAACTTGAGAGCAAAATCAAGCTGGCATATAATGCCAATTGTATCCCTTTTTAGAGAGTCCAGATGATTATTTATTGTGCTATTAAAAAAAAGATTGAGAAGATAAGCCTGACGGGAAAATCAAATAGAAAATCACATTTCAGCACCGATTTCCGATATCTCTATAAAGGTGGAGGCGCAGCTGCGCTCCACCTCATCATGCAGCTGTCACTTGCAGCCCCGCTGTGCGCCTTGCGCCCGGCAACGATCAGGATCCTTGAACGAGACAAGGGCACAAAGGACATAAATCCTCAGCTCCTTGTAAGTATCCGTGGTAGAAGCTTTGAGAGCAGCGGACGTGATGATATTACGAGAACAGAGACGCAAAGCCCGGCCTGGAAAATTCGAAAAGCCTCCGGCAGTCACGTGGATCTAGGCTAAGTCCAGATGGCGGCAACCCCTTCTCTGGACAGCTCTATTCACCTTCCTGTGACCAGCGTAGAAACCAAGCACGAGATTCTACGCCATCTCTGGGACTTTGATGTGTGCCCATCACATTTTTACGATATCTACCACGACTACGACGCTTATTTTTCCTATTACACCGAGCAATGCAGCGATGCTCTTCACGATGGAGGAAGACATGTCTCTGTTAGGACACACAATGACATAGTACAGATAGCACAGCATCTCAAGAACTCTGTGAACCGCAATTCTGTCCGCCAAATTCTCGGTTACGAGTTACCATTGCCGAAACCTGCGAACGAAGATGAGCTTCTGGATGGATCCATTGATCTTGTTGCAAGGTTGCTACTGATGGTCGAGTTTGGGTGTCTCCAATATGGATTTACAGGTCGAAGGCAAGTGGGCTGGGTAGAAGGCTCGTTAGGGGAGTGCATGACCAAATATTTTGGCGCCCCTCAGATATTGGAGCAGGAGACGGTGAGGTTCGAAAAAGTATTCAATGCGAGGAATTTGGGACAAATTGCGGGAATTAAGATTCGATGGACGAATAATCTGGCCGATCACCTACGTTTAGTTGATGATGGTAAGGGAGTAGCAATTTTCCACCATGCTTCATTTCTGGAATGTCAACGGAAGAGGTATCTATTCTGCTTACCTTCTCCTTAGTCTCAATTGATGCTAACTTCAGCAGCAATCTGTTCCCTGTTGGACTGGTTGATGAAACTTTACGAACTCTTGCACTTCTCTTCCCAGGAACAGACAAAACCACCAAGAAATGGTTTAAGAAGCTTTCCACCTCGAAGAAACTCGACACCAAAGCCGTCAAATGCGGACGTCTTAGGGCAGAAGACCGTTATATTGAGAATTTCGAATTCTGGCATGATCGTCTCATAGTACTGAAGCAACTTTTCGATGAAGCCGAACCAGATACCTTCCCCCGATGGTGGTATGACAGGCGGAGGAGGGTGCAGTGGTACACGTTCTGGATTGCGGCTCTGGTCCTCGTGCTTACTATTTTCTTCGGCATTGTGCAATCTATTGAGGGAGGATTACAAGTTTACAAGGCGTATAACCCATCGTAATTCGTTAAGGACGTTTGTCTCCAACCTTGTATATAACGTCAGTGGTGGAGTTTGGGGATATCCGGGGGCCCAGCATACAGAGAAACTGGGTGTTACTATTGACTTCCTTATTTATACCCGAGTAACAACATTTTTCTCCTCGTTCTTCCAATTTAGATTCGCTTCGTCGCAGATTATACAGATAATACATGGCTACGACGTACTCGCATGAACAGCCTTAGCTGTCTTGGCGCAGCTAGTATCTTCCCCACGCGGGGACGCCGGAAATTCAAACCACTCTTATTTAAAAGAAAGGAAACAAGATTTGTCTCATATGCGTGATAGCTTTTAGATTATTGAATCAAATCGGGCTTTCCTCTTGCAATTAGAGCTTGCAATTATTATTATTGTCCTCGGCCATAATATTCCTCGTCAGCTGGTAGAGTATTAAAAAAGAACAAAAAAGTATAATTGCACGTGTCCTCGGTGACTAAATATCATTAGAGGGTTTCCCGAGCAATTAAGGTATCACAAACTTACGGTTCGAACTCACGACTAGAGAGATTATTAGTTGGTGGGTTTTTACGATTTGGACATGGATGGTTGCCATACCCTTTGGATGGCCAAGACTGTTAACAATCTTTTCATATTTACTATGAGACCAACGCTCTAACCACTTTTGACATTATTAGTTTTTAAATTATCCGGTGGAAGAACAGTGTACTCACACTGAGCCACGAAGACATTTGAATACAATAATTGCTTATTTAGTTACATACGAACATTATATCACGCTTCTTGAAGTCTAAGCGAGAACTGTGCTTGGAGGGGAACGGTACTCCGTAGGATACACTACCTGAGTTACTACCCACACCGACGCGATTATCATCATGGCGCCCAAAGAGCTCAACTTCATAACGGGGAACAAGAACAAGCTCGCTGAAGTCAAGGTCATGCTGGGCGATGTAGTCGACCTGAGAAGCCAAGCATTGGATCTGGTAGAGATACAAGGGTCAATCGACGAAATTTCTGCAGACAAGTGTCGACGAGCAGCAGAAGCTGTGAGTCTTTCTTCCTAACTCAATATCTCATAAATGCAAAGAAATTCCTGCTAAAGACATTTTAGGTTCAAGGGCCGGTGCTGGTAGAAGATACATGCCTGTGCTTTAATGCATTGAAGGAGCTTCCCGGACCGTACATGTACGCCGCACTGGATCCAAATTAAGTAAAAGAGCATTTCTGATTTCTTGCTATAGTAAATGGTTTCTGGAAGCGTTAGGCCTCGAAGGCCTTAATAACCTCCTCGCCGGCTTCTCAGACAAGTCCGCGCAGGCTGTGTGTACATTTGCATATAGCGCCGGCCCCGGTCACGAACCAATTATCTTCCAAGGCCGCACCGATGTGAGTCGTTGCGCCTCTTCCTATAGCTTCCCGACCCGTCCGAGACTGACACTTTTTCCGAAGGGCAAGATAGTACCGGCACGAGGACCGCCGAATTTTGGTAGGATTTTGAATTCCAGCCCCCTTCCTTCCCCGCCAACTCATTTTCGTATAGGCTGGGATCCGATTTTCGAATATGAAGGTAAGACGTATGCCGAGATGGACAAAGTGGAAAAGAACAAGATCTCCCATCGATTCATCGCGATGGAAAAGTTGAAAACATGGCTGCAAGAGCCGTCATCCTGAAACTCCTTCCCAAGCCATAGCTAAATAAACCCATCATACCCTCATCATTGCGCATTATCCTCCCTCCACTGCTTGACCCAACCCTCAATCCTCTCAACATTACTCTCCATATCATCTGTCGTATTGCTGCTAAGTTCCACCACAATCTCTTCATCGTACGAGTCCCTAGCTTCTTGAAGTAGCACCTGCATGATTTCCGAATCTAGATTCTCCTGGAGTTTGGCTTCGGGGTAATCTCTAAAAAGGCAAGTCAGGGCAGTGCTCGGGTTGTAATATGGAATCAAGGGAGCGGAGAGGCATACCTGGATTTCAGCCTATCATATAACTGCTCCGAGTCAACCCTCAAAACAACCACAAGATCAATCCAGCTTTTCGGGAATAAATCGCACGCATGCCAATCTATTATATATCCACCCTGCTTGGCCTCATCCTCTATCGCATCCAACAGCTATTTCGAAACCCCCGTTAGTCCCATATCATCCAAGTAAAACATAGGAAGTGAAAAGCATTTCCCAAGTACCTTGTCTTCATCCACAATCCAACTCTTGAGCTCCTCATCATATCCATCATGACAACCGCGCTCCTTCACAACTTCGTTGACGGAAAGGTGTTTGAGGCCGGTGCTTTGCGCCAGGGTCTCGCAATGCGTCGTTTTGCCTACGCCAGGCGTGCCGGTGATGATTATGTTGGGTTGGGTCCTCATGGTTGTGGTGCGCTATAGTGAATGTTAGTTGCTCGTCGCGTTGTGGACTATTTTTCTTTTCGCAGTCTTATCGATAAGAGCGATAACGGATTGCAGGGGAGGGCGCTTTTCCCAACCAGGTGGTTATTTTTATTGGACTGGCCACTACTGTATAGTCTACGCTCTAAATAGAATTTAAAGTGAATCACTGAGTGTAGTAGACTTTTGCCGTTTGGTGAAAACACATCCCAAAGAATTGAAGGGGTCGAGTTGGACCAGACAGCGGCCAAGTCTTAGCTTTCGCCCTCAAATTATAGTACGGAGTTGTCAGACAATTAATCCCCAGAAGTGTCAGAAAAATCTAGCCACGAGGAACAGTTCTTGTTAATACAGTGTAATAGTATTAAGTATCCCCTTCTTGATGTTCCTTATATATCCTTTTGCCTAGTACCAAATGGAGACTTTTATTTCTCCTTCACTGTACCATTCATTTCCTGGAAAATCAAATGAACGCCAATGGTGAAATGATTCTCTACAACAATACACTGAGATTCCCCCCAGGTGCAGTAATTCCACAAATCTACGCTAACATGAGTTAAGATGCTCCCTTCCATATACAAAAGGTCTTTCAGGCCAATGGCCGGAAGATCCTCGAAAGAGATCGGGGAGAAAATGGTACAGAAGAAGTAAAATTGTCATTAGTGCCCGCATGCCCATTAGCCGGTGCTTGAGACATCCAAAGGTCAAATGGACGATCATTCGCCATTCATCTCGCCGTCAGTGAGTTCGGCAATCTCGTTCTCGTTGGCTTCGTCCAGAGGATAATCGATTTTCTCTTGCTGCGCTATGGCTTGGGCAGAAACGATCTCCGCAAGACGTTTCAAACGAGGAGTTTGAAGCCCTATATTCATGTTAGCGAGCGTTAAATACGGAGAAGAGGGTATATTTACATGATGGTGTGTAAGTTTCAAGTGCAGTGATAACACGGGGTTCGGCGATTTCATACGGTCCACTGTCATCCATATCGACGGCCGTGAGAAGAAGGACATCGCTCTTCTCGGTGACCCTAGAGGCCACAGCCTTCATGATTTCGCCGTTAATAGGTTGCTCATAATCAGCAACGAGATACTGGTTCAAGAGTTTCTGAATCTGGTTGGGTGACAGCCTGCAATTATGTTAATATCTCCCACACATATTAAAGTCCGAGTTACTTACATCCAGCAGATATCTTGAATGATTTCGATATCATTCAGCGTAGCCTTCTTCAACTGAAGAAGCTTGGTTGCTTGCTAAAGACGGGTTAGCTATGAATCTCGAGGGCAGGGGAAAATGAACTTACCATGAGGTGCTCTAGTTGCAGAGTTCCTTCTGGCATATCATGGCTCTTGCACCACTCCTCGATACGAGTGATGTTGTAATTGATCTGAAGACCCCGCTTCCAGGAGAGGAAATTTCTGCGCATCAGAAGGTCATTGAATGCAGTAACGCCAACCAATCTAAGCAACTCTGTCACAGTTTGTGTGATGATCGAGTCTTCGAGGTAATATGCTTTCATGGCCTTAAAGACATTGTTAAGCAAGCTCAAGAGATTGTCCATGCTATACGCCGGTGCTGAATTGCTTTGGAGCAGCTTGCCGAGGAATCGGTTGCTCTCATTGGTAACGAAGCCAGGGAGGGATTGAGATTCAATGATGGCAGGGATGATCATCTTCTGAAGCTTCTTCTTGAGGACCTTCATCCAGGTGTGGTATATGTTGAACTCCAAACTCTCAAGATCATGTTTCACAATCTCCAGCAGGCGATCGTACTCATAATTGTCGGTCTTTTGAGCTTCATACCAGTCCTCAGCGAGGAAGACGAACGAAAGCATCTCATGCACATTAGAAAGCCAGAAGGCTCCTGGATTGATTGCCTCATCGCCATCGTGTTGCATAACCTCTTGTTGGATCGATTGCATCACATTCGCAAGGAATCTTTCTGATTCCTTCACGAAACCGTTATTCCACATTTCAGACGTGACCAGGTTGATCAGGTAAGACGGGAATAGCACTTCTTTGTCCGTCGGAGGTGGTGTCGTGGTGGGTGTTGGGATTTTCAGATTTCTAATCAAGCCCATAGTAACCTCATCATTCAAGCCATCTTCGTCTGCCAGGAGATTCTCCAGTTCGAATTCGACATTGTCAACACCTGGTATAAACGTGGAGCCAGGGAGGGCCTGGCGATGCAGGCTGCTTCCTGTAACAGCCATTGACACAGGCCGAGGGTTGTATGCTCCGCTGAAACGGTCAACCTCTCGGGTTTCGGCACCAGCGCTACGTCGCTTGGGCTTCTTTGATGAGACCAAGTTGATAAGGCTATTTAATGGCGGTGGTGCGGTAGCACCATTGGTGAGCTCGCCATTCTGTGGCATGATTGGCACTGCACGCTTAGCAATTTCAAGCTGTTCTTGTAGATCAGAGATCTGTTGTTTGAGGACGATCTTTTCAGCCTCATGAGCAGCGTTTGCCTTCTTCGTATTCTCAAGTTCCAAGTTGGAGACCCTCAGGGCCTCCTTCAAGTCCCGCTCCTGTTCTGTCAGACGTTTGTTGGTGACATTAACTTCCTCATAGCTGCCTTGCAGCTTCTTCATTTCTTCGTCCATGGCAGACAGGCGTGCGGCTGTAATACCAGCCTGGTTGGCTTCGGTTTGCAACTCCTTGGTCCGAATCTCTAAAGCATTGTGTCGGTTTTTCCAAGACTTGATCTGGTTTTCGTAATTCTCGACTTGACTTAATAAGCCCTTGTTCTCCCTCTTTGACGCGCCGAGCGATTGTGTGAGCTCGACAACTTTGTTCTCCAACTTGTACGAAATCTGCTTCAGATCACGTGCCTCCTCGCGGACCTTCTTGTAGCCACGGCGAGCCGTCTTGCCTCTCCACAAACTTTGGATGATGACGACCTTCCGTCTATATAGTCTAAAGCTCTTCATCGCACGCCTTGAGCGCCAGACGCGTTGAATAAGGACCGCGGCGTTACCAAGACGAGTGTTCATGATCTGGCGTCTGCGCAAAAATCCCTTGAAAGTAGCTTGTGCAAGAATGACATTGTTCCGAATAGCGTTAAAGCTCTTCCTCTGCTTCTGGCCACGCCATACTCTCTGGATTGTGGTAGCAGCCTTGATTTTCCGAGTCTCTTGGGCATGCTTTCGAGCAAGATGAGCCCTGGTGAGAGACTGGAACAGCTGGATGGAAGTCCGTGCTTCGAGGTACTTGCGTCTATAGTATTTCGCTTTCAGATTCTTCTGGATCATGATAGCGCAGTCATTGAGTCGAGTTGTTCGGAGATTTTCTAGGAATGCCAACATTCCCGCACGGAAGAAGATTTTTGTCAAGCCAAGTTGATACTTGTCAAGACCCTGGCCATTGCCTGTCCCAAGAGCCTTCACGAGAATCTTGTTCGCCATCTCTCGGATTTCCGACGTCCATGATGCGGAAGGCACCAGCATATAATATCTCAGGGCGAATTCCTCGTATGTCCATCTTGTTGGATACCCCGCGCAACTGATTCTGACGGTCTCGAGCACACCACAAGCACGAAGCTGGCTCAGAACCATAGGTCCCTCAAAGACCCATGCTTCTTTACCTTCGTTGGGTTTAATGCATCGGATATAATGAACGTCGGTGTTGTTGATGGTATGCATCAGTTCAATCAGGGATGACTTGAAGATACCACCCAGGGTTGGTTTGCGGTTTACAGCAACCCCGATTCTCCGCCCTGCCGCGGGCTTCACGGCGGCGGAAGCAGCTTGCGCCGTGTCCTTCTCGCGAACAGCTGATGCAGCATCAAGCACCTGTCCCAAGAATTTGTTCGATGAAGCTCTCAGTACTGCCATGTGCTCGTCAGGTACCGTGTCGCGGTTCTTGTCAATGAAGCCGTCAGACTCATAGGTAACGTCGATGGCATAATGGCACACGGTAAAAGCAGACTTTCCGAACCTAGGCTTCTTGTAGAACTTATTCTTATCCGCGGCGTAGTTGTGATGCAGCTTCGTTACAAACTGCTCATCGGAGCCCATAGGTAACCTGGACTCTTCATCAAGTAGGGAAAGAATGCCGAGCTTGCCTTCGATCAAGTCTATGCAAGGTTGGTTGTCCGAAAAGTCGATGAAGGTCCAGTCGATCTGCTCTCTCAGATATTCTTCCTGCTCAAGCTTGAAGACGTGCTGATTAAACTCTTGTTGCAGCTTTTCGTTGGCATAGTTAATACAGAACTGTTCGAAAGAATTCTTCGCAAAATGCTCAAATCCGTAAATATCGAGAACGCCAATGAACGATTTTACACGGCTGATGACCTCCTCTGTGGCCAAGGCCCGGTTGATATTTTCGACTAACCAATCGAAAAGACTAGAGTATATGAACTTGGCGACTGAATCTCGGACTACAGTTGCTTGTTGTTGCGTTAAGTTTGACGTGATTTTCTCTCCTCTTGTGATCAACTGCTTCTTTACGGTCCATTTTGCGAATTCAACCGGGTCAACTCCTAGTATTGCAGTGGCTTTCTCCAAAGCAGGTTCGGTCGAAGCCAAGACAGAGTCGGTCCTCGAAGCCGTGATTTTGATATTTCCGAGATGCAACAATGCAGCAAGCAGTTTGAATATCTCCCCTTGCTGGCCCTGGTTAACTCCGATCGTTGTCAACGCCTTCTTCAGGGCTTCAAATTCGGCCTTGTCATCCACCCCATCAATAGAAGGCGAGCTGCCTTGGTTGAGGTAGTCAAACTGCTCGACGGGGAGCAGCTCAAGTGCTTGGCGTTCACTGTCAGAAACACCTGCTACTAACTGGTAGAAAATGTGGTAATTCCGTTCCTTCAAAGGTTGAAAGACCAATCTCGACCGCTCAAGAAGATATGTCCGTATTTTGGCTCCAATGATGCTCGTCTTATCATCAAACATAATCTCAATGTATTTTCCAAAACGCGAGGAGTTGTCATTCCTTGTCGTCTTCGCGTTACCAAATGATTCCATAATCGGATTAGTCGCTAGGATTCGCTCTTCGGTTTCACTCATAGCCTCCGCTCCTCGCTTTGTGCGTGTGCCCGGCTGGTCGGGCGATTCTCTGGTAGCAAAATACCGCATTATGTACTTGGCGCTAACGGTCTTTCCTGCACCGGATTCTCCAGACACGACAATCGTTTGGTTCTTACCACTCCGCAGCATATCCCTATACTTGGTTAGATGGATGCAGTGTGGTCTGATCTAAGCCTGGGTCACTTACGCAAAGGCTTCCTCTGCAATTGCGAACAGATGCGGAGCTTGTGTCGCGCGCTGTTTTCCCGCATACACCTGCACCATACCAGGGACATATAAAGAGTCTACCCTGGCGAAGGGATTCGTTGCGATGAGAACGATACCGCTGTAAGTGTATATTTCCTTTTGTGAATACCGCAGCTTGATAGCTTGCAAAACTACATCCGACTGTCAGCATATCATCAACCATCACTGCTTATATAGGATGAGACCCACCAGCTGGCTCATTAAGATGTGAAAGATTCGTCAAATCGTCGCTGGCTTCTAGCATCGTTGGGTTCATTAGGGGCGGTAGCTTCGAGTTATTATCCGACGCCAGGTCCTCCTCAGTCGTCTCTATGGTCTTGGTCTGGAGAACATCACAGCATTAGCACTCATCCATCAATACAGACACCAGCGGACAACCAACCTCTCCGTTTGCGAGATCGAACACCAGAATGATCTTGTCACCATCGGCCGTCTTGGAGACGACCTCAGAGGCCACCCATCCCTCCGTGACATCTGGCTGCCAGGCTTTCGTGCCGACATCATAATTATGCGCCATCGAGGCAATCCCGATGGATGCTCTCGAGTCCTCGTCTCTCAAAGACCTTCAACAACGGGCGGAACTGGCTGAACGGGGGTTGCCGCGGGTTCAGCCTGCATGAACAAGCCGGCGACGCGAAGAACACAAGAGCGAAAGCAAAAGGAGGGATGATTTAAAGAGGGCAGTCGGCCGGGTAGGGGAGGCTCGTGGTTGTCAGTCACAGGGTATCAACAATGAAGTTCATTGGATTCGGATTCTGTCAGGAGTTGAGGATGGAATTATTGTTCCTACGGCACCGACGAAGTCCCTAATGCACGGACGCAGGGGGTTCAACAGCTCTGGATTCTAGCGCGTGTTAATGGCCTTAAAGCAGCGGTGAGCTGCAAATAAATCGGCAAGGGATGTGCGGAGTACGGAGTTACCCCTATTCCGACAGCTGGGTGGGCTGGCTAAACCTCGGAGGCCATTGTCTGCTGTCCAGATATGAAAGCTTCTTCTGGTGCATGATATCACCCAGGTGTTCCCGATCTAATACTCTACGGAGGCTGATGCTACAAAGAAGGCCCAAAGAAGGTCCACTGGTATTTTTAGCTTGTCTCTTGCTCAACAGAACCAGCCACATTTCCGATATCTCGTCACACCCAGCAGAAATTGTTTCAGGATTTCACGTGGCCCGGCCAGGTGACAGGGAGGCCTGTGATAGCGGTGAATCTGGAGATGGCCGCAGGGGAAGCTAGGGATGACAGGCTCCACCAAATCTCCTTGGATTCCGCCCGCTCTTTTATCAATGGAGAAGCGGGTTTAATATATCTCATTCAGGGGGCTGTTGGTTGGTCAAATCTCGCATGTTTGACTTGCATACAGCTTTAATATGGAAGGTTTTGACTCTGTGAGCTACAATAAAAAACACAATATTCTCTGCGCAAAGCAAAACATATGGTTTGAAACAGCGCAAAGCTGCAAAGCACGGCCCAGCAATTATACTTCCGCTAGTCTTATGCATAGATCGCCTCATCACGAAAGCGACGATCACGTTTTTCCCGGTTTATGCGAACACAAAAACTCAATCGGGAATTCTTGTTTATGTTTACGCTTTTATTTAACCTAAGATGATCCTTTTAGTGTTGAAGGGAATTCACACAATCCCATGACGCCATTTGCTCTAGTTGAATGCAAGCCTCCTCCTCCTATACCAGCCAGCCCAGTTCCAACATAATACGTCTACAATCAATAGAGGAAACGTGTCAAAATACGAGCTATAATTGTCAGTTGATTTATACTGGTAAAATTATTCCACTGTTATGCAAACTTACAGGGCAATACTTCCAATCGATCGGCGATGTCCTTTATCTCGCCCGGTTGAACATCACTGATGTCAGCCATAAGGTACGCAACCTGTTTAAACATTAGTAACTTGCAATACAAGGAATTTGTAATGGGAATTCGTACATCTCCCTTGCTATCAGTTGTTTGCTTGTCAACATTGTGGTCGCTAAGGACCTTGTTAACTATATATAAGTTAGTATCGCATTTAAAGACGAAACGATGTAGCAATTGTTTACCTTGTTTCAAGACACCGGGAACATTGTGATGGATATAGATGACCTGTGGATATTAGTTATAGCCGATGCACAAGATGATGTCCGACTTACTCTTGCATGGTTTGGTTCATCCAGGGTTAAAGAGCGAAGGCTGACTTCTGGAAGATTTACAGCTCCAAGTGTCACACCAGAGTTGACATATCTGACCAAGGCGTTGCCGACTAAAACATGAATTAGCAACAGGATAGGGACGGCCATGGCAGGAATTCCCACCTTCTACACCAATTGAACGCTGCGCCTCTTCTGTGCTACCTCCAATGTGCGGCGAAAGAATTATATTTTTGAGGCTGCGGAGATCTTCCGCCCAGGCATTCAGGTTGCTGGTGAAATAGTCTCCGTTTCCACCTGGCTCGTTGGGATAAACATCTAGTGCTGCACCGGCAATCTTGCCATTGCGGGAGGCATTGATGAGGGCAGGAATATCTACGACAGTGCCACGGCTGGCGTTGATCAGGTAGCTTCCGGTCTTCATCTGCTCAAATTGGGGGGCCCCAATCATGTTCTTCGTCTCAGGCAGCTCTGGAACATGCAGTGTGACGAAATCGGAGCCGTTGAGTAGCGCTTCCAGAGTAGGAACCTGCTTTGCACTTCCTAGTGCCATGTGATTCACAACATCGTAATATATGACGGTCATACCCATTGCCTCGGCAAGAACAGACAACTGCGATCCAATATGGCCATATCCAATTATACCTGGAGATAAGCATTAGCCATGATATGATTTATAGACAAGGCCGAGATATACCAAGAGTTTTGCCACGAATCTCCCAACATTTCGCGCTGACTTTGTTCCAAGTCCCGCTGTGCAACTCATTGGAGCGGTCTCCAAGCTGACGAGCAAGCACAATTATTTCGCCGATGACTAGTTCTGCGACACTCCTGGAGTTTGCGAAAGGGCTGTTGAAGACGGCGATACCCTCCTTCGCAGCATACTCGAGATCGACCTGGTTCGTACCAATACAGAAACATCCCACCACAATTAAATGTTTGGCCTCACGGAGGACTCTCTCAGTGAGCCTGGTCTTGGATCTGATCCCGATAACGTGGACATCGCTGCAACTCGGATGTTAGAAAATCTTACGAATTCAGATGGCGGGGTCATGGTGGGGTTTTGCCGTACCGGATCTTTTCAATTAATTCATCTTCTGGCAGTGATGACTTTAGAGCTTCGACCTGGTAGCCTTGCCCCTTGAGGATGTCTTTGCCGCTTTGATTGACATTTTCTAAGAGCAGGATCTTGATATCTTGCGTATCAAATGGTTTCAGTTGTTTTGGCTGCGTTACAACCCGACCGAGCTGCGAGGCACCCAGACTCGACAGGGGACTGTGGAAAGCGGCCGTTGGGGAAGTAGACACGCTCAGAACATTAGAATTTGTCATTAACGACCTGTTGGCAATATCTCGTGCTTGTGTAGCCATATTTGCTGTATTGTTGTGGAATGAAGTGTTGGTGACTCAATGTGCAATCAATGTGGGGGAAGAAAAATTACAAATGGCGTCACGAGGCTGAACCTAGCCACCCACTCTGTCAGCCTTACCTGAGACTCGGGTAGAATTGATCCACAGGATAATTGAACGCATATTAATTGCCATCGGCATGGCCCAGAATGGGTAAGGTATTGCAGTCTTATCAGGGGCCCGGTCACATATATTCACAATGCAGGAGAGATCTGGTACACTGTGGTATTGGGGGGACTTTTTGTTTAACTTCTACCTATGTTAAACGCCATTACGATATTTGCAGGTATGAAGGGATCCAGTACAAACGCGAAAGGAGGGCATGGCTTCAAGAAGCAAAATTAGTCTAGAAGCAGTAAACGACGCATGTCATGATGTGTGTAGAGAAACCCCTATGCAAACGCCCGCATGATCCTCCCAAATCCACGACCAGGATCGCAAATATGCCAGCAGGTAGCGCGAGGGGAGGGAGGCGACCGGTCGGGAGACGAGAAGCGACAGATTGTAGAAGACCCAGGTCATCTAGCTCTGCTTGCACTCAGCAGCCTCTTGCTTTGGCTTCGCCGCATCATCCTATAATATTATCAGTTAGATTCTCATAATACCAGCAAAGACATCCTTACGTCATCATCAGACTCATCCTCATCATCATGATCCTCGCTCTCATCTTCCTCATCGTCTTCATCCTCAAAATCACCCTCCTCCAAGTCATCATCATCCAACTCCTCAAATTGAAGGGCTTCGCCAGTGAACCAATCAATAGCACGGGGGATCAGTTTCTCCTTAATATCCTCACCCAGCTGGTAATCGAGTTCAAGACGCTCCTCAATATCGCTTGCGGCATCGTCATCATCTTCATCCGTAGGTGCCATGGGTGGGGAGAAGAAGTTGAAGAATGATTCGGTTGGAACGGTCTTCTTGACAACACGAGTCTGCTTGGTGTCTACAATATCCGTCAGCATCAGCAGCAATATTTGGGTTGAATAGCTTACTCTTGTTGCGCTGTTTCTTGCTCTCAACACGGACCGTCAAATCCTTGCCGGTCTTCCAGTCGATCTTGTCACCCTCAGCATGGTCGTAAATGAAATCCCCTCCGTAGCCGCTCTCGTTCTGGTAGAAGTAGGTCTTCGTGATCGTCTTGTTGGTGAAGAACTCGTTCTCAGCAAACTCGAAGATTAAACGGAAGCCTGGCTTATCAAGATACTCCATCCGGACGTCAACCAGATCCTTGAGGGCAGCCTCATCTCTGTCGGTGATCATCTCGGCGAGAGAAACTTGGTTCTTCATAGCAGACAGCCAGAACTCTGGGATACCCTTGACGCTATCACCACCTTCATCAGACTTTGCAGTTGAATCTGTAGCATCATTCTCCTCATCTTCCTCGCCAGCCTTGACCTCCTCCTCGGTGGGCTCAGCCTTGCCATTCACAACCTGAGAGCGCTTCTCGTATAGCGGGGAGAACTTGGCAAAGTATTTCTTCTCCAGTTCTAGAACCTCCTCCTGGAACTCAGCCTCCAGCTTTGAGTGCTCCTTCTGTACACCCTTCAGGCCAGCGACGCGACGGCGGACAGGGGCGGGGAGAGATTCAACGTAGCCCGACGACCGTCCGACGAGGGAACCAAGCTTGCCCTGTATCATCTGGACAAGCTTTGGGTTTTGCGCAAAGATGGAAGCGGCCGCGGCACGGTCGAAGTCCTCTGTTGCGACGTTAGTGCACGAACCCAAATCCTAGTGAGGGGTAAAAGTGATATCCATACCTTCTTTAATCGTGCCAACACCGGGCTGCTGAGCGTGGGAAGAGATCGGAGCATTATTGGCAGGGGTGTTTTGAGGAGTCCTGTAACTATTATGAGCTCACAAGGTCGTCGTGGCGGCGCGTGGGGTTTTTGACTTACGGGGCGGTTTGGATATTCTGTTTCTTTGGTATCTCAGACATCTTGACGTATCGTTGACCAAGACCAATACCGGGCTCGCGCGCGAGATGGTTTCTTCACAGGGCGAGGGTATATGGTGGACGAAGAAGGTCAATGGGATGGTGGTGGTGGTTGTGGAGAAGTGAAGGGATGGCCGCAACTGGAGCGTTGTCAATACTTTCAGTTGTTGAGGAGAGGAAATCCATTTTTGTTAGCCTACAAATTGATTGCGCCACGGGCAGATTGATGCGTTCACCCGTTGTTTAGCCGGCTGTCACGTGGTGATAACGGTTAAAAGGACTGGCTGGTTTTGCAAGGTTGGTAGCCAGTAGTACTTCGGTCTTCAATGGCCAGGCTCGCAAACAACTACACCCCATAGAGCCAGCGATATGAGGTTTACATAGGCATCTCGACACGCGACAAGCGTGTCATACAACCAGAGACATGGACGGCACCAATGGGATTCCCATTAATCGTGCGCGGCGGAGCAGCTCTCGCGGCCATGGCTCCTCGAGGGCTAGGAGGGGCAGTTTCACTCCAATGTACCGGAGGGACTCGAATGTGTCGACCTCGAGCTTCCTCGATGAGGTGGAAATGGCACAGGATGAGATGTTCTCAGGGCCAATGGGCGAAAGTGTTCCTACCAGTGTCACCTCCTTCGCTCATCGTCGCGGCCGGGCGGATTCGACCGCAAGCTTTACATACGACCCGGGCGAAGAGGAGCAGCAGGTATTGCTTCCACCAGAAGACGAGAGTGCCATACAGGATGACGAATCCGAGATAGATTTTGGAGACGAAGATTCTATCGACCTAGAAGCTGGCGAGCTTCGACTTCTTCGAAGCGATAGTATGAGGACGGAGGGTAGCAATTTTGGGCCAGGAAAACGCATAAGCCAAAAGATTTATGTCGCCAATGAAGATCTGACTATTGTGGTGGCTGCGTTCCGGACATCTACACTAGGGTTTGCTATTTACACAATAATATGTGTATTAACACTTGGGCTTGGCTACCTTTTGTTGCGCTGGTTGCCTCGGTGGCAGGTGCGTATTGTTGGCACACCATGCCCTTTGCGAGACTGTAGCTGGGTTGTAATTGAGGTTAGTAAACCCAAGTTGAGGTTCAAGCCTTGAGCATTGGTTTCCCTTTTATGTTTGTTTGACAAAGAATCGAACCTGGGTATAGCCGTTGAACCTCGCTGATTTTAATAGAATCAATGGGGAGAGTTTGTTATCCAAGATGTGGATTCAAAAGAGTATGGACAGCCCTTGTCAACTGTCTTTGGCTCCGCGGAAAAGCGGTTTGCTCTTCAATACGATGAGGATTACGACCCGATTCTAGAAGATCTGCGAATACTTGATTATCGATATATGCGATTTTCATTTCATCCTCTAAAAGATAAATTCGTACTCTCTAATAGTTGGAAAGATCCAACGTGGACCAATGTCAGGTCGATTCGTGTCGGAATAACTGGGGACGAGAAAGATAATCGTGAACTTGTATTTGGAAAAAACTTGATTGATATCAAGGAGAAGACCATCCCCCAGCTCCTTGTTGACGAGGTTCGTTATTGATACTCCTCTTACGGAATTTAATGACTCACCTATGCAGGCATTCCATCCGTTTTACGTTTTCCAGATTGCCAGTCTCACGCTCTGGTCTATTGACGCATATTACTACTACGCTGCTTGCATCTTCCTCATCTCTGTTGTGAGCATCACTACTACCCTCATCGAAACTCGTGCGGTTAGTAGGTCCCTTCATGCCTAATTGTGTGCGTAAAATTAATTAGTTGTAGACGATGAGAAGGCTTCGGGAGATCTCTAGGTTTGAGTGTGACGTGCGTGTTCTTCGAAACTCCTTCTGTAAGTATTTCGCTCCTCAGGCATGTATTTCATTTTCTGATAAACTAGGGCGCTATATTCCATCGAGTGAACTCGTACCAGGAGATATATATGAAGTCACCGATCCTGCCCTAACCCACGCTCCTTGCGACAGCTTGCTACTCGCCGGGGATTGTATCGTCAATGAGAGCATGTTGACCGGTAAGATCATCTCTAGACAGACAGGGCTGGTTACTTACTATCGCAGGCGAGTCTGTGCCTGTATCCAAGGTACCAGCAACCGATCAATCGCTACGGCGACTCAACTTAGCTACCTCTTCAGTTACACCTGAGGTGGCACGACATTTTCTCTTTTGTGGAACTAAGATAGTTCGCGCAAGACGGCCGCAGGATGATAAAGCTGATGAAGCAGTCGCCCTCGCTATGGTTGTGAGGACGGGATTTAACACAACTAAAGGCGCTTTAGTCCGATCGATGCTCTTCCCGAAACCCTCTGGCTTCAAATTTTACAGAGACTCCTTCCGGTACATATCTGTGATGGGAGGAGTTGCTATGTTGGGCTTCGTTGTCTCGGTCGTCAACTTTGTACGGTTGAATCTGGCGTTCCATTTGATAATTGTTCGGGCGCTGGATCTGATCACCATCGTAGTCCCACCGGCATTGCCGGCTACATTGACAATTGGCACTAATTTTGCCCTCTCGCGCTTGAGAAAGAAGCAAATATTTTGCATCAGCCCTCAGCGTGTCAATGTAGGGGGCAAAATAGACATTATGTGCTTCGATAAAACCGGGACACTGACTGAGGATGGTCTGGATGTCCTTGGTGTGCGTGTGGCACAGAAGCCATCTACCCGCTTCAGTGATATCCTTGCTGATGCTATTTCTCTCCTTCCTCGTGCGGGATATGAGCGCGATCCTTCAGTCCAGTACGATTTTCACAAGGCTATCCTTTATACCATGGCTACTTGTCACTCATTGCGGGCTATGGATGGCGAGCTAGTGGGAGATCCACTGGACCTTAAAATGTTTGATTTTACGGGATGGTCGTTTGAGGAAGGGGAGCAGAGGTCCGGCGATGCTGAGGACGAGGAGCAAGGGGGTATTTCCCCATCAATCGCACGGCCTCCTGCTGGTATGGAATATGACCTAGATGATGAGGACAAAAACAGTACAACCGTAAGCCCTCTCAATCTCCTACATCTATATCATCTCTCTTTCCTTTCTGTTGAGATGATCATAACGTTTTTGCTAGCACTCGCCTATTGAACTCGGTATCTTAAAGTCGTACGATTTTGTTTCCCAGCTCCGACGAGCAAGCGTGATTGTTCGGAAATTCGGAACGCCGGGTTGCGATGTGTATGTTAAAGGAGCACCGGAATGCATGAAAGAGATATGCAAACCTGAAAGCTGTGAGTTTATTCCCTCTCGAGCTTGTTGTCTCGATAAATGAGGCTGTAACTGATGACATTTCAGTCCCAAGTGACTACGAAGAACTCCTCGCCCACTACACCCATAGGGGGTTCCGGGTCATTGCTTGCGCAACCAAGCATATCAAAAAGCTAAATTGGGTGAAGGTTCAGAAGATGAAACGACAAGAAGCGGAATCTGGTTTAGACTTCATAGGATTTATTATCTTTGAAAACAAGTTGAAGCCAACCACAACTGGGGTCTTGGACGAACTGTCAGAGGCTGAGATTAGAAAGGTAATGTGTACTGGGGATAATATCCTGACCGCCATTAGCGTTGCTAGAGAGTGCAATCTCATAGATAAGACTGCACATTGCTTTGTGCCCCATTTCTCCGAAGGTAAGTCAAAAGGTTTAGAAGCGTTGACATAGCTAATGCCGCTCCAGGCAATTATCAAGATCCCGAAGCTCGTCTCTCGTGGGAAAGTATAGACAACAGCATTTACACGCTTGATGAGCATACGCTTACAGTAAGTTGTTGTGCGAATTTCTTCACTGCTTGCTAATTTTGCTAGCCATTACCACCACCTGCGGAAGACGACGCTTCTCTGCCTTACGAAATTTCTAACCTGAGGAATTACTCACTAGCCGTAACCGGCGACGTGTTCCGTTGGCTAATCGATTTTGCTCCGTCAGATGTAGTTAATAGGGTTTGTAGCCGCCTAGCAATGTATGTGTAAGATAGTTGCTGATGATCATGTTTAGATGCTTGCTTGCGGCCAGGTATTCGCTCGGATGTCCCCGGATGAGAAGCATGAGTTAGTCGAAAAGCTTCAAGGCATTGGCTATTGTTGCGGGTTCTGCGGCGATGGGGCCAACGACTGCGGAGCTTTAAAGGCTGCAGACGTCGGCATCTCCCTGTCTGAGGCAGAAGCATCCGTTGCTGCTCCATTCACCAGCCGAGTTTTTGACATAACTTGTGTTCCACAAGTTATACGGTACCCGCTCCTCCAATTCTCTTTCAAAACTATTTCTAACACATTATTTAGGGAGGGACGTGCAGCCTTGGTCACAAGCTTCAGCTGCTTCAAGTATATGAGTCTCTACTCAGCGATTCAGTTCACTTCCGTCAGCTTCCTCTACGCTTCGGCTTCCAACCTAGGAGACTTTGAGGTATACCAAACTTTCGATTCTACGTTCTCGCTCTAGTACTAATACCTCGGTAGTTTCTATTTATTGATCTTGCCTTGATTCTGCCCATTGCAATTTTCAGTAAGTTTCGTAACCCGGTGTAATAGGTCCAGTGCTAACACATTCTAGTGGGTTGGGCCGGACCCTTCCCAACACTTTCCCGAAAGCGTCCAACAGCCAATCTTGTATCGAGGAAAGTCCTGACCCCACTATTGGGCCAAATCACCATTTGTGTGTTGATACAAGCTATTACCTTCATAGCGGTTCGAAAACAACCATGGTAAGTCGCCCACAAAGCGTCATTGTGAAGCATGCTAATAAAATACCTAGGTTTATCCCTCCTCACCTAGATAAAGAAAAGTCAAATATCGAGAACTCGGAGAACACCGCCTTGTTCTCAATATCATGCTATGAATATATACTGTCAGCGATAGTTCTATGTGTTGGGCCTCCGTTCCGCCAGTCGATGGCTCACAATCGTATGTTTCCATAAAAATATGCGTTCCGTGTTCCCGCTAATCGGTTTCTAGTACCATTTGTTGTCACCATTATTGTAGCTCTGCTCTTCTCTTCATACATGCTCTTTGAGCCTCCTGGGTGGCTGTCAAGGTTCATGCAATTGACAGAGATGAGTTGGGACTTCAAAGTTTTCCTCTTAGTATTGGGAGTTGGCTACTTCGCGCTGGCCTGGATATCAGAACACTACATCTTACCACGGCTTGCAAGATTCTTGGGCACTCTAAATGAATCCATCACGAAGAAGTCAAAAGTGCGGAAACAGTACAAACTCATTCTAGAAGAGATGCAAAGCCTACAATAATTTATGTAAATATAAATGAAAAGCTAACTGTATATATCTAATAATGTTGTATATATTTTGTACATTTATGTAGTCTTGCAAGCAGGAGGGCTGACGTTTATAATCGTCGAAAGGGCTAATGCGGAGAGTAGAGACCCATATTGAGATGGCACACTATAAGTCCCTCTCTGACGTTATATCTACCTCTAAGGGCAGTAATTCGGATCAGAATCACACATTAGCTTTTAGATAGTAGGGAGATTTAATAAAAGCACATCATCTTAGCGGGAAAAGATAGGATGTGTCGATCTTCGCCACAGCAATCCCATCACCATGAACGCCATCAAATATCTATTATATACTAGAATAAAGTTAGCGAATAGCATTATGAAGTAGGAACTTATATTCTAAGCGCTTGTCTAGGCCCGAGAATGCAGTGCTCACTGTTATATTTAAAAAAAGAATGGCACAGACTTAGCTTAGGCTGAGATTGTTGCGTTCGAGATTTGTTTTGAGAAGGTGCGTGGGATGAGCATATTTGATTTGTGTCACTTATTGAGCCGTTGTGGTTATCATATTATGTGGTCTATATAATGCCAGCCACATGACTGCCTCGCTCCCTGGCCTATATAAATCAATATAGGCGATTTTTGGTTTAAGGAAGACAAAAGGCGGCCACTTGGCTAAGTGGTTCAGGTCAAATTGTCTTCTGGGGAGGATCGATAGGGCGAAAGCAACCAAAACGACAAACAACAAAAATTTACAAGAGATGTAGGCATTCGACACCGGGCCGAACTCTTTTGCTTCCAGAGTATAGGAAAATGTATTGATATTTTTGTTTCTATTTCCTACCTTCCTAACGGATGTTAATTCGCTATACGATTGATGGCTGTCCCAGACAGCCCAGACCATAATAAGACGCTCCAAAACCCAAAGTGAATTGTGTAGATTCGTGATTCCAGGTATAACGCTGATAAATATTCTGCCAGCATACACCTAAAGCCGGGGTACTATAGGCATACAAGACTCCATCAGACGGTTCTCGCACCTAATACTTATCCATTGACTATGATTCTCACAACTTACCAGATGAAAATTTGAGCGTTATAACCCACAGCCTCTGGGGGGAATCTTCGTTTGCATGGGGGAAAATTGTAGGCTGGAGAATGTAGGGGGTGGCATCGAGAATGCGAGTTTGAATGGTGGTATTGAATTGGGGGCCTTGAATGACAACTGAGTCCAATTCCATCCTCCAAGAACTAACCACTCTATGATTTGTATTTCCTTCGTTTTGCCAACGCCAACATATTTACACTCCACAAGCCCCAAGCGATCCCAATACACGACTCTTCTATGTCGATCTAGTTCAATGGTCCCAAGGGTGCTTCCATCCAAGTAATGCTGGACCTGCGGGCGAGTTAGAGTGCAGTTCCGTCTCGCGAGGGTCAATGGCCTACCATCTTGCTTCGCCCGATACATCAGCTATGACATCGTTAGTACTTCAATTGATGGTCACATCCGTCTTGACTACTCACGAAAAACCACATGCTTGCTGACAGACCTGTTGCAGCAAACCGGTACAGCGGTCGCGCAGGAGGGATCGGATAGAGTGGGTGTTTGCCTGCCATTGTGCTTGCCTGACTATCAGTATGTATGCGAGAGAAGACATTGGAGCGAACGTACATGAGCAGACTTGGAATCGAGGTTGATACTGCTAGGCCCACGAGCTTTGGGATCTAGAGCTTATGTTGTCGATGCTTCGGTCGTCGATGTGGGAGCACCCGGATTAACCTGCTGCCGCACCGAGGAAGCTAAAGGCAAGCTAGCCTCTTCGGGTCCCTCGCAGCTGGTGGTATTGTCATGTCAATGAAGTTTATTGTCTATACAGTATTCGCCCATTAGCTGGAGCAACTAGTATTGTTGTTCCAGGACTCCATTATTTACGACTTAACCAACTGGCTTGCGATGCCTGACAGTACAGATTTACGCTATTTGATTTCGCCCTGATTCTTTCCTTCCTCGACTTTCACCGTCTACACCTACATCTTCATCGAGCTTCTTTGCGCCAGCTCTGCACCCTGCCCACACACCGATCAATGAACGACAAAGCAGCCTACCTGCAGTTTGACAGCCCAAGTCCAAGCAAACCCTCAATATGGCGACTCCATCTCACCAGCTGAGTCCCCAAAGCAACGCCTTCTCGCCGCGCGCTTTTGCGGTCCAAAATGGACGGTCATCAAACAGCTTCCGTGGTTGCTCGAGGATCACCGACTACGACATCATAGGAAAGTTGGGAGAAGGGACATTTGGAGAGGTTCACCGTGCGCGATCAAAGAAGATGGGAACTGTGGTTGCATTAAAGAAGATTTTGATGCATAATGAGAAGGATGGGTTTCCGATCACCGCCCTCCGAGAAATTAAGCTGTTGAAGCTTCTGTCGCATCCAAATATCCTCAAGCTGGAAGAGATGGCAGTCGAACATCATACAAAATCCACGGACAAGAGAAAGCGCGCGATTATGTACATGGTTACTCCATACATGGATCATGATCTCTCTGGTTTACTCGAAAACCCCAGTGTCAAGTTCACCGAACCGCAGATCAAGTGCTATATGCTTCAACTCCTCGAGGGACTACGATATTTACATGAGAACAAAATACTCCATCGAGATATGAAGGCTGCAAATCTCTTGATCAACAACAAAGGGATATTACAAATTGCGGATTTTGGATTGGCGCGACATTACGATGACCCACCTCCGGTAGCTGGCCATGGCGGAGGAGATGCGACGAGAGATTATACTACACTTGTGGTCACTCGATGGTATCGTCCTCCGGAGCTTTTATTGCACCTAAGGAAATATACAACGGCCATTGACTTATGGGGTGTGGGGTTTGTAGCCCTTGATCTTTGATTTTGAGACCAAAACTAACTCTCGCTCAGTTGCGTATTTGGCGAGATGCTTATTGGCCGGCCCATTCTGGCTGGCGACAGTGATCCTAATCAGCTAAAGATCATCTTCGAGTTGGTTGGTACTCCAACTGAAGAGACCATGCCAGGATGGAGATCTCTGCCTGGCGCCGAGGGGATGAACTTCCCTCCACGGCCTTCCAGCTTGTGGCAGCGCTTCCGAGAGTGTGTATACCGCGTTTTAATATTCTAGAAATGTTGCTGACAGAAGGTAGATATGGCTCAGGTGCCATTTCACTATTGGGCGAGTTGCTGAAACTCGATTGGCGAAAACGTGTCAATGCTATCGATGCATTGGAGCACCCATACTTCAAAACTCCGCCTTTGCCTGCAATAGCAGGCGACTTGCCAACCTTCGAAGACTCTCATGAACTGGATCGTCGCAAGTTTAGAAGCCAAAAGGCTGCCCCTCCACCAGCTCCAAAAGGAGGCACTGTGGGCATGGGTCCGACAGGTGGATGGGGAGAACCATCTACAAATGGTACTGGTTATAGCCATGGTGATGGGTATGGCGGTTACCGTCACCATAATAGCGGTCGCTATCCTCCTCACGGCGGGCACCGCAATGGCGTGCCACCTCCCCCACCACAGGACGACCGCAGACCTGCGTGGCGACGTGATGACCGACCAGACCCAAGAGGGCTACCTCCAAGACCACCACCCGTCGACTATCATGACGCCGGTAGGGGTGATCGGCCAGATGGATATAGATCTCGGTCGCGTGAGCTAGATCGGGGCCCACCACCTCCGAGAAGCAGGGGTGGAGTTCCAAATGTTGATACATACATTCCCAGTTATGGCGCCGACAGTGGGCGGAGAGACGACCGACGTAGACGTGATGACCGCGACGATCGTCGGCACGTTGGAGATAGAGACCGTCACAGCACTAGAAGCCGAAGTCGCAGTCCTGCTAGAGAACGCGATAGAGATAGGATTCGAGAGCGGGAACCAATTGATAGGGAGAGAGATAGGGACCGTGTCCGCGATCGTGATATTTACCGTCGGTAATTACGGGTAGTGTTTTCGGAATGGGCTTGGAGAGATGGATATGTTTTAAACGGAATGGAGTGGAATGGCTAGAGCCGGCGCTGTGGGTGTATCACACTCTTGTGTGTGAGGCGTTCGGGGCAATATCTGGGCTCTATTGAATGGGGCTTCTTTATTATGATTGCCACTTTATTATACAGCCATACTAGGCTGACTAGGACTTGATAATGTCCTAAGTTGAAATCAAATTTATCTCTGCTGGATCATGATGCATCGTAATAAGAGACTTGGACAAACACTGCGAATCATAGTTCTGCGTGGGCTAGCTCTAGAAATCTTATTTCTATATGCATTCACTGTTATCACTGCCTATGGCGCTATGTAACTCCAGCATACCATCAAAAGCACCCCGGAACACCGTAGAATGCGGCAATAATCCTTGATTCCCATCTGGCACCCCTCCCCGCTATGCAACGAGTAACGCAGGCTAAACAAAAAGCACACTCAGCTCCCGAATCTAACTCGCTAAGTCTATCCTTGTCTCAATAGCAAATCACTTCTTCGTATGTCCAGCATCAGTAACTTCAATCGGCACAGGCAATGGTGGCAATGACAGCGGCGACGTCACCCTTCCTTCATTTTAGCAAAACCACTCTAGTTTGAACCGCAAAATTAAACATACCTCAATAGCTCAAACTCGTTATACTTTCTCAAATAACTGACCCCCCGTCGATAAGCTTTCAGTGCATCCGCCGGAGCCTTATGGGTAAATTGTTGTCCGACGAGTTTGGTGATATTGGGGGCATCATGGAACATAGGGTCGAAAACTATGATGTTCCTCGAGCCGTCTGATCTCTTTTCGAATCCAACGATTGTCATCGAGTGGCCTTTTTAACTGTCAGTATATCGTGCCAGCAAGATTCCGAGGGGGAGGAGTACCTGGGTGTTGAAAATACATTGGAGGAAGAGGGGTGCAGCGGGCTTTGGGATGAAAATCTAGACAGCCGTTTGCGAAGTATGCTTCTACGGCTTGGAACAAGAGCTGATATGCTGTTTGGGTTTCAGTGTTGGGTTTTTTCGATTTTTTGGGTTTGAGGCCCTGAGCTTCGCAGCTGATGTAAGTTAGTTGTAGAACTGGGTGGGGATGGAAGGGAGATATACGCTATTCCGAGACTGCAGAACATTGCCTGTGCCTGGGTTAGAACTGTTAGCGAGAGGTGACGAGAGACGTAAAGTTCACATCTGGGTGTAGGGATGACATGGGATATTCAACTAACATCTGGAGTCCCGATATATTTTCTTGTTCCACGGATCCCCCCAGTTTCGATACGGCCTTGTGCATTGATACCCAGGTCCCACGCATTTTCAATGTAATCTTGAATTTCGAAAATAGTCGGGATTTTGCCGTTAAAACACTCGTAGCCTTGGGATTTGGCCTCGATAATATGTGAGCTCAACATCTGGATATTGCGGTATCCGCAGAACCCCCCTTCAAAAGGTTAGATCATACCAGAAGACTGAAATCAAGGTAGCTTACCCTCCCTCTTAAGCTTAGAGATGTGCTTCACTGCTGGGTGACACAGGTACGCATAATCGACCGAGCCATCTTGCTCAAGCAACTGCTCAAGGATAGGAATAATCCCCGACGCTCGATTGATGCACACTTTGAACTTTTTCAATTTCCCATCGGTGTTGACCCTATTGACAGTCGAAATCTCCCCATCAGACTCCAGTAAATTAACAAGCCAGGCCGGCATCTGCTTCTCGTTCGCATGGGGACCCAGTTCCGATTTCTTGAAAACCATCAATATCTCATGATGAACGGAGCCAAGGTAGGAGGGACTTACTCCTAACCTCTTTTTGGCACCTTTCGAGCTACCACTGGCTGGAGAAGCTGGCTTTTGGGTGGAGGCATCTGGCATCTTTAAAAGACCTTTCCAGACGGCTTTTGCACTGGCTTGGCGCTCGGATGGGCTAGGTTTGGCTTCGCCAACGCCTTCATCATCTCCGATATTTCGTAGGGCGTGAGATAACTTAGCATCAAAGGAAGCCTCGATTTCAGGTTCCAATTTTATATTATTGGATACTGCTCCCGATTCATCGCCAGAATCTTGCTCCGCGCTATGCATCTCCAGATGGCTGTCAAACTCCGTCCTAAGAAGCACCTCGCCGCACCCCTCGACTGGGCAGCTCGAGTACTCAGCATCTTGATCATCCGCCAGGGAGAGAACCGCTGCAAGGCTGGCATCATCTTTCACTACGAAGGGCGATTCGCCACCTTCGGGATGGACCGTCTCCATATGCAACTGTGAAACGTTTAGAAAAGGCGTACGTAAGCAAGGGGTGGTATAGTGGCAATTACCATGATTTGATACTCGTTGTCTGTGTTATAGCCACAGAAAGGGCATGACATCTGTTCCTCTTCCATGGCTTCGGATACAGATCGAAGCCGAGATCGAGGTCAAGGTCGAGGTTTGCGGCGTCCCAGTCCCTTCACCGCATTTATTCTACCAGGCCGCCGACTTGGGAACTTTGAAATATTTTCATTCCAGCAAATGGTATCATTCAAATGAGTGCTAGAGCCTCTTGCTAATAGAGAGCAATGCTCATTTGATTCTGAGAGGTTAAAGATATTTCTTCATGTAGTCTTCAGGAAATTCAGCACTGGGTGAGTGAGTTAGTGAGTGAGTGCATAAAAGGTGTTGTACGTTGGTTGTCTCGGAAGTTATGGTTCGCTTAACTGATACCAGTAAGACAACAAACGTCCTTCTGGAATGTAATGTTTCACATTGTGCACTCCTCGGAAACATGAATTTTCGGAATCAAAAGTTTTCTATGAATTTTTTATATTCAGGTCGCTTGCTTCTACAGACTATCAAAAGTACGTAGTAACCCGCATTCCGAGCAAGATTCTATCAAAGCATACATTCATCGCTTGATGGTCCCTTCAACTCCTTTTAGACCTTCAGATCCTTTAATTGCTCCGTAGCAGCACCAGCTCCAGCAGCAGCTCCATCCACAGGGGCGGCCTTCTTGGGCTTCTGCGCTTTCTCTGACTTTGCCCACTTAGCAGAAGTAGTGTCCTTTGGCAATTCCTTTGTGAAAGGGATGAATTCTGGGGCTCCAGGCATGTATTTCCGGAGAGGCTCAGGGACAATGAAACCCTGTTATTCCATCGTCAGCTAACATAAATGCATTACAGTCAGGTATTACTCACTTCTTCAGTTTGGAAGTTTTCCAGCAGGCAGCAGAGTGCTCGCTCCGTTGCACAAAGCGTCGAGTTAAGTGCGTGAACATATTTCTTCCGGATCTCCGTCTGTAGCTTAGCGCCATAACGGATCTCAAGAGCTCTTGATTGGTAGTCTGTGCAATTCGAGCAGGAGACAAGCTCCTTGTACTCGCCCTGGAAAGGGAACCAAGCTTCGAGATCGAACTTCTTAGCAGCAGCATTATTCAGCGCTCCAGAAACGATGGCTGTGACACGATAAGGGACGCCGAGAGACTTGTAAAACTCTTCAGAGACGTGAATCATGTCGTCGAAAGCCTCCCATGACTTCTCGGGGTCGGTAAGGACAAACTGCTCCACCTATTCCAAAAATTAGTCAGTACGCGTTCCTGTAATTCTGACTCTCTAACGGATAATGCCTACCTTCTCAAATTGATGAACTCGAAAGATACCCCAGGCATCTTTTCCTGATGAGCCTGCTTCTCTCCTGTAGCAAGTGCTGAACCCAGCATATTTGATTGGCAAGTCCTTTGCAACCAACCACTCATCCGCATGGAATGCAGAAATAGGTTGCTCCGAAGTAGCAATCAGGTACTTATCATTGTGTGGGTCCCCATCCACGACCTTGTAGAGCTCCTCGTCGAATTGCTCAAGTTGCGCCGTCTTCGCCATGTACTCCTTCAACATGAATTGAGGGGCCTGTAGTGGGGTGTATCCCTTTGAATCGAGGAACTCCAATCCGTAGTTGATCAAGGCTTGGTTCAAAAAGACGCCCCATTTTCGCAAGAAATATCCTCTGTGTCCGACAACCTTGACTCCGCGCTCTGGATCGTATCCATCTATCCGTGTCAACACCTCATGATGGGAAAGGCAATCCCGCTTCTCAGCCGTGACTCCTTCAGGCGCCCATGTCCGAAGAATCGAATTATTATCCTAATACACAATTAGCCGCTACTTCCCGAGCCACGATAGATCCAAGCCCCAGCTGCATACCTCATCGTCATGTACTGGCACTGACTCATGAACAATATTGCCGATAGTCTTCAGCTTCTTTCTCAACAGCACATCCTTCGCCGCGGCAGAATCGGAGGCCGCCTTCTTCTCCTTCTCAAGCTCCACCTTCTGCTTCAGCAGGTCATCCGCATTCTCCTTAGCCTTCTTCTTTGCGCCAATTTGTTTTTGAGTCTCGTTGATTTTCGTGTTGATCTGCGAAACCGAATATTGGGCTGTAACAACGTCAGTCAGTAGCAAATCCCACAGAAGAAAAAGTTAAGATCTCCGGCTTACTCTTTCGGTGATCCTCGTAGAGCGCAATTACTTCATCCACAGCTTCTTCGGGGGCATACCGACGCCTCTGTGACTCCTTGATCTTCTCCGGGTTCCCGCCCTTCTCGACGATGAAGTCGAAGATGTCGAGCATATCGAAGTGAGTATGCGTATATACTCTAGAGAGAACGATCGGAGGCTATAGGCGGCGGTTGGAGTTGTGGAGTTGTGGAAGTCTGCGAATAATAATAAGTTTTGACTCAGCCTTCCTTTTCGTGGTGGGGGAGAAGGGGGGTTTGAGAGGACAGCAGGGGTTTGTTTATCGAGGCGCGGGGTTACTTTTCTCCTGGACTTCTCCCCGCCCTCCGATCTACGGATCTCACATATGAACTAATACAGCCAGCGCGACTCGAATAACCTCACTTTGCGGCGGCTGAATATTCGAATGTTCTAGGAATTTTGACACTCTCTAGGAAGTATAGCCTTCGTAAGGTGTTGTTCCCGAAAACCACCGATTTGTTCCTATTATGCGCCATACTCACGTGCAAAACGAAAATACCGAATTAATTCTCGAGGATCATCAGCCGAAAAGATCTTCTCTTCATTATGTATAGCCCTACTAAACGCCGGAAGTATTGGTACAGGATGCAAGACCTCTCTAAACGCCGGAAGAAACAACAACAGCAGTACCATGCACACACAGAGCCACCCATAATCAAAATCAAACCATTATCATCCGCCGCCAGCTCTTCACATCACCTCGCAACCCTTCTCTCCAGTCGGCTCATTAGGATTCTGCGACTTCTCAACCTGCATAATCATCAACTCAAAAGCCTTTGTGACATTCTCATTGTATCGGGCGCTGGCCTCCGTCCAAGCGCACTGGAACTTCTCTGCCAATTCCTTGCCCGCCTCGGGAGTGACTTGTCGTTGCTCTGGCCGTAAATCGCTCTTGTTGCCGACTATGACAATAGGAACCCATTCGGAACCCTTTGGGAGGAAAGTCAGCGAATTGAAAATTGGGACGATATGGCGGTGGCTTACCAGATGGTTTAGAATCTTATCTCGAATAACCTGAATCATCTCGAATGATTGCATGGATGCTACCGAGTACACAAGCATATACCCATGTATTCCAATGAAGTGCTTCGAATTGAGAATGCTGTACTCATCCTATTCTAGCGATCAGCATAGGATTTCAAAGCATAGGCATGATTGACGTTGTAGTGTCAAAAGGTAAAATAAAGTTACGATGAGAGAACAGAAACCGAGTCTTACCTGACCAGCCGTGTCGATGATCTCGGTGGCATATTCCTGGCCTTTGAACTTAATGACCTTGCTGAACGTATTCTCGATGGTGGGATAGTAACTCTCCACAAAGTGCCCGTCGACGAATTGCACCGTGAGCGACGATTTGCCTGCAAACCCGTAACAAAAACATGTGAGCGTGTCCCCTCTACAAAACACAACAAACCCCCATTTACGGGACGACAGCGGGCGCGTTGCCAAATTGACTTACCGACCGAGCGACTGCCCACAATAGCGATCTTCCGCTGCTTGGCGGCGGCAGGAGGCATCGTGAACGTCTATTTATCTTCCCTTCTCTTTTGTAATATGTACAGATATGTCGCGGCGGAACAGCGACTGGACAGTTTTCGTTAAGTTGGTGCTCAGTTTGTTTGTGTTGGGCATCAAAGCGTAAAGTACCAAAACGTAAGGTCAGGTATGTACTGTACGTAGCAGGCTCTAGCCAGGCCTGATGATCGTACGTCCCCTAACACAACACGAGGCTGAAAGGGCGCTAGTATTAGGCTTGGCTTTAGCCTGAGCTTGGAGGTGTTGTCAAAGGGGCGTCTGCGACTGGTGCCGATTCTCTTGTGTATTATAATTCTGTGTCGGGAGTCGAGGAACAACGCTCGCCAAGAGCGTAGAACCAGACGTCATACGCATTCCGTGCTTGGCCTAGCCATTCCTCCCCATCAAAAGCATGCCCTTCCCTAGTAATTGGCTGAAAATCTTGCAAATGATTAGCACCAAAATCCCCAATTGCCCCTTGGCTTTTCGGGTTGTTCCGCGTGGAAGGGATGACATCAGGGCGTCGCAACCTTTCCAAGCCTCTTGATATTTTCATGTGGCCGTCTGCGGTTTTGGGTAATCAACCACCGCTGGGAACGTTCAAAGGATCAACTTGAATTACGGCGCACTATTGGGCGAATTTGGTGCAGAACCCTTTCGCGCGAAATATGAGGTACCCACGGCCATTACCTACCTATATATGACGCCGATATCGAGTTTCTATACCGTATCTGACCGAAATTGAGATATTCGAGCGACTTGAATACCTCAACTTCGGTTAGACATGGGAGCCTGGGCTACAGGACATAAGATCCCGGTTCTAGGAAAAGTCTCCCTTTGCGTTGAATAATAATTATAGTGCTGGTAGACAATGGCCGTTGGGCCTTGCAATACTGGCGACAAGAGGTTTGCACCAAATTCGCCCAAAGAATGCGCCATAATCAATGGTCATTTTGGCAAAATGTCTTGCTTTTGCAGAGCACTGCAGAGGAATTCTTTCATCGGATCAATGGCCGCCGATTCATTTCTAGAGTGGCTGCCCGCTAGGGCGAACGGATTTTAAGACACAAGATTTCGTAGAATAAGGGTATATGCAGTACATGCGAGTAGCACACAGCCGCGCCAGCGTTACATCGTAAATTCTTCCGATCATACTTCATACTAACAAAAAAACCATGCCCAACCTCTAGATCCCTAGCTAACACCCCCCGTCGACGCCCCATGAACCTGCCTTACCAAATATGTTCACCAATGTACCCTTTCCCTCTATAACATCCTTAATTTATCTACAAGACTTTCTAATCGCTGCGTTAAACCCGTTTGCGGGTTATATCCTTCTTGATCTGCTGCAATGAGGTCAACAGCCTTGTGGTGGCCGATGAATTCCTCGATTGACGCTACTAAGAGACGAGGTGTATTCCTCTGTCGGTTTTCGATCCGCTGAGAGATAGCTGGCAATAATGACAGATATCCCAGTAGCACTGAGAAATAGCCAAAGGCGACGTTCTTCTGGCTCTCTTCAACTGACTCCGCCTAAAATATATGTCAGCATGGCAATCGGCATCACGCCGAATTGAGCTCTTACCATGGAAGTTCTTTCCTGGTTGTCTATAAACGTCTGGATCATGCTATCCAGAGGATCGCTGGTGTCGCCCTGTAGATTTTGAAGGCTTTCTCGAGCAGCAGAGCTCCACTCGGCAAAGTTGATCATTACCCCCAAGACCAAAATGAGATGATCCACAGCCACCGAGAAGTCTTCTTCGGTCAAGAAGCGAAATATCATTTTGAATTTCGCAACGATGGCCTGGCCCATCGCAGACATTAAGACCTCTCGAGCAAATACATCCGAGGCCTTTGGGTTGTTGTTTGTGACATTCAGCGTCAGGCGCAAAAGCAAAAGCTGGAGCACCCCAAACCCGTCTACTGGTCGTGTTAATCCAACCTCAAGAGCGTCTGCAATTATTGGCAGATAATCCGTGATCCAAATACTCTCATCGCGAACCGTCCGGGCTCTAATGGAATGGGACTCTAGTGCCGACAGCGCGAGATGGAAGTCAATCGCTTGTTGGCTCCTAGGGAGGTCCCATGAGCTATCTTCAGGGGCAGACTTCAAGATTGCGAAAATTTTGGTCGTCAATTCTTTGGAGAAGACGTCGCCTTCGTGTCCAGCTTCTCTTGTTTGACGAACCATAATCTCCAGACACTTCAACGCGATTGTCTGCGGCGATAATATTTGTGGTTGCAGATCCTCCCAGATGGGGAGCTGTAACATATATTCATGGTGCTCCGATAGTAGTTTTTGACCAATCTTCGACATGTTCGACTTTCTCTCCTTTGCAACGGCCACAATGCCCGACTGAACATCTAGAAGGCGAATGAGGAGCCTTGCAATTCCTTGCCGACGTAGCTGTGCTACGAAGGGGGGTACGCTGCCATCGACTAACACAGTCACAAGCATTGACACCATAAGATAGCCAGCTATGACATCGGTCTCTTGGCCCAAATGCACGAATAAGCGTTGCTCAACATTGTTCGCTCGGAACTGCCTCGTAAAGTTTTTGTCCTTCAGTTTGCATGCGATATCTAGAAGACCAGATCTTCTCGTTGAGGGTTTCGTGGCATTGGGACTTCCAACCCGGTCAAGAAAGTCCTCTACCTCATCTAAGAATCGACTATTTGCGCCAGCCTGTCGCAATTCATGCACACTGCGGATAGCAGCTCCTGTACCTTCACCGTCTTCATCGTCTTCTTGAAAACTAAGTGGTAACGGGAGCTTTGGTATTTCTCCTCTACGAGGGCGCCGGCCTTGAGAGCCTTGAACTGGGGGCGTGGGCATGTCCAATGCTAGTTGTTGCATAAGATCTGCCTCAGCTAGCATAGATCGCTGTCGACTATAGGTGATTTTTGGGCCGGTTGTTTGGGAGTTCTGGCTGCTTGGGGGAAGGTCGGGTTGATCTTGAGTCGCTGTTGCAAGACTTTGACTCATCGGCACATCTTCCAACGTCGAGGGAGGAGCAAGAGAAGGAGAAACATCTGGCATGGACTCAGAGGTGTTTTCCTCTGAGTCATCCTCATCCGTGTCGTCCTGATCTCTGCTTTGTTCCACTAGAGAGTCAATCAATCGACGGCGGGGTAGTTTATGACGAGGGCTTTGCTGGGGTTTCGAAATTCCTCCAAGTTTGGAGGGGGATTTCCTGTGCTCATATGTCACAGATGCTTTTAACTGCGACCTTGATGACTGAACCGGCTCAACACTTATATCCATGGCATCTCCTTCCTCGTTGGCATCAACCGAATTCAGCAGTCCTTTCCACATCAGTAGCCCTTTTGGAGACATGTACTTAGAATCGGGGTCCATATCCATCATATCCACATCGCTCAACTGAGGAGAGGGTGTGCCGGATTGCAACTTCTTGCTTGGTGATATGCTAACCATTGGCGGTGCTCGTGGTGCTTTTGATTGCGCTTGGTCGGCCTTGAGTTTTGGTCTGGCAACCACAGTGCTTACGAACAGCGTTTCTGGCGATTTATTATCTATATTCGCGGCTGGTGACCTGGGTAGAGGCTTTGATGTCGTGGCTTTTGTCGATGGGGCCTTTAGAGGGGGTTTGAGAGGGGCCTTTCGAGCTGGGGAGAGTTTCGCCCTTTTCCGGCCCTCCATATTTTCTGCTCTTACTTCTGGCACTTCTTTAGGATTCGCATTTTTGGGTAGCCGATCTACCGTCGTCTTCTTGCTGACTTTGGGAGCCAGCTTGCGCGGGGTGGGAAAGACTTCCTCGTCACTTGAAGGCACATCGAAAATGTCGCCGCCGCGTACTGGCGAGGCAGATGACGGCGTCCTTGATGACGGTCTTTGGTGAAATCCGTTCACATTTGGGGAATGCGTGGGACGCTTTGCCAGAGGCGCAGTCACTTCTGATTCGGTTTCAGCTTCCAGTTCCACTTCCACCTCTGGCGTTTGCGTTTGCGATTGCGATTTTTGGGAGGCTGATGAGAAGTTGAATTCTGGTATGCGCTTTCGAGCGGTTTTGCCATAGGTTGCTATTTTCTTCCGGCGAACGCCGTCACCGTAAACCGTAGCCATCTTGAAAGCAATCGACAAATCTATTTATGCGCGTGGGTAATCAGGACTGATGTAGTAGAGAATGTGATGCTAGGACTGCGCGCCGGGCTCAGTCATCCTTTAGCAACAGCCCGCAATTAGAAGTAGCCGTTGTATTCGTGTAGAAAGGTGGACGGCGAGGAAGCAATGCTGCCTCGAAAAATATGAGGTATAACAAAGGAATCAATAGATATGTAGAAATCAGTATCGATCTGAGATTCGCAGTCTAAGGGAGAATCAAGGCAGCCCGGACGCCGCAGAGAAAGCAATGCGATAAAGGGCAATCTGCTGCTCGCGTTCTTCAAGTCCAAGTCCGGATTCAGCTTCGGGGTCAGGATTCCAGGGACCTTGTGCTTCGTTCTGTCGCACTCCCCTCTGGATTGCTGGATGACATACGGCGGTATCACTCAACCCGATCTCGAGCCGATGGAGGTTGCCACAGCAAACGGGTTGTGGCTGGTGATGTGGCCGTGGCTGTGGCTGTTGGATAAGGTAAGCAGTAAACAAAAAATACGAAGTGCTCGGCATTATCATTAGTCATCCCCCACTGCTATCGGTGGCTATCTGCGGCGAACCAGTTCGCGTTGACTGACTTCAGTCCCCTCACGGGCCGTCCCACTTGATGTTGATTTTGCTCACGCGACATAACTAACTTCCATTGATAAGCGTACAAGACTACAAGTACCGACCGTAGGTTATAAGTTTCCAGCTCCAGCCTTGGAGATCTTTTTTAATATATAATATTGCCTTCAGGATACCCAAGGGGAGTTCCACTCGGCACATATATCCACGAGCCTAACTATCAGATTTGACGCCGAGGTGGTTCCAATCAGAGTCTGGGACTAAGCAAGATCTGCACCGAGTCCATTACACTACTCCACTCCATTGAGCAGTGGCTCTTGGTCAGACGCCTCATTTTTCTCACATACATCGTACTCGAAGACACGGACGATTTTACTATCAATATGGCATCCTTAGCAGAAGGTGCCTCGTTTCCAAAGCAATGCGTCGGCCCACGTTACCGTCCAGAAAAGCAGAAACCCACTGCCACCGTTTCAACTGAGGTGCCATTCGAAAATGTGCATACCCTCCCTCAGACCCCGCAGCTTATCGCACTTTTGACGTGGGTCACACAGGGCAGACATTCCATTGAGTACCGGCTTACTGATTTGCCCATTTTTACAGCATGATCAGGGACAAGAAAACCGAGCGGGCAGATTTCATCTTTTATTCCAACCGCATCATTCGCTTGCTGGTCGAGGAAGGACTAAACCATCTCCCAGTGGTTGAACATCCGATTACAACCCCCGTTGGGCGCTCATATGCAGGCGTCATGTTCCAGGGGAAAATATGTGGTGTTTCAATTATGAGAGCTGGAGAAGCCATGGAGCAAGGGTTGCGAGACTGTTGTCGTTCGGTGAGAATCGGCAAGATTTTGATCCAGCGGGATGAGGAGACCTGCCAGCCAAAACTCTTCTATGACAAGCTCCCTGAAGATATCGCAAGTCGTTGGGTTCTGTTATTGGATCCAATGTTTGCAACAGGTGAGTATATCCTTTTGCTGAGGACTTGCCTTCGTAGGAGCTAAAATATCGTACAGGTGGCTCTGCGATCATGGCCGTGGAGGTGTTGATATCTCGTGGTGTGCCAGAGAACCGTATCCTCTTTCTGAATGTCATTGCCAGTCCACAGGGCATTGAGAAGTTCTCCAAAAAGTTTCCCCAGCTTAGAGTGGTGACAGCATTTATAGACCAGGTTAGTAATAAGGTCCCTGAAATAAACTCAGATCGAACACTAACAACTTGGATAGGGTCTCGACGAGAAAAAGTGGGTTGAATTAACCTCTTCGATTGCCATTGCTAACTAACTGCGTAGCTATATTATTCCTGGCCTTGGGGACTTTGGAGACAGATTCTACACCATGTGAAGGTTTGTATTTCTGCGATGCGCTGAAATCGGAGGCAGTTGCAGATGGAGTACTGGAGTTGCCCACACGTAGCATTTACACGTATATCGTTTGCCAAGTATGAAATTACAGTATACAGATGGAGAAATGAAGCCACTCGAATCTCCTCTTGGAAATTTATACCGTAGACTGCCACCTTTATGCCCTTTCACGCCGAACTCCATTCCCAGCCCTGTCGAGGATCCTAATACTCCTCATCGTCTGCAACTATGCCATTCCCACGGTATCCGCCCCCGAGCCCATCCTCATCGTCCAGAATATCATCGTCGTTATCGTCCTCCTCCTCATCCTTGGGTCTGCCTTGACTGAGTCTCCCAGCAGCAGGAGCGCGCGCGGGTGCTAGATCGCCGCCATATTCTTCGCCGCCCTCTTTAGCAACTGCATCGCAAGCATCAACCCAATCCGAGTAAACGTCAACAGCGGCTGAAAGATCTGTGGGCATTGTCAGCGGCTTTGTTATCCCGGCGAAACCCTGGCGGTAGCGACTAACAATTGACAGAGCATTGGAACTGCTGACTGCAGACTTTGCAGGACAGCTGGCCAACACCAGCTTTCTTATCCAGTTTGACAGAAACTGACTTTTCGTGATTGCAGAATAGACAAGGGAATGTGGTGGGTAGGGGTTCGTTCTGCGGATAAAATTGTCAGCCTTTCTGGGCGGGCGCCTTTTGTTTTGAGCTCCAAGCTCTGAGAGACGCACCATCTTTTTCCCCTGGGGTTTCTTTGCTGCCTTCTTTCGTTTGCCCTAGCGTGCATATGTCAGCTCTGCATCTAGCAATGCGGCCCAGAGAGATGTTTACCATTTTGGTTTATCGTTAGTCTTGTTGCGACGTGATGGAACCTGCCTGCAAGAGTTTGGGCGTGGTGGAAAGGCACTGGCTGATGGTGATCCGACAGGGGGCCCCGATAACCACGACACTAGCCCTATCTGGTAGTACTTTGTGCAAGTACTCCGCAATTTGTCCCGACAGTAGCCCGTGAAGTCATCGCCCAGGTGATAAGGTATCGTGAGGGGAATGCGGAATCACTGCTTGTTGTGCTTTCACTTGATAATAGAATTGCTATATATTTCCATTGTCCTATTTCAAGAGCGTATACAGTACTTCATATATACAAACGGATTCAGTTTATCTTCGTTGGCAAGAGAAGTCTGCTACCCTATCGTTGAGCTACTCCAGTCCGTCTCGTCACGCTCCGCCACCGGTGCTGTGGCATATAGTACACCGTCTCTTTGTCCCCTTCTCCTCCCTTACGGTCAATATCTACCTAGCTAGGTATATATATCACGTCCCAACAACTTCCATCCCTATTTACTTCCTTTGCAACACATAATACGAACGCATCCTGAAAACCATAATCTCATCTCCAGCAATCTCCAACCATCATGGCTTCCACACCGCCAGACCAGACAGCTCTAATGAAGGAGGTCCTCGGTGCCTTGAAGAGTTTACAAACCAGTCAGGTTCAGTTGGCCTCCAATATCGATGCGATTTCAGGCCGTGTCAATGTTCTAGCTGGCATGAAGGAGGTCAACGATGTAGCCGTTGACCCCTCACCCCGAGCTCCCAAGAAGAAAGTCGAAAGTGATGACGCCCATCCCCACGAGGATGAAATAGTCCCTACCTCCCCATCCCTCTCCTCTGCCCAAATCAGTGAGGATAAAGTTACTGCCCAGGCCACTCATGCCCGCAAATCAAGCGCTGGCACTTCGCGGATCATTCTGACGTGCGTATTGAAGCTCCCAGCTTCGTTGCTTCATTAACATTTGTATGTGTAGAACCTATCCCGGCCAATCCGGCATTAATCCACTGCCCATGGATTGGGGCCACATTGATCCCCAGCAGCGAGGTCCGGTAGTTGTATCCAGAAACCAGACGACTATTCGTAGAAGAAATGGTATGTATAAATATGCTAACCTCCGATTGAAACCCAAGCTGACGTATTCTAGCTATCGGAGGTAAGAGTTCCTGATAAGCCGATCATGGACATTTATTAACAGTTGCTAAGCTCATGGCGGTTCTTACTCAATTTATTATGCCCTCGCTGTTGCCAGCAAGGAGATCACGTTAGATCATAGGTACGGTTTTGCCCCGGATATCTCTTTCCCTAGCCCATTTCACATATCACGAACATACTTGCCGTCTGAATTGCCCTTATATTTGAATTCCCATGATCTCTAAGCAAAGTTTGCCCGGAAGATGTGTTTTCGTGCTTAATTCCCCTAAGCAGACTGAGAAATTGAGACACAGTGTCCCGCAAGACCTCTGGATACATGCACTATATCCCTTCGTTGCCCATGTATATGTTGCGTTGAGCATCATTGTATGTATTAACTATTTTGCAGACCTGACTTCACAAACACCGAACCCGCAGCCAAAGTTGGCCCGTTCCCACAATGGTCTGACAAGCACAAGATTGTTTCAATGGATCCGCTTGGACATTTGGCTCCATGGCTTTTCAAGGATACGATAGAAAAGGAGAATGGTAGGTCGCTCCGGTTATAGATACGCAAGAGGAGGTGCTAACCTTTCTCAGTCGATATTCGACCATCAATTGGTATGTAGCTCTCACACTTACTAGGCCTCTACTAATCTCTAGAAAGCGATCACTAGAGCACACATGAAGGTTTGAATGCACTCCGATCATCGAAAGCCCGTACTAACATTCCAAAAGCTGCCAGAGCTAGAGCAAAGTGTCAAGGAGGGCCGATTGTAGGACACCCAGAAGCACACTATAATACTTATGAGCTAATTATATTCGCAGGGTGCCCGATGGCAAGGTTTGCTTGAATGATTCGGGTGAGCTTGCGGTGACAAAATTTGCGGTCGAACCTGTGAGCAACCTCTGTGAACGATAATATATTACTGTCTGACCAATTCCTAGGTCTGGTATCTCCCGGGAGTGGCGGAGAGGTTTGGGATCGGTACGTATCTCATAGATTTGGAAATTCATGTGCTTACTCCAGGTCAGATGAAGGCACCCTTCGCAGATCGTTGTTCGAGCACACTGGGGGATCGTACCCTGAGTTGATCACAAGAGGAGACATCAAGGTCTTCCTGCCCCCAATAGGTACCAATTATCAAAATGTCGGGCAGTAACTCGTTCTGATAGCAAACAGGTGGTCTTACAGTGTACTGCTTCGGCGACCCAGCAAAGATGTCAGATGAAAAAGTACGGTTGGCTTTGAGAGTCCACGACGAGGTAAATATCCCCCATTTATTTTGGCGTTGGCCAAAGTTCTCCATCTGACACGATCCCAGTGTAACGGCAGTGACGTGTTCGGATCTGACATATGCACATGCCGTCCCTACCTTATCTTTGGCATTGAAGAAGCTGTGAAAGAAGCACAAAAGTAAGTTTTCTTATCCCCCACTGCTGGTTGCATCCTGAGCAAGCTGCTAACTGACTGTCACATAGGGGCGGAAGCGGGGTGGTTATCTATTTCCGCAAGGAAGGACGGGCGCTCGGCGAAGTGACGAAAGTAAGACATCTCCAGCAAGAGCGAACGGACAATACCGTAGCCATTCGCATGCTGCCAACTTATCATCCCGATTCGAACATTCTTGCAGATTGTTCTCGATTCATTTCCCCATCACAAAATCATACAAATATCCCACTCCCCCACATCCCCACCCGACCGTACCCGCGTCAACCCCCAATCAGGTGTTACCACCAATCATTTACTGCTGATCTGACGTTCTGATATAGTATCTTGTGTATAATGCGAGGAAACGCGGAGCGGACCGCGCCTCGGAATATTTCCAACGAACAGAGAATATCGCGGGGGTGAAGGACATGCGATTCCAGGCCCTGATGCCGGATATCCTCCACTGGCTCGGTATCAAGAAGATCGATCGAATGCTGAGTATGAGCAAGTGAGTGCCCACATCGAACGGGGATAAGATTTCCATATTAATGCCTCCTTTAGCATGAAGCACGACGCTATTGTTGAGCAAGGGTAAGTGTTTCTTGCTGCACCGGTCTCGTCGCATCACTGTTAACCCAAACTTACTCTAGCATTCCTATCCATGAGCGCGTGGAACTTCCCGCAGAGTGGATTCCTGCAGACTCGAGGGTCGAGATAGATGCGAAGATCCACGCTGGTGAGTTTACTCGCACCCACCGGACTGGATACAGTTGTCCGCGTTGTGATAGGGCTGAATTTAATAATGTGTTTAAGGATATTTCACTGCTGGCCCTCAGATGACGCAAGAGGAGCTTGCCGCTGTAAAAGGACGACAATGGGAGCAATGGGAGGAGTAAGTGCCCCGTTTGAGAACCTCCAGCACTGAAACTAACCGAAACGTAGCATTGATCATTGATTGATATTGATCACACGGGTATGAAGCCCACATCAACACCTCTCGGGCCGCATGGGAAGCGTACCTGCATCCGTGCCCGATATCCATGAGGTGTACTTTTGTAGCCGTAGCTTCTTTTTGAGTTGGGGCGGGGAGGGGGGCTTTATTGGTAGCTGGGACTGGGGAAATATAATAAGGCTGCTTTGCCTCGTTGGCAGTATCTCCGTACCGTGACATCCGCTGGAAGCTCGTGACCAAGTGCGGGCAGCAATTCTCCCAGATGTTATTACATCTCGTAACTGTTAGACGACCTGCTCCGTTGTTAGTGCCACCCCATACGCACCGCCTACGGGCCAGAAGCCGGCAGGCAAATCATGAAGCCTTTGCTGCTGCAGCCCAGCGCAGCCTGGGCCTTGAGGTGAACTGTGAAGCCAGACCAAGAGTCATGGAGGACGACCCAAGTGAGGGGGAAGAGCGTAAGCTCCACAGTTGCTCTTACTACTCGATTACCCCATTGTTACCCCCTTACTCCATTACACCGTGGCTCAACAGCAACCAGCAGCCAGCAGCCAGCTCGCCAACTCGCCAACTCGCTATGTCAGGTCAGGTCAGGTCTGCACCAGCAAGGCGAACCGTGCAGCTGCATGGACGTGGACGTGGCCGTGGACGTCCAGTGACGACCCTCCACATATGTATTCGCGTGTTCCAGATCGATCTCAGCGCGATGGTTCAAATGGCCCACCGCCAGACATGTGGCGAAACCTTGGAAACCGCCTAGAAACCCCCCTCAGGCCCCGGGGCTCTGGGCTGTGGGCTGTGGCCCATGGGGGGAGGGATACTCCTGTAGTTTGTTGACTATCGGCATGCAGCGACACCACTGCGACAGGACCGGATAGGACAGGCCGCAGGCCACAGGCGACCGGCGGTCATTCCCAGAAACCGGCTTCCCCATACCACCTCCCGACCTTACCTTACGTTTGCTTATAACTCGGATACGAACTGCTCTAGATTGCTTGCTGGTCATAGTGCAAGTTAGTGCCTATATGAAAGGGGACCGTTGCCACTCGTGAATCTTTCCCAGTCCCAACTATTTCAATTGATCGTCCTCCCAATTCCCAACCAAATAACGAGTAACAAAGTACACAATTACTCCGCCAGTATACTTGACTTGGGACATATCTATTTCAATCACCATGTCGTCCAAGTCTCAATCCAGAAGATCATCTGCCTCCAAGATGTCTTCTCATCGACCGGAGCTCATGCGGGCGAGTGCAACCGCCCCCTCATTAGCTACATCCAACGCATCTAGACAAGACCTTGCAAGCCTTCAGTCTTCGAGAGCCACAGCAATTCTCACCAGAGTGGCGGGTTATTCGGTATGCCACGATCATCCGCATCATGGTTCACCAAGCAGCATCTGCTCGAGCCCCAGCCGGTCACCGGGTAGTTCATCGATGGAGGCAAGGAAGGAACCGTACGAGATTGCATACAATAACTGTAAGTGGCTCCGCATCGCTTCCGTTAAATCTAATATAAATTGGGCGCCGTGCTAACTAAATTGCAGCAAGCAATTATTTCAGTTTTCCCAGTTTTGAGGATTTCCAGGAGTATCAAGAGAGCCATGACACGATAGATGGAAGAGGCGAAAAAGGCGTCCCATGAGCCCTTTTCCGGGCGGATCATTTTCTATTCACGAGGAGGAATCGGCAGGCCGATGAGAGAGACATGAAAGACGAAAAGTGTAGAATTGGTTCAACCAAGGATTTCAGCCTGGAAAAAAGAACTCAACACAGCGAAATGGGCTCGCTCGGGCTTCATCACGGCACCAAGCAAGAGTCATTGGGACAGGGCAAGGAAACGGCGTCAAGGAATGGAGGATTCGATGTAGCTCGGCGCTATGAATCTCTGGTGTTTAAATCTGTTGGGGGGATGGCATGGGAAAGGGGAAAAGACCAGCACAGCTGGTCGTAGATCTTACGAGATATGAACATACCAATAATGTATATACCTGACTGTTACTGTAATAGCAACAATTTAATCAACAATTCTTCAATCTCGTCATCCGAAGTTCCGACAAGTGTACTTGGGTACATGTACGTAACTCATACTCATGCTGGAGTCTCCAAGGGGTCTGGAAAAACACGATGGGATGATCATCGGGCAAAGCCGATGTCTGGGCCAGGATTCTGGATCGGCATCTGGGTCAGGCAAGGCCGGTACAGTCCTGAGGGAGACATATTTATGAATCCGGGCTATGCATTGAATTATTAATAGAGTGGTGAAATATCGCATTTATTCCGGGCCATTATTGCGCTTGAAAGGGGATTTTATGGTTCTCAATGTTGTTGATTGGGAGTCTCCACAGGTCAAGAGTCAGGACTCAAGGCGTTGTCGGAGTTCAGAGTGCAGCGGTGCCGCCAAGCGAGAATTGCGCTAGTGAGCTTAGGGCCGCACACAACGAATAATCCGAAAACTTTCGTTCCTCCTCCAAGTCCCGGAATTCTTGATCTCGACAACACACGTTCAACTCAACAGCCCCGCGACTAGATACCTATCGCAATCATGGCTGTCGGAAAGTGAGTGCATCCCCCCGACAATTGCGTGTTTTAGGTGCTCTTCTGCGGATATCGACGAGCGACTGGGCGGAGGGGTAGATGCAATTAGCAATGAGCGGAGTCTGACAAGACGACAGGAACAAGCGCCTCTCAAAAGGCAAGAAGGGTCTCAAGAAGAGAACCCAAGATCCCTTTGCCCGTAAGGATTGGTACCAAGTCAAGGTATGCGCGTGGAAGCCCCCTGGGATACAGATGGAACAGCGGTTGACAACTCTCTAGGCACCATCCTCTTTCCAAATCCGAGAGTACGATATCACCCTCCTGGATTCAGTATATCCCATATATCTAACTTCGATTGCAGTGTTGGAAAGACTCTTGTCAACAGAACTACCGGTCTCAAGAACGCAAACGACTCGTTGAAGGGTAGAATCTTCGAGGTTTCTTTGGCCGATCTCCAGAAGGATGAGGACCATGCTTTCCGCAAGGTCAAACTCCGTGTCGATGAGGTCCAGGGAAAGAACTGCTTAACCAACTTCCACGGTCTCGACTTCACATCCGACAAGCTGCGGTCTCTCGTCCGAAAGTGGCAAACCTTGATCGAGGCCAACGTCACGGTCAAGACCACCGATGACTACCTCCTCCGCCTGTTTGCGATTGCCTTCACCAAGCGACGACCAAACCAGATCAAGAAGACCACATATGCCGCCTCCTCGCAAATCAGAGCCATCCGAAAGAAGATGACCGAGATCATCCAACGCGAAGCTGCCAGCTGCACCCTTCAACAACTCACCCAGAAGCTCATCCCTGAGGTTATCGGCCGTGAGATCGAGAAATCCACACAGGGCATCTACCCATTACAAAATGTATGTCACGATGAGATCTATGTATAGGTACCCCGGCTAATATCAGATAGGTCCACATCCGCAAAGTTAAGCTCCTCAAGGCACCCAAGTTCGACCTCGGCGCCTTGCTCCAACTCCACGGCGAATCAAACACAGACGAGCAGGGCCAAAAGGTTGAGCGGGAGTTCAAGGAGAAGGTTTTGGAGGAGGTATGAACGGTTTACGAATGTGATGGTATTTGGGGTTTCCGACTGGTATTTGCATGTATTCAGGTCTTTGCTTGGGGCATATGGCGTGACTTTAAGTGCCACCGTTCTAGCATAGGGCTAGCAAATAAAATCCAGCCATTCTGAACAAAGCAACGATGTGGTTCTCTCTTTATGCCACGAGTGAAACAGCCGGTCGCCTACCTTGTGTTGGCCGGCCGAGGATGTGTGCCTTGGCAGGGTTGTAGCGACCCTGACGTCGTGATTCCCAGGCACCTTGACGTAGATGGTCACCCAGCTCACCCAGCTTCCTCAAACAACCACACTCACTTGTAACCTCATATACTTCACGATGGCATCCGATGAGTCCCTCCCGACGCTGAAGATCTTAATGATCGGCCCTTCCGGCGCCGGGAAATCCGCACGTAGGAACCGCACCGCCACTCGTTCATATGCTCACGATACTAACTATACTCGCCCGCAGTTCTCATCCGCTATTGCGATGACCAGTTCGACAACGAATATTCCACCGCAACAATAGGCGTAGATTTCAAAGTCCGTCCCACCCTCCCTCTCGCTTCCCCACTCCCTAATAAATCCAAAATCTAACCCAGCCGCCGCGCACAGCTAAAGAAGCTTTCCGTCCATGGGAAACCCTACCGCCTGAACCTCCTCGACACCGCGGGCCAAGAGCGCTTCCGAACCCTCTCCAACAGCTACTACCGCGGCGCCCATGGCGTGATCCTCGTATACGACATATCGAACCGGGATTCCTTCGCGGCGATGGAGCGCTGGTTCGAAGAGGCCGAGACGAATGCTATGCCTGGTGCCGTGATGTATTTAGTGGGTAGTAAGCTAGATAAGACGGCTGCGAGACAGGTCAGCGCCGATGAGGGACAGCGGTTGGCAGAGAAGCACGGGTGTAGCTTTTGTGAGGTTAGTGCGAAGACGAGGGAGAATGTTAGGAAGCCATTTGTGGATATTGTGAATGCTATCGTTAAGGACCCCAAGTTGCTGAGTGCGGGGAGTAGGAGGGGTGGGACGGTGGCTGTTGGTGGGGAGGGAGAGGGATGGGGAAGTGGATGTGCCTGTTGAGAATATGATCCGGGAGCATACGTGGGTGTTTATATTTCTATAGAGGTTAGACGGCATCTGGATATAGCCATGGTCTGACTGGTTTTGGCATATACTCGACTGGCAGAGGTCTTTTGGCTTATCAGACGAACAGATAAGTCGATATTCCACGACGGACGACGAGTATGGCGGCAACTAAGGCTATCAGAGTACAAAGTGGCGGGGTAGAGACTTTCTCCGAATCACTTTATGGCATATTATATAGAAACCGGGAGTTTGGGCGGAAGCAATGGGCATGATACCCTTATACAATAGATTGTTACATATTTTCTACACCTTAGGACTTAGAAATTCCACAACGGCTATTTTATCAGTTAGCAATTAAATCCCCTAATCACCAGCCTCACCCCTCAAAACCCCAAAGTAAATAACATACCTCTTCTAAACGCCTCCGGCTGCTCAGCAATAACCCAATGCCCAGCATCTATATCCGCAAGCTCAAACCTGGGGAAGAACTGCCCAATAATAGGCAATGCCTCATCGGGGACATATTTACTCTGTGTCCCACGCACGAATAAAGCAGGTTTCTCAAACCGCACCGCTCCGGGATCTTTGAATGGGAAGTCTCCTAGGTTATCCAGGGCAGAGCCCAGGATTTTTAACGGGACGCGGAATTTTTGGGTCTGCGAGTCTTTGGGCCTGTAGAGATTCCCTAGCAGGAATTGTCGGACTGGGAGAGACTGTTGCACACAGCCATTGATTAGTATAACTTTTTAGGGAATCTAGGAACGGTCGTACTCACTTCCTCATAATCCTTCAATATAGCATCCGCCTCGGCCTGTTTAGTAACCCCAGCCGCTTCGATCCTTTTCATGCCCTGGATATATTTGCCAAAGCCACTCAGCAACGCAGCATCGATTGGCGCATTATCAACGGAGACAATATCGGCTACGATATCTGGGGACTTGAGGGCGAGAGTCATTGCTGTCTTTGCTCCCCTAGATTTTTCATCAGCCCTGCTCAGAACCAGCATTGCGAAAAGCCACCGACATTGAATGACCAATTAAAGTTGTGTTCTTGAGTTTATGCTCATCCATGAAGCCTGCTACGTCGTCTGCCATAGCCAAATAATCGTGTTTTGGGTGATGTGGAGAGTCGCCATGATTTCGAAGATCCTAGAGGAACCACTATCAGTCCTCAACATCCGCAGTATATCGATACAATGGGCACTTACAACAGTGTATACGGGCCGTCCTAAATCCCTTGCAAGAGCCCTGTTCCCCATGGATTAGTATACGGTTCTTGGTATGGAAATAATTGGAGGAAGAATGCTCACTTACTGATGCTCCTGTTATTCTTTTTGGAGCCGAACAAACCGTGCATGAAGACTATCGCCCCCGCAGCATCGGAGGACGGGTTCGAAGGTTCGTGGAGGTCGTATGCGAGGGGTATCCGGGACGTTGAGGTATAGGCCCTTTTCCATGCTGCTGATGGGCCCCTAGCAGATATCAACGTCGCGATTCGGTGTCGCATTTTGGCGTTGTTTAGCTCAAGGATACCTCAATAGGATTTAGCAGCGTTAAAAGGATATCTCGACGCGTCGAACAATTGAGCTCGATTTTTATATGGGGGGCAGAAAGTTGGATAGAGCTGGTATTAATAATTGTCAGAAAATCAAGGCAGTTGATTGGTCAAAATTGGTCATAGAATTGAAGTGATTGTATTGATTAGAACGCGGTCATAAGTTTGGAGAATACAGGCCGATACCCTGTAATGCGCTGTAAGAAGCGTGTAAGGTCTCACCCCCTAAAATGTAAGGCCTTAGACCCTAAAATTCCTTGCTGTTAGACCTTTGATTGGCTGATTAGGCCTATAATCTAAGCTCATTGCCTAAGGTCATCCAAGAGGGTCTCTGCCATTGCATTGTCAAATAGATCTTATTGTTTAGAAAACAAAGTCTAGCCTTTTTAGGGATTATGTTGCTCCCAGGATAGCTGATAATCCGACATGAGATCCAAGACGGTACCGCGCAGTTTTAAGTAACGAATTGCAGTAGCAAAAGTCTTCACCTGCTTAAATCTCCTTGGGATCCGATCAACTGCAGTTGTAAGATTGCCATGGGGAAGGTGCCTATGCTTCGGCAAATCTGCCCAGCATTGGACAACGTCATAGTCCAGCTGCACGTTAATGCCCCAGTTGCTTGCCCAGGTAATCTGAGGCTTGCCAACATCGTTGCTGTACTCGTATCGGAAGAGACAAGCATGCCCTTCGCCACCATTCCATATCTCCATCACTTCAAGTTTGGGCATGAAAGCAGCCTAAAGGCCTCACGGAGGAGCTTGCTAAGGGGACAAACCGCGATTTTCCGATAGAACTGTCGACGGATAAGCAGGCCCGTTATAATCTCGACTTTTGGGAATATATGGGAGAACGCGGAGAATTCAGGAAGGTCGAGGTCAATAGTTAATGTTCCCATTATTCTCTGTTTTGATTCCAAGCTTAAACGGTCCCGATGGCCGTCAACCCACCTATGATATAAGTCATTCAAGCTATCGAGCCCAAGTCTGTCGGCTCGTAGCTTGTACGTATCCCAATCCATCTCCAAGTCATTTCTTTCTTGGTACGGGTAGTCGTGCTCGAGGCGAAAGTCCCTGAATGTGTGCTTGGAGTCGCTCGGGGAGTAGGCGCCAAGTTCCAATGTCAGCCCTTGTTGACGGCCACCACGGCCGCGACTACAGGCGGATCTGGTCCACTTGGATAGGATGATCAGCAAATTCCAGACAGCTTTGCTAAAGATACCGTTATTACTGTTAAAGTCAGCGATAGCCCAAATTAAGGACCAAGCGACGTCTTTCTTACTTCTTAATTGTTTCATTGTCCTCTTTTGATTGGCAGACTGTGCAGTCGTACTCGTCAAGCCTGACACGAAGAAACAGGTGCTTGAGGTAATCTCGTCTGTGGCTAGTAGCCTCCTTACCCATAAATTCTTCAAGGCCATATATACGCGCTTGGTCGAGAACAAGTCGCTGAAAGTTCCTCTGTTCGAAGACCGGTTGCCACTCCCGACAGACGCTGGCATATCTAGCGCGGGCGTACGGTTCGGATTTGAAGCTGTAACCCTCCAGTACCATTTCGAGGATCATCAAGCGAATCTCGGCCGCCAAGTTCCCCCAGCGCCCCATCGTGGAAAGCCCTTCGGAGGGATTGCAAGGAGACTATGAGGGGAAGTTGAAACTGATGATCGAAAAAGAAAAGTAAGGATTAGTATGTCGGACTTTTCGTAAGAAGGATCGAAAACTCCAGTGAAGACGGAAGTCAGTCATTCTCGCATACCCGGTGGACTTTCTGGAGGCATGATGTGACCTACCTTGATGACTAGGTACCGTAGGTAAGCCTTAATGTCTCCTACGACCTGAGACTTTCGTCGCTTCTTTAAGACTTTAGACCTGAGCCTCACGATACCCTGTCACTCAATCTGATACATCCTGAACTTCCCTTATTTTTAACACTTTGTGGGAGTATAAGTGAGCATACTTTGCTTGAAGGGATGCATTTCTACTCCGCATTGAGTTGTGCTAGCTGCCAAGTTGAAGATGTCCTAGGAAAGTCTCTACCTACTTCTCTGAATGGCCTTCCAATAGGTATGCACTAATTAGGAAGGGTTTATTTCTTTATACCGTGGATGTACCAGTTGTGAGCAGGCATTCAACTGTCAGCCGCCGAGGTCTGCCAAACCTCAGCCAAAAACGGGCCGCGGCGCTCAGTGTGGATAGGTGGATGGGACGGCCCTCGAGCTTGCTGCACGATTTAACCACCACCATCGTTCCCCGTCATTGCTACCCAGGCATATTACCATTTTGCTCGTGCAGTCAAATTTGTACTTGTTGCCTTGTTTTCTGTATGCTAGCTAGGGAAACAGAGTACTAGAGACAGGAATCCTAGCTTTGGCATCCTGGATTCACGCTTGGTTCCGTCTAAGGGTCATTAAGTTTTAATGGAGGCTCGGATTTACTACTATGTGCCAAACGGGCCGGCGCGTGGCCCGCCTACAAAGTGCAGAGTAAAGGTTTGGACTATTATTTAGATTCATAACTATACCTCATCAGTACCAAACTTCATAGAAGGTTGTATAAGTGCCATAGGTATCCTCCATTGAGTGGACCAAAGAGTTGGGCGTTCTAAGAACATAGTGATGAACACTGTTCCCAGTCAGTGATCTTAGTGTAATGTATTAGAGATAATTGTAGATGATAAGTGTAGTGGAACATGAATGCCATTAATATCATCGTCTTCATTAAGAGCGTACATCAGTCCGTTGGTATCAAAGCAACGATCCTAGTTGTATCCATAACCAACCGTGTCTGTCGATTAATTAAGTTAAATTCTTCAGCTTTCCAATATTACCGAGGACTATACATAGAGATTATACTTGGCCCTTCATGCTGCACTAGCGATGACCATCTCTCAGCCTTCCAATTCTTACAGGGCAAATCAACTCTATGCCATCCTTTCTACCAGCTCATATCTCCCCTTCCCACCGCTTAACCTCCTCCATAACCCCCAAGGTCTCCTCTTTCCACCCTTCCCATTCGACGTCATGCCAGCGTTCATAACGCAGCTGGACCAAACCCACCAAAGACACCCTCCAATCACGCCTGCAATGAGGAAACCAGCAACTGTAAGAAGAAACCAATGTTTCCCCATCCAGAAAATAGTTTGGGCATCTTTCCCATGCCAACTGCTTCCTTTTGATATGTTGAAGAAGCTGTAATCGTGCCCCTTGTATTCGGCGGGCATCAGTAATCTGACAGCATCCTCGGGTGCGGGATCAACCCGAAGATATTCCACCCATAAAACAGACAAGAAGAGCGGCCCCGTGCTGTACATAACAGTAATATAGGGTAACACCCAGCTGCGGTTGTAATATTCTAGACTCTCGATTACCTTTCGGAAGAATGGGTGATGTGGAACAGAACCCATGGCATCATTACTGATGCCTGTAGGGACAGTCCGTCGAAGCCAGGCTGGGTAGTTGAGCAGAGGATCAAGAGGGCGGTTGCAGCCATCATCGAGATCAATGTATATGCCGCCGTAGAAATCGAGGACAAAGTACCGAATGGAGTCGGCGCGCTGGATGGGAAAGGGGTAGCTGTCGAATGTTTCTAGGAACCAAGAGTATTCAGTTGCAATGAAGTCTCGGGATTTCTCGTCGGTCCAGAGCTGTTATGACATATTAACACCCCATGCTAGTTTAAGGCCTTTCGTAGAGCGTAGAACTTACAATATACTCGTAATCGTCGTGCAAGTCAACGCATGCTTGCTGTCCTTCCTGCCACTTATTGGGAATCGTCGCATTGATGTATGTCTGGTGGATGATCTTTGGGATCAGTTGCGTCCCATTTGCAGACAGGTCTGAGCCTGGTAGCGGAATCTCAGAGGGGTCTATGGGAGTTGCGCCACCCTTCTCAAAGAGCAGCGCTATGAGGGTGCTGAAGGCATTGACCAGGACTCCGAGAATTATCAAGGAGATTACTAGGAAAATGACGGTTCCGCGTCGCATCGTGGACAGCTAAAGCGGGAACGGCGCCCGTGAGAACGTGGGAATAAGATGACGCGGAAGCTCCGCGTATAAGGAGGACTGTAACGGCCTTTTAGAACAGCATCGGGGGCGGATATAGAGGTTAAGGCCGAGGCTGAAGTTGAGGCAGATGATTGACGTATCGCTATCCCCGCACAAGCGTAATCGTGCTGCGCTATTAGCGATAAGACTGTGATGCCAACTTTCTTTGAGGAATATTAGAGTGAAAGTGCTGGAGGCGATAGTTGATAATCAAAGAAGGGGCTTTGTTCGTCTGGGAAGAGAGTTGAAAGTCATGGATCAGCAGAAGCTTGGCATCGAACTAAGTGAAATAGTACGATACAGGGATCATGACGCGAGACAAATCAAACGAGAACGCAAACTCTTTATTTTTATTAACGCATATGTGCATCTCCACAATTAAGCTGTTTGGCCCTAGAATGTTCTGTGCCTTGAAGTATCTCTTTGGCTGCGTTTAAGCCGCAGGAGGATCCCCGTAAGGAGCATTTGCCGCGGGCCACTCAAATTTCATGCATCTAGTTTCTCATAGGCTTATCAGATGCCGAGGTTTGTTCTTTGAGAAGAAGACGGACTTCTCAAATGGCTCAAGACTTTATCCGGATCTTCTTGTATTAGTACCTAGGTAAGGGTTTACTGTTATAGGAATACACTCTGCTCCTATCTTGGATGGTTTGCATTACTCGTGTTCCCAAGACACTCTATATCTACCCACGATCTCCAATTCGTCACCAAAGGAGGCCAGGGGATATAAGTCTGGTATTACGAAGTATGAAACAACAGGGACACCAGCCATTAGGCCATGAAACCACCCTTTGTGAAGATAGGAGTTTAGGGGACTGGACTTTCTCCGGTTTTGAGTGCTTGAAGGTCACGCATAAGGGACTAGAAATTCTTGCTGAATATTTTGTCAAGTAATATTCATACTCAATCCGGGCATAGATCCTGGCATTGCGTACTCCTCTCCCCTTGCTCTCCTCCTCAATCGCAAGCCCTCCTGTTCTACCCTGTCCTCATCAGCTTTTGCTCTAGCTTCAGCCTCAACTTCTCTCCTTGCTTCATGCCTCAAGTCCCTCTCGAACTCCTTTCCCTTCGCTCTACTTATGCTAGCAGGTTCTGAGGGCGCATCATCACCACCTCTTGTATTCTTCTTTCTCGGCCAAAGATTGGGCAACTCAATCTGCTGGAACCGTGGCTCAACACAACGCTCATCAAACCACGTATGTAAGCGTGCTTCTACTAGCTGTGCAATCTTGGGCAAATCCTGTAACCGTGACCGACTCCCTAGTAAACTTCGTATGGAAAAGTCGAGTCTGTAATCGTCCAAGAAACTAAATGCCAGCGTTGTTGCGTTCAATGGACTCCCGGGAACGAAAGATATAGATAATGTTCCACTGAATCGAACCACGGATACTGCTAGAGCAACTGGTAAAACGGCTACGAGGGGCTTGGGATAATTGAGCAGCAACTTCGTTTCCAGGGCCAAGGTAATGAAATCGTTGAGATCCACATCCATTCGAGCCTGCAACCTACCATGGTCTCTCCCAGCACTCCCGCCTTCACCACCTCTTCCTGTCCCTAGGCTTAGCCCGTCCTCATCTACCGGTATGACCCTACAATTGCTAAAGATGGGGAAGTCCTCGCCGAGACTTATTTCAGTGACTTTGATTTCATCCAGGAAATCCGGCCGCGAAGATCCATTCAGCGCCCTCGTAAGAGAAGTAAGAATCGCATCATCATGCTGAGCATCGCTTCTGAACTGTGCAATCGTCTGTGCAATCAGGACATTGAACCAGTCCAGGCTCTCCGGCTGGTGGCTGTCGACATTGTAATATGTTTTATTGAGGATCGTGGTAGTCGTCAATGGAGGGGGGCCACGCAAAACATTGGAGCGCTTCCGGTTTAGAGGCTGAGAAGCCTGCCGCTGTGCTGTGCTTCGTAGAGAGAGGAGGGATCGTTTGTGTGCGAGGGTTCGTGAGCGTCGTTCTGTTGCGCGTAATGCGGCCGTCACATCAGGCGATGGCGCCTCGCCGAATATAAAGAATTTGATGAATGCTCCAATCAAAATTACAATCGAGAGCTGGCCCAGAAGCAAGCCTTGAGTAAAAGAGAGTCTGAAAGGTTGCGAAAAGGTGGGTGAGTCTGGTGAAATAGCCCCTGTAGGGTGAGAGACTTAAACTTACGAGGACTCGGTCTTCGGGAGAGGCACCTCTGTACTAGACATTTCAGGATGTATAGATGTCTCTGGACTGAGGCATAGTTCACAGGTACAGGTGCGAAAGGGTGGTTATAGGTTGTAGAATGCGAAATGTTCCCAACGCGGACAAGTTACGGGAAACGCGCCGAGCAACGTCATTCGGAACAGCTCCCAGGATACGAGGTACAGTAACTGCCCTTAGGTTTCAACCTTGTAGCCTCTTCCGAAGAGAATACCATTATATGTAAACTTCTAATCGTCGTATTGTAAATAAATCGAAATATTCTATTGAATAGCACCAAATACCTGGTTTCGAGTTCCTACTATCCCTCGCCAACTACGTTATATCTCCCAAGCTCTACCTAGGATAAATAATCACAAATCTGCACGGTACTTGCAATGCCCCATTACGGCTACATTCACAGCACATCTTAGCAAGGAGACAATGGGCTGATGAGTGTCTAGATTTCCATTATTCGTACTGCTGATACTCCCTACAATGTACGCCGTGGCTCGAATGACCCCGAATCTAGACCATCATGCATGGTGTTCGAGCCTCAGCGGGGTTACGCTGATATGATCCCTCCATCCTGCCGTCTAAAAGTTCAAAACAAAAGAAAAATTATAATACATAAGTAGAAGTATCTCCATTCCCGTAGTTCTTCTCTTTGGAAGTGTATTGGGACTTAGATCGCACCTTGAAGCGCGACCCGAGCCGGCATATTGCCAGGTCCATAGAAGCAAAGTAAAAGAGGCCAACCCGACCGTCCTAGTCTTATGAGCTTGCAGCATCTCGGTTACTCTGCGAGCTGGCGCTCATGACTGGTTGGGATGTGGGCAGCGACATCTTGTTCAGCTGGGTCTGCCTGATCTTCGCCCATGTGTAAACAAGACCACTAATAAATCCAATGATGATAGCGGAGACACTTCCAAAAGTGACGGGCGCCGCGAAGAAGACAAGACCGCTGACGGCAAGTGGGAGCTTATTTAGAGCTCCAACCATAGAGTATGTTGTAGAAGATGTAACACGGATGCACCAGGCCGAGCAGTATGAGATAAAAATCGTCGCAAGCCCAGAGTAGATCATGCCTGTGATCAACTTGTTCCTAGACTCGACCGGGAAGTTCTTGAGGACGTTTTCCGATGACCAGTTCTCGAAAAGCAGAGAACAGAGGATGAGGACGGGGATGGTGAGGAGGTTGTTATAAAACATTGCTGTCGCAAATATTAATACCTATACGCAGAAGAAACGAACTTGGTTGGAGGGTAGAGGGGGAAACTTACTATCCCAATCCTTGAAGTTCATTTTCTTAATGACCTTACGCATGGAAAGGACATATGCTGCGGAACAGAATACATTCATACCCATCCAGGCATAGCCTGCATTCAATGTAGACAGGGTTGCAGCAGCCTCCGCAGATCCGCCTGTGGCACCTCCATATAACGCATGTTGAATATCCGCCCAAGCTGCGACCACGGAGCTGAGAACCATAAGCCCGAAGGCGAAGAGAGATGAGACGGAGACACTGCCGCCAAACCACAGGACTTCTCCATAGGCGATGACAATGATCGTTAGGTTCTTGAAGATCGTGTATACCGGAACGGAAAGGAATTGAAGGGCTTTGGTGCTAGTATAGATCATGCCAACCAGGAGAAGGGAAATTGGGAACCCTGAATTCCAATAATTAGTGTTTTGCATCCTTCATCACAGTATAGTTCCTTACATGTCTTTGCCTTCTTGGTGTCAAAAGGTGCCAAATTCGTGATCATGCCCACCTGTTTGCAAACGACAATTGCAAGAATACAGACAATAGACTAATAGACGGGTCAGTGCTGCGGCTCCTGGTGATGTGCCATGTGTAATGAGGATACCCACCTGAATCGCGAGATAGAAGAAGTTCAAATTCCAGTTTGTCCCCGATACACAGTATTTGTTCGTAACGGTCATAGATATCGAGGCCAAACAGTATGCTACAATGGAGATCGGAGGGCTATTCGTGATGCTCGAGATGGGTAGCGGTGCTCCGCCGGGTTTGTGTCCAGACTTCGAGGAAAGGAATGGCTCCCGTTGAGAGTTGGGTGATGACCGCCCATTGTAGTCGGACATCTTGATGGCATAATCTTCATTCTTCTTGTCGTCCATCTTTGCTTTGGAGAAAGCTCAAACCCTCCGGTTCTGTCTAGTTGTAGAACACGCGCAAGTCTGTATGGCAGGGGAATTTGCGACCGGGACGGAAACAAAACGTGAGTGCGAGACGCGAGACGGTGCGTATCCTATCCGGGAATGACAGGTCCGTCGAGAAGTGAGATCTTGGATCGGGGGGGCGAGTCGAAGTGCAAGTCTGAAAGAGAATTATGTTGTGTCCTCTCCTTGAATTCGAAGTCTCCCCTAACTTTCTAGCGTCTTTTAATTTTAGATCACGAAGGGACAGGACGGCAGGACAGGGATCACTGATCAATCTCAGATAACAAAAGCCCTTTTGATACAGGGCAACAAAACATGGATTGCCTTGTGTTGAGTAAGTAAATCAAACTGGTTCTATTTATTTTATATTTTCCTTTCCCTTATCCCGTTATTATCTTAATATTTTTGCGGTTGATAGCTATTCTCTATCCTATTTTCACGGTGGCGGATGGGAGGAAGCGCTGGCAATTACAGGCAGGGGCAGGCAGCATCGTGCACGGCCTTCGAGGGTCTACTCCGTACCAAGTATGTAAGACATTTCATTACTACGCGTGCCAAATTCCAAACCCCCTCCCCATACCAAATAACCTATGAAATAACCTCCCAACTTTCGTGCAAATACAATATGGCCAATATTGACTCTCAAGTTGCGACGCTCCTAGATACGGCACAATCCGACGATGAGGATGCTCTCATTGCGTCCCTTGAAGACTCCCCCGCCCTCGACGCTTTTCGCGAGCAAAGAATCCAGCAACTGCACTCCGAATTGAGCCGCGCAAAATCACAAAAGAACCAAGGCTTTGGAGACTATAGGGAGATAAAAGAGGAGAAGGCATTAATGGACCTTACAACTAGTACCAAATATGCCGTGGTACATTTTGCAAAGGATGATTTTGCCCGGTGCGGGGTTATGGATCGCCATTTAGAGGTAATCCACCATTTACCTCCAGATACTAGAAGCTGAACTGACTTCTTCAGGCTTTAGCACCCAAGCATTTTGATACTAGATTCCTGAAGATGAACGTGGAGAATGGCCCTTTCCTGGTCACCAAACTAAAAGTACAAGTCCTTCCTTGCGTAATAGCGTTCGTGGACGGTGTTAGTGTGGATCGGATTGTGGGATTCGAAGGACTGGGTTACACACCGGATACATTTACAACAAAGGACTTGGAGGCACGTTTGCTGGCGTCAGGAGTAATACAGAGGGCTAAGGCTACGGAAGGTGCTGGCGGTGTGCGATTTGGTGTGAAGGCTCCTAAGAAGGTAGAAAGTGATGACGATGATGATTGGGATTGAGAGATGACCAGATCGGTCAAAAAGTTGGCATTGCCATTATACCAGGAGACTGCCCCGCGCCCAGTCTGCAGGCCGCCATCACAACACAACACCATGTCTTCTGGCCAAGACATAACATGCCAACGCATTATGCAAGACTTCAGTCCCCTGGGAATAATTGGAAGCGGCCTAAGCTCTCAGCGGAGCAATTCTGTCGCTGTTGTCGTCTATAGGGTGTTTAGTGCTCTCAAAAAGACGACCATATCCTACCTGCCTATGTTGATAACGGAAATGTGGGCTACGAGGAAATAGAAATTATGGCAATTATATTATCTACCCGATCAAGCTATTGATCCAGAGCTTCCCGCGGAGATTCAAAGTAGTCTTTGGTAGTTATACCTGAATCCTCTAGGATCAATGTGCTGGGAAGAACTTCCTAGGCTGCTGCCACCCACTTTCTAAATCAATTTTTGCAATGGACGTTAGGTGCATATTGTGGCTCAGTTAATGTGGGATGGTTTCGGTTATGATTGCATTGGTAGTTCAATGGCGATGAACCTAAACGCAGCGATATCTAGCCCATAGCAAAAGGCTCAACTGCAGCTATGGCAACTCCATGACGAAGAGTCTAAGCGTAGCACGTGCCAAGTGACATATCCTATCCAGCAGCCTGGGCTTCCTGGCCACGACCACCGCGGCCGATTGCAAGATCCAAGAGGAGAACTGGGTCGTCAAGTTACATCTCATGGCGGTGCGAGGGCTCGCTGGCAGTCATGGAGTCAGACGAAAACTAAGAAGCAGACTGGGCGCAGCGAGCAGCCCTGAGAAGCATCTTCAAGTCTCGGTAGGATTGCCTGGCTCTGTTCTAGAGCAAGAGCCCGGCCCGGCCAGAGCCCTCGTATAACAGAGTTGTGGATGCTCTGACGCCAGTCTGCACCGGATCAAGCCGCCATTGCTATGGCCGATATCTTACAAGGTTCCGAATCCTACAGCTTCTGTCCTCCAGTGCTGGAGGGTGCACCTGAACTGGCACAGCGCCTAGTCTGAAGCTAATTCGCCAGACTTCCTGGACGGTCAAAGGGCATCCAGTGATACCGGCTCCTGCGTTATTCATCGATAACGGTAGACTGATCCTAAATAGTATCAAAGAGCAAAGTGTGTCTTACTTAATTGAGGTAAATCTTGTTTCTATATATTCCTCCGCCAGCTAGCCCATTGGTGGGCACTGGATTATGATTCTGCCAAGATATCACATGCGATGTTTTTGAGACATCGTTGGGATATTCCGAAGCTGTGCGCCAATATTTCGAGATTCCTACTCTAGCTTCCCGTTTCCTTTTCCCCTAAGGCCCGCTCAACCCCGCCAAATCCCCGTCGAGAGGCGTCCCTCATCCTTTCGAGACTACCAAATTGCCTGTTTAAACTATTTAGTCCATTTGGTCGCTTCACTAGAGAGAGTGTTTTATTTACATGATTTATGTGGCGGGATCCAAGCCCAAAAACGCGTGCCCAAAGAATCCTGAAAACACGAGGCTCAAAAACCAGCTGATATGCAAGTCTTCGCTCTTATGAGGTTTTGCGGTGTGATTCCACAGCCTGGCGTGGTGCAAGCCCAGCATCCCAAAAATAGTCGGGGACTATAAGGGCCAATGGCTACTCCAGCCCGGGTCGCTTAGTGGCTCAGCCCTACCAACCCTCAAGCCAACGCTTCTCTTTCATAACCACGTTTCAGCCTCGTGGATGGCTTGAGATGGCTCAACTATCCAGCTGCGACCGCAGTTGCCCAGAGGCTGAATAGCGTGTTGTCAGATGGGAAATTCCCGTTCGCTCTCACCCACTCACCATGTCTCACTCATTCTCGCCCTAAGATACTGCAAGCCGAACAGTGAGTCGTCACTACCGGTGCAGGTGCGAGTGCACAGCAAAACCTTGGGTGGTGGCTGTTTAACACGAGAGACATAGTTATTTTCGTCGGCAGTGCCCCGATATCGAACTGGCACTAGTGCTTCAACTGGAATGACTCGATAAAGTAGAGGTGAAGTGAGTTGGGCTCCACAACCGGCCAGAATAATAGTGCGAATGAATATATATACTTTAATAGATGATCGTTCTATACTTTTCTCATCATCTCGCTCCGCTTCTCATTTATTACTTCTTGCTCTACTGCTATTTCTTAAGGACAATCGCTTGATCAGTCGATCTCTTTCGTCTGACCATCAACTGCTCTCGTTATATCCCTCTCAAACATCCCAAGGCATTCTTTTTGCCCAATTATTCCCTTATACTCTACCAGTATTTTGCAACATGAGGTTCTCCATCCTCGCTGCCGTTGCGCTTTCCTCTCTAGTAGCTGCATACGACCCGGCTAATTGTGCTCCTGCTCCTCCCTCCACCATTTATCAAACGATCTATGAAACGATAACGGTGGATAGCCCTCAACAGCTCGCTCCTGCCCCGACTCCTGCCCCAAATCCGAATTACAATCTTGTCCCTTATATTCCTCCATACATCACGACAAAATATGGATACGTCACATCCTGCGATTATGGCGTCTCTTACACTACAGTTTGGGTCTACCCTGTTGGGCATGGAAGCCACGATTGCACCGTTGCGGTTTTCCAGAAGAATATCATAGTGACTATCAACATCGTGGCTATCAACATAGTTGTGAACAACTACGGAGAGACGGTGACTGTTACAATTACGAAGACAGAGGTGCCTACCTACACCCCGTTACCACCACCACCTCCACCTACTACTATTATATCAACATACACCAGCTCCTCGACCACGTTGTCATCTTCAACCTCCTCATCATCCAGCACGGAGGTGAGTAGTAGTTCGTCATCTTCGAGCTCCACGGGATCCTCCAGCAGCAGCAAGTCTTCTTCATCCTCTAGCTCCACTGGATCCTCCTCTAGCAGCAAGAGTTCTTCATCCTCAAGCTCAACAGGATCATCGTCGTCGAGTAGCAAAACCTCTTCGTCCTCTTCAAGCTCAACGGGATCTTCTAGCAGCAAAAGCTCATCAACTTCCACAAACCCAACCTCGTCCTCCTCGAGCACAAAGAGCTCCTCTACAAGCCCAACTTCGTCCTCTTCGAGCCCAAAGGGCTCCTCTACAAGCCCAACTCCATCCTCTTCGAGCCCAAAGGGCTCCTCTACAAGCCCAACTCCATCCTCTTCCGTTAGCAAGGGGGGCTGGACCTATTCCTTACCTGGACCATCCAGTATCAACATCCAGCCGTCTCCTTCTGCGCCACCGTCTATCTCTCCACCAGTGCCCCAGGTCTCACCGAGCACCAAAAAAGCCGCCGCAGACCCTGCCCCGACTCAAAAAGCTGCCGCAGACCCTGCCCCGTCTCAAAAAGCTGCCGCAGAACCTGCCCCGTCTAAAAAAGCCGCCGCAGAACCTGCCTCGTCTGCAGCCGCAGGCCCCAACCACCGCGTTAGGGCCGCAGAATGGCGAGCATGAATTACACGACAAATATCTTCCGAGAGAGTCTAGATTGGATGAAATATATGATGAGGATTCTCAATTGTTTTGGGTCGTACGAAATTATTTCCCTGCCTTCTGGTTTTTTAGAGTTCTGCGTGCATTTTGCCTTTTTCGGATAATCAGATCGTCGCTCATTTGGACCTTTTCTTCTTGTCGCCCCCTGGGGCAGTAGGGTTTATGATTTACGCAATCACCGCGTGTTTGGTGAAGGGCTTATGATATTAGAGAGGAGACAAATTGATCTTTATAGCCCTCGTTTAGTACCAAATATCTGAGTTTGATGTGATTGACGTTTAAAGCTGTAGAATGAATTACCACTTTACCACTTTCTATGAACATCAAGACGGATGGAAACAGAAATCCCATACCTCCATCAGGTATACACTCACTGAGGAAGCCCCTATTATTTACAAGTAAAAGCGGGTAAAGTACGCCACGCTGGCGAATCTAGCAAATCTCTGAACTAACGCACAGTCCTAGGAGTAGCCGATCTGGGCAAATATAATACTATTCCTAAGTCCATTCTATATTTATAGTGCTTTCCATTGAGTTTGTACCCGTTGCCCTTGCTCCGTAGCCAATGCCCAAGTTCCAAACATCAGCATGTTTATTATGTTCCTACCTCTCTACTCGATAATATGCCCGGCATTCTATCTACCCTTTACTCTAGCAACTAGCTCAAGTAACTGGTACCTGGCTCTAGCAGTTCGGCCACTCGGCGATCTGGTGTCTAGTGTCTACTGACTAGTAATCGTAGGCCTCAATGTGACTTATACTTGGCCTGTATTTAACGAGCGGTTATTCGGTGATTTTAACACAACCCTCCCTAGTTCTACAGATGCAGACTCCTAATCCGATTTGTTTCCCTCTATAGTAGCAGAAAAATGCGTCCATATATACCATACACTTCCTTGCAGCCAGAGACTTATAGCTACTTCCTACAATATGAATTAATGCATCGTGCAGTACAGTAAACCAGAAATTGCTAATCCAGCTCCTTAGCCTGTCCTAGTCGACTTCGAGTAAAGTCCGCAGCTATCTTTCTTAGTAGCGCAAATTGTAGAACTACGGCTTAACGAATCTTCCTCAAACTCTCGGCATCAAGTGCCACGGCTAGTCATTACCGTATCCTAGTTCTACAATCCCCCAATCTCCTGCGTTTACTACTGCCCGCTCAATATCTCGACCAAGGTGGTGACCACCGATTAGAGGGGTTTAAATTAGGTTCTAGCATCCTGCAAGCGATAAGCTTACATCCCATCGCCTGTTTTAGGGAGCCCATGGCCGACTTACCCTGTACTTGTCTCGTCACAGTATCACAACTAGCCCGATGTTCGTAGAACAATAGCTGGCCGCTGGCCTTGGTAGCCGGTAAATGTGCTTTGCAGCTCTGGCCGGATCCGGGACCGAGCATAGGACTTGCATACATACAACTGTGTCGATACTTCTCGTGTTAATGTCCCAAAATTCTAGAATTTTATCGTCTTCGAGAGCGGCGTTGGTTGGAACGTAGATGTCGCCGAGACCATGCTAGTTAATTGTCTTATCGCATACCTGGATGAACAAATACTCATTTAGCTCAATACCGTAGATGCGGGAAGCAGCACTGCGATCAAATCGAGGAAACTGATTTCCCGAACCTGGCCCAAGTTCAAGGACCGTTCCACTTGCCATTACGACCAAGCAAGGCACCAGCGTCCATGCTTCCTGAATGCAGCAAAATGATGGCCTGCTACTAGAGTCCATTACATAGCAACAGCACCGTCTATAGAACTCGATGTTACCGCGCCGAGAGTAGAATAATATGCCGCAAACGTGCGCCTACGAATTCCACGTAGACCGCTTGAAAGGTTCTAGAGCAGATCGGGACGACCTGATTAGCTATGCCAGCACACGGCACGGAGCTTCTCATCTCTTACACCAGTACAAATACGCCAGAGGCTGCCACAGCTAGATGTAAGGTTGCAGGAGCTCTTTCAAATTCAAAGGTACAACTGCTTTCGGCCAACCTATCTACCTTATACTACAAAATAAAGCGAGTGAGGCGAGAAATTGTGAAGACGGAGGGAAATCGCTGGAGGTGTGACCAGAGAGAACGATGGACATAGCTGCCCTTTTCCATCCCTTCATGTCGCACCATATGCTATCAGGAGAGTGGTAGTAATATGCATGGTGCGCTTCGTATTGCGTACCTCCCAACCGGAGCAGTCGTTCGGGAGCGCATTTTCGAAAATCGACAAATGTAAAATCGCACATCGACGTACCGTACTCTTAGTGCCTCCGTATCAGATTTTACTAAGCTCCCATTCTAGGCTTGATAGAGTAATGTAATAGGATATATAAATCGCAAGATCGAATTGAGTTAAAATTTTATTAAGAAAACTTATACAAGGACGGTTCATTCCCCCTCTCCAACAAAACGTCAGGAGGTCGCTTAACTACCGTCAGACCCACAATTACTCGCCTAAAATGGAAGTCAAACAACAACGCGACAAAAAGAAAGTGATATAAAAGGATTAAAAAAAGAAATAAATGGCAAAAAGGTTCGAGTAATCCTGGTCACCCAGGCTTACTCTACATCCTCCCCTAGACAGGACTTAGTCGAGATCTAGAGCCGTTTCCCCTGTCCAATCTGTACTCCTCGGTGGTTATTGCACAGTTGCGATTTTAGCTTCACCCCGGGGGGATTAGCTGCATCAGAATATTGGTGTTTGGGAATTCGTCCGTATTGGTGTTCGAGCTGGTCTCCCGATGAGCCAGGTTGCCGGTTGTTATGAGGAAACTTCTTATTTTAATACTTAACTCCCAGCAAACATACCGCGTTCTGCCTACCCAATTTGGAAGGGACGATGGATGACCGCCAAGATATATACACGTGACTCGAACCCCCCAGACGATCGCAGCATCCCTGCGCCGATCGATACCGATAAATGATTACGTGCTTGGGAACAGCCGTGCAGAAACGAACTCTCTTTAGATTTCAAATCCAGACAATCAACCAGCTTTAAAGTTATTCAACAGGGAGCGTCAAAATGAGAGCATACTGGTACGACAACGAAGCGGTATGAGCTCTAACTCCGACAACTTTTCTGAAGCAAACCTAGCTAAGCAATAAAACATAGGGCGATCAACGCCAGCCCCACGACTCCGGCCGAGAAGTCCACGCGGAATACCTGTCACAGCTCGGCGTCCTATACTGCCGCTTCGCAGACGAGAAAGATGTCGATAAGCTGGCAGAAGAGAGGAGTTACAAGAACCGCGATGTAATTACCGTTTCTCCGGAGAAGATGGGCGATGTTTACGAGGAGAAGGTCAAGTCGTTCTTTCATGAGCATTTGCACGAAGATGAGGAGATTCGGTATATTAGGGACGGGGCTGGGTTCTTTGACGTGAGGAGTGAGGGCGACGAGTGGGTGAGGATATATTTGGAGAAGGATGACTTGATTGTAGGGTTCCGTGACGCTCCTTTTGTGGAAACTGGATTCTGACTACTGGTTTAGATACTTCCTGCGGGGATTTATCATCGATTTACCACGGATACGAACAACGTGAGTGAGGAATCTAGGTTTAGATGCTCTGATCGCTAATATCAAGCAGTATATCGTGGCTATGAGGCTTTTCAAGGAGGAGCCAAAGTGGACGCCGCTGAATCGTGGGCCGGAAGTCGACGTCAACCCATTCCGTAAAGAATACTTGCAGACTCGGCAGGCTATTCCAAGCCAATAGGTCATAGTCAGCATTGGTATATGAATTATGAAATGTATGACTTGGGGCTTGGGGCTTGGAGGGTGATATCTAAAACTATCCGGCAATTCCTCGAAAACCACCAGGAGGAAGGGTATCCCGAAATTTTAGGACGTCAACTTAAGATCGCGCACGTAGTATATATCGAACTTCTAGTTTTTAATTCAAAGCATCTTGAACGATCTGTTGGGAATATGCCATTGCGGCTTTCCTTTTTATAAGGCTAACCACTAAGCTGCCTCGCCTGCTCCACGCTGCGACGCTCCACTTCCCCAACCCAACCCCCCCCCTCCCTACTGCATACTCTGTACTCCGCAGATCGACGCCACATCGTCAAGACCCCGCGCCAAAGCCACTCGCAAGCAAATGGGACAGCGAGACAACACAACCATCAACGCGATCATGATATGCAGCCAATGAACGCCACCGGGCATACTACATTCCACGCGCGACCTAATGGAATCCCAAGATAGAGGTCGCCTTGATCCAGATCAAAATGGAGTCATCTCGTCGCCGTCAGACAGCGGCAAAACCATGTTACAACTACCGCTGAGCTGCGACCCGCCTGGGCTGGGGAATCCGCCGAAGCAGCTTGTATGGGTCGTAAGTCGCAGTGACTTTTATATATCGAGTGATTCCTCTAGTCCTCTGGGCATATAAACACTGTTCAATCAAGTCTCGTTTTTGAAAGAGCTGGTAGATCTACTCTACGTCACCGCGGCGAACAGACGCCTCAATTCCGAATAGTGTCACGTATCACGAATTGTACATAGCTGACGTAACTCAGGTATTCGGGGCCACAGGCCATATGGGGCGAAGCCTTGTAAAGTCATGTCTAAACCAAGGGGATCTCGTCGTGGCCGTGGGGCGCGTCTTCGAGAACACGCTCGCATCCATGAAAGGCTGGCACGAAAACTGCCACGGTCTCCTCTGCGACGTCCGGGCTCGCGAGTCCGTCCAAGAAGTGCTCGAGCAATCAATCCAGAACTTTGGGCATGTGGACGTGATAGTTAACTGTTCCGGGTACGGAGTCATCGGTGCGTGTGAGGATCAGGATGACCATGAGGTACGCAACCAGTTTGAGACGAACTTCATGGGGACGCTACATATCATACAATTGAGCCTGCCGTATTTTAGAGAGCAAGGTGCGGGAAGATATGTGATTTTCAGCTCTACCTCTGGGGCCCTGGGTGTCCCGGGACTGGGGCCTTATTGTGCGACGAAGTATGCGGTTGAGGGGTTTATCGAAGCTATGCTTTATGAGGTTGATGCTTTTAATATCAAGGCTACGCTGGTCGAGCCTGGATTGGTAAGGAGGGATGAGCCGGATTGGGATAAGAGTCCGTTGCCGACCTGGGGCCATTTCTTGATCAAGCCGGCGAGTGAGCCGTATTCGCAGGCTACGTCGCCGGCTCTGCATGCGAAAAGGATGGTGCAGTGGTTGGGGGATAAGCAACCTACAAGTGCTGTGAAATGTGCGGAATTGGTTTGGCAGCTTGGCCACTGTTCCTATCCACCCTTAAGGCTGCTACTTGGGAGTTATGCTATTGAGAGTATTCGGGATCGCCTTAGGTCTATCATTGAGGAGTTGGAGGATTGGAAGCACTTGCATTTCCCGATTGCTCCCGACGCCCAGCTCGAAGAGAAGGAAGAGGAGCGTAAGGAAGAAGAGGGTGAGGATGCTGGGCGAGCAGACAGTAATCCGAACCAAACCGAGCAAGAGCAGATGCAAGATGTATAAAAATGTGGTATCATTTATCTGTTATATCCGTCCCTAGCAACCCATGCGGCATGTCCCCGTTGAAAATAATATACATCATGTCCATCGTCCAATGCACCTTGCGCCTATCAAACTCCAATTATATGCTTTTCACTAAGCGCTCATTCCTGCCAAAAGCTTATCGTACTTCGGGGGCAGGGGCCGCAGCGGCTACAATATCATTGTTGATAGCATCAGCTGTCTCCTCTCGTGGCCTTCCTTCAAATATGCGTCTCCACCACATCGGAGGATCGAATGGGCGAGAGCCGTTGTGTAGGGGAGGATACACATCCGAGAAGAAATACCACACATGTCCAATAACGACTCCCATAATCTCATCCTTAGGAATCGTGCCATGCACAATCAAACTGAAGCCCATCAACACCCATGGGAGGTATGGAGCAGTGAACACCAGTAGTCCCAAGAAACTCAGCCTGGTATCTGGGTTGCGCCTTGACCAAATGTAAACGAGGGTTGAAGAGAGTGGATGTCCAAGGAATATCATCGACACCATTGGCGATAGACAGATCAAACAGGTAGTCGCATATAGCAATAGCCACGAGAAGTGTGCTGGCGAACGACCAGCTGATTCTTCTAGCAATCGCGAATATCGTTGAAGGAAGAAGACGTGGAAGACGAGGTCTAGGGACAGGGGACCGAAGTATAAAAACGTGGTAAGGAGGCGCCAATACTATCAAATACAAGTCAGCTTTGGCGGAAATAGATCTGGATGGGTGGAGGTGTAGTTTTACTTACCTGATGTCTGAAGAAGACGGTTCGAAAGCTATAGTATAGCTGGAACGGCCCAACGATATCACATTGTACCAGAAGGCTAGTAAGCACAGTGGCTGTCGTCCACCATCTTGTACATAGAGGCATTTCCCAGAACCATGTCTCGAGGGGAAATCCCGCCTGGCCGACCATTCCGCCATCGCCTCCACCCATCATTTGATCCATCGCGAGGTGATGCGCTTGTGGTGAGCTATGGTTATGGTGTCCGCGTGTGTCTGTTTTCTTCTGCGGCGCGGTGTTTTTGTTGATTTCCAGGTGTGAAGCTGAACTTAGTTGCAAAAGCCACGCATTGAAAAGACGTGAGGGATTTCAAATAAGTAATGGAGATTCCAAAATGTTGTTCAAACGGAACAATGGAATGATTGAAGTGTCATCTTCGGCGATTAGATATGCGCCCGCCGCCCCCACCGCGCCGAATCACCCGCGCCCACCCGTGGCGCGGTAAGTTTAGGGGCCAACATGTTTCTAGGTAAGAAGCACGAAGTACGAAGTAGATGGAATCTCTTCTACATGGCATAGGATAAATCTATAAGCTTAATTAAAAGATACGGTCTGCCGATGAATAGCTTCCAAAAATCAACGGTGTGAGTGTCGGCTTGGCTACACAACATAAAGTTGCGAATATACTCCAGTTTACTAATACATGTACGCCGCCTGCCCGTAGCACAACACCCTCGCTTGGATCGCTTGGATTGCACGATTTTTGATGGCGTTTTAATTGAGCGTTGTATTTGGAAATACAGGAGAAAGCAGTTAACGAGATCTCCTTCCTTCGAGAGCACCTTAATAGCTTTGAAAGCAAGTAAGCCAATTTCCTTGGGCATTTCATAAGTGACAGAGAACATTCATAGTTTAAACCACCCATGGTTTATCGCATCTTTAGCAGATATACGGTCTTCCGGCTTGTACTCCAATAACCGCCCTAGAAGATCTGCAAAGAGTTCTTGCTCTGTCTGGGAGATATCCCGATGACGATCTCCATCGGGTTGATGATCTGACATGTACCAGAGCCCAGGAGCAATAGTAACCTGCAATGATCGAGCATCACTAGCAACAGCTGGATGAATAGTACTCGTGAAAACTCTCTTCTTCGCCCCTGGGTCATCTTTACCTGGCTCAGATTCTAGAGCAGCAACGGCAAGGCCCTGCTCGTCGACTTCATCCTTGTACATTCTTCTCCGATCCTCCCAGGTCGTAGACCACCATGGCTCAGGAAGTTTACCTAAGACTTGAACAAAGGCGTCTAAATAGTCGTTATCTTCATCGTCAAATGGGCTAAACAGCTTTCTGCCAGTTTGGATCTCGAATAGACTACACCCTAGTGCCCAAATGTCTGAACCAAAACCAGCTTCTTTGTCGAGAATCAACTCTGGAGAGCGATACGGTCCGGGAATACCAAGATCGTCGGGAGGTTGCGAAATTTCGAAGGACTCGCCGAAATCGATAAGACATGATTCTTTGCTTATAAACTGGGTATCAACATCCCACCAGTTCACTGGATAAACGAGGTACTGAGGTGCAGTGGGTTCATAATGGCACTCCTTGGATTCATTTAAAACAGGATTCACAACCGGGCTGCCTAATATCTGTAGGACTTCGGCTTCATTGAGTCCATCGAGCCCAGTTGTGCGATGAAGGACGTTGCTTGGTGTAATATCTAATCCCTGGTTAGCATTCACTGATGCCCGATAGAGGAAGAAGGATTGAAACTGGCTCTACTCACCACCATGACATATTCCTTGGCTGTGAAGAAATCTGACAGCCTTCACAACTTGCAGACTAAGGCTTCTCAAGTCCTTGTCCGGATCTGCAGACGCAGAAAACAAGCCTAGAGATACATTTGGGCCAAGAACAGGATACACAAAGGAGCTATGGTTCCCATTCGGCCCATGGATCTTAAAGTGGTCCAGTGGGAGGCAAATGGACTCGGCGCCATCGCCTTTAGGTGTATTTTCGATGTGAGCAGCTTTGAGCTGGTTCACTCGGAGCTCGGAGCAATCATCACTGGATGTCTCGGCCATCAAAATCTTCAAAGCAACATATTTGGTTGCCTCTTTCGCCTCAGTATCCCGACTGAGCCAAACATTAGCAAAGCCGCCGTGGCCAAGCTTATGGATGACACGGTACCGCCCGTTATTGCCATATACATCGCCCAAGTGGACAGGATGGTGGCCACCAGGCTCATAGTCATGGATATGCTCTAGACCGAAGGGAGCAAGATCTAGATATAGCCCGTTGGATTCGACGTCAACCATATCTTCGTCTTCCGTCAACGTAGACCCTGGCGAACGTGGTAATGAGAGATCGGAAGGCATCTTAATAGAGCTCTGGAGAAATATTCCCTGAGCCTTGCGGTTCTTCGTTGTAATGTGCAGTTGCAAAAGACTCCAACCCGGAATGATGGGTGTTGAGAGTGCGTGGGAGAATGATCTAGCAGGTAGAAAGTTTTGAAGGGATGATGTCAAATAAATTGCGAGTGCAAGGTTCTTGATCTTGGTAAAAACCAAAATTGTTTATTTGATTATCGAGTAAGAGAGTTATGGAATTTTGTTCTTTAAAATAAGCTGATACCTAAAAAGATAGAGAGAGCATGGAGCAAGAGGCTGGGAGGACATGAGACGGGAGATGGAGGGAGGCCCAAGAAATTGGATGACGGCCGTCCTGAGGCACGAGGCAATGGAGGGAGCCATTTTCTACTCTCTGGATGTCAAAAAGTAAGAATGGGAAAGAAGAACGTTGTCGAACAGGGATGAGATGGGATGATCCGACGCGGTTCCAGCGAGTGTCATCCCCGCCAAGCGCCAAGCGCCAAGCGATCATGCCGCTCTAATGCTCTGACAATCAGGTATGCGAGGGTTAGCGTGAGATTCTGGCAAGCTGACTGCTCCGCTGATCATTTCTCCCTAGATGTGAAACCTGGCAATGTCATGGTCGACTGGAATCTAGACGAGCAGGGCCAAGTTCAAATAGAAAGAGTAGCGTTGATTGATCTCGACGTCTCCCTGAAACTAAAAGGCAATATATTACTCCGGATCCCCGGTATGCAGAGGCTAGGAAATTTTATGTGGCGTAGTCCAAAAGCACAAACGGGCCAGAGAATAGGTAAACCATCGGATGTGTTTTCGTTTGGACTTGTGGTAAGTGAGCCTTGATGCTGACAGGAGAGCTTATGCTAAAACTCATGCTTAGTGTACATACACTCTCACAGGCAGAGAGATCATGGCAGTTGACCACCAGGAGCTATAGGAGAGGAAAGTTGAGCCCGAAATTGAGGTTTTAGGCCGGGATATAGTGTACTTTGGCCCGCTTTCTGAGGGACTCTTAAAACATTCCGCTGATGAGACATGGCAAACCGTCCTGGGCCAAGTAGCAGAAGGGGTTGCGGGAGCAGACCCAAGTTTTTACCTCTCGAACTAGCAGGAAAATGACTTCCCGAATATTAATGCTAGAGCGAAGAGCATGTTATGCAGGATTATGAATCTTGATCCAGCAAAGCGAGCTACTATTGATGAGATTTGGGATGAGCCATACTGGGGGTAAGTTGGAATTACGAATTGTAAGTATGTGTATGAATAAAATTTGATATTATTTTTACGAAAGGAGGTCTGCTTAATAGAATTGATGATATATTTTTGTAATTAAGATATTGTTAAGAGCTAGAGGTCTGGAGATAGTTGACCTACAGCCTCCTAGTCCTGAGAATTACTTATTTTCCTCTGATAACAACTGCGCCGTGCGTCGTATGTTCCAGCCACATCTCCAGCCACACCCCACTAAGTGCACAACATTCTCTCGGCCAACGACCACCACGATGAAGCAGTATCAAAGCTGCGAAGACGTCGCAAAGGACTTTTATTCTAGAATCCATAATAATTTTACTCTTATCTACGGTCTATGGGCACTATCGAAAATTATAACTTGACGTTAAAAAGTTGAATTGGGCATTTTCGGAGCTTCAGCCACACTTTTTCCAGAAGCTCTCGCGACGGAGCGCAACGCGTCTGTTGAATCCGTCAATACCAGCCACGTCAATAATACCCCCCAACCGGTCGCAACACGCATCGTAGCTTTCCACCAAGCTCTATCTCGCATTTGTGCCATTGCATGAGTATTGCAATACACATATTACCTTTTTTGTCAAGATGCCGCCCAAAACAGCAACCCTAATAAGGAGACCCGAGCAGAAGATACGGCATAAGAGACATAGTGGCGGTGTTGAACGTGAGTCTAACTAGGCGCCCATTCCCAAATCAACTATAAGTCTAGGGAATATAAGATGCTAATAGTATTATGGTACAGCCGGCGATCCATTACCAGCAGCGCGCAAGAGGCGCCGATACCGACCGGGAACAGGCGCGCTGAAGGAAATCAGGCGGTATCAAAACTCGACGGAATTACTAATGTCAAAGCTGCCATTCTCGCGCCTCGTAAGTCGTCATTCCCAGATGAAGGAAGGTCATGTCTAATGGAGTGCGAATAGGTTCGAGAGATTGCAATAACTTTGCGGCCAGTGGGACTAGACATGCGATGGCAGTCCCAAGCGATAATGGCGCTGCAAGAAGCGGCGGAAGCGTTTCTAGTCCACCTTTTCGAAGATACAAATCTGTGTGCGATACATGCGAAGCGAGTCACGATTATGCAAAAAGATATACAGCTAGCGAGGAGGATTAGAGGTGCTTGGGGCGGCCTTGGATAGCTGTGTTGGGTAGATAGTTATGTCTTTACGGAATTGTCTATATAAGTTTGCTGTTTACGGGGCGTTAGGGAGTGGCTAATACGATATCACCGAGCTCGAATGGCTCTAGCGGTTGTTTATGGTTTAAGGAGATGGGATTTGTGTACCGATATTCCTTGGCTGGAATTGCAATTCATTGTTGCAGAAAGAAGGGCGAATCGATAATATATTCAACCATCATTGGTGTTTCTTCAGGGGTTACTACTATCAGCTATAGGTAACTGTGGTGCCATCTTCCGCTGGTTCTAATAATTCCCATCGACATTCGAGATTCTTTTGTTTGAACATCTCCAATATGGCTTCCGCAATTGCTTCGAAGTTTTCCGTTGCCAGAGCCAGGATTGTGGGCCCGGCTCCAGAGAGACATATACCGCAAAGTCCAGGATGAGATTTTGGGGTGACAGACTGCAAGATCTCCGGGAGACCTGGGATAAGACCTTTCCTATACGGCTGGTGGACCTTATCTTGCATGGCTAGGTATATTTGCTCTGCATTCGGAGGCGAGGTTCCGAGAGCAGACGGGAGAAGAGCTATCCGTTGCAGATTGAAGACTACATCTTGTCTCGAGTATGAAGCAGGAAGCACACCTCGTGCCTCTGCAGTCGCTACTTCGAAGTGGGGAATGATCGCAATTGCCTTGATCTCCTTGGCCCAGGGGAACTTCATATAGTGGCCGATTCCGATTGGCGGCTGAGGCGGAGTTTCGCCAGTATCAATACCTCCTGCTGGGGCGGGGAGGACCTCGCTGAGAGGAATTTCTTTGCGTTCGGTGTCTTCAGGGCTTAGGTCATTGAGATATGTCCCCACGAATCCTCCATACAACGCCGCTGCAACGTTATCCGGATGGCGCTCTACAGCAGAGGATCAGTTAAATTCCGCATATGTTTCAAGGGTCCAACAAACCGATCATCAGACAATAATCCAGCATGCGGGCTTTCGACAATCCAAGTTTCCCCACTTCGTTCCCCAGCGCGACACCTGCCACCACCGCCGCACCCGAAGAGCCCAAGCCACGGCCAAGGGGGATAGGGTTGATGATGTGAACCCTGGTCTCAGCAGGGAATGCTCTCTGTCCATAGCTTCTGAGGACGTATAACGCCGTCCTCGTAATGAGATTTGCATCAGCGCTTAACGGCACCTCTTCTGCGCCTTCGCCCTCGTAGGTAATCACGCAGTTGAGGGGTGCCTTGGTAGGTTTGTCCTCGACCTCAACGCGGAGCTCGAGCCATATCGACAGCGCAAGGCCAATGACATCGAAGCCCGGGCCAATGTTTGCTGAGGAGCATGGTACTTCTAGAGTGCAAGCGCGGAGTCAGCCTTGGGAGGGAGTAGGGCATTGTGGGAGCGACACTGACTTATGGTTATCATTTTGATCTGGGGGATATTCCTGGCAATCGTTTGCAAGCTGGACAATGATTTCTCGGGAATACGAGGGAGTCACCATTTAAATATTAAATATCGGGGATTGGGTGTCAGCCTCGTGTCAGGCAAGATATTTTAGGTGGTCGGGAGGGGTAATTAGCCTCCGATGTGCGGCTGCCCCACCATCAAATTCATCGTCAATATTTGTCGACATTTTTCCCAGCAAGCACTACACAAGCAACAACCGCCGCATAATGTCGGAGCCCATCCGCATCCTACTGGTGGGCAATGGTGGTCGCGAGCATGCGCTCGCGTGGAAATTGAGCCAATCTCCTCTGGTTGAGTCTATTATCGCGGTCCCAGGGAATGGCGGTACATCGACATGTCCCAAGGTCGAGAACAACACCAGCGTGAAGGCGGACGATTACCCCGGTCTTGTGGCATTTGCGCAGAAGAACAATATCAATCTGGTTGTTCCCGGCCCCGAAGCGCCGTTGGTGGATGGCATTGAGGGCTACTTCAAGGCGGTTGGCATCCGGTGCTATGGCCCGTCGAAACTTGCGGCGCGAATGGAAGGAAGCAAGACTTTCTCCAAGGACTTCATGAAGAGACATAATATCCCTACTGCGGCGTACGAAAATTTCTCGGATTACGAAAGCGCACGGAAATATCTGGATAGCATCGATCATAATGTTGTGCTTAAGGCGAGCGGTCTGGCAGCCGGGAAGGGAGTCATCATCCCCACGACAAAGGAGGAAGCGCAGCAAGCATTGAAGGAGATCATGTTAGACAAGGAATTTGGCGCAGCTGGTGATGAAGTTGTTATTGAGGAGTTCTTGGAGGGCGATGAGTTGAGCATTCTGAGCTTCAGCGATGGATACACAATCCGATCATTACCTCCAGCCCAGGATCACAAGAGAATATTTGATGGAGACCAGGGCCCCAATACTGGCGGCATGGGCTGCTACGCACCTACGAATATTGCAACCAAGGAATTGATTGAGGAGATCGAGAAGACTGTCTTACAGCCTACCATTGACGGCATGAGGAATGAAGGGTTTCCTTTCCTTGGTACCCTTTTCACTGGTCTCATGATCACGAAGACTGGTCCAAAGGTCTTGGAGTACAATGTCCGATTTGGCGATCCAGAGACTCAGACTTTATTGCCCCTCTTAAGTGAGGATACTGATCTCGCAAAGGTCATGATTGCCTGCACAGAACATTGGCTCTCTGGGGTTACCGTGAAAGTCGATCAAAAGGCCAGTGCAACAGTTGTGGTAGCAGCAGGTGGATATCCTGGCCCCTACGCAAAGGGCACGCCCATGCAAGTTAGTACGCCTGCTGCTGACACCAATATCTTCCATGCCGGCACAGCCATCAAGGATAGCCAGCTTCAGACGGCTGGTGGTCGTGTTATTGCCGCTCAAGCAACTGCCGAAACTCTGGAGCAAGCAGTCAAGAAGGCATATTTGGGAGTGGAGCATATCAAATTCGACAAGATGTTCTACAGGAAAGACATTGCACACCGAGCATTGAAGCCCACAGCTTCCACCCAAGAGGCTCTCACATACGCTAAGGCTGGCGTCAGTATTGATGCCGGAAATGCACTCGTAGAGCGTATCAAGAAAGCAGTTGCTGCTACACGCCAACCTGGTGCTGATGCGGAAATTGGCGGATTTGGAGGTGAAGTGGACTTAGCAAAAGCTGGCTATGCGAGTGCACCTATCACGGTGGGTGCCATTGATGGCGTGGGCACGAAACTCATGATCGCTCAAGCCATGGACAAGCACGACACTGTAGGTATCGACCTGGTTGCAATGAACGTGAACGACCTAGTTGTTCAAGGCGCCAAACCATTCATGTTCCTTGACTACTATGGCTGCAGTCAGTTGAATCTCGAGACTGCTGCGGCATTCGTGGAAGGCGTTGCAGCTGGCTGTATCGATGCCACTTGCACGCTCGTAGGCGGCGAGACTGCGGAAATGCCCGGCATGTACCAGAAAGACGATTATGACGCCGCTGGTTGCGCTGTTGGAGCAATGACCCAGGATCTCAGACTTCCGCGCAAGGAGGACATGGTTGAGGGTGATGTTCTTCTTGGCCTAGCATCCCACGGAGTCCATTCGAATGGATTCTCTTTGGTGCGCAAAATCATCGCTCGCGAGAACCTCTCCTATACCGATACCGCTCCCTGGGACGAGTCAACCAGTGTGGGTCTCAGTCTCTTGACTCCTACCAGGATATACGTTCGCTCTCTCTTGAGCGTCACCAACAAGAAGCTTGTTAAAGGCCTTTCACATATCACCGGAGGCGGCTTGACCGAGAATGTCCCTAGGATGCTACCCGCTCATCTATCTGCTGAGATCGACGTCGCAGCGTGGCAGCTACCGCCCGTTTTCAAATGGTTGAAACAAGCCGGAAACGTGCCAGCTGCGGAGATGGGACGAACTTTCAACACCGGCCTCGGTATGGTTGCTGTGGTAAGCCAGGGCAATGCTCAAGAAGTAAAGGCAGCACTAGAGGCGGCTGGTGAGAAGGTTTATACTATTGGCAAACTTGTTTCGAGATCGGTTGGGGAGGGCTGTGATTTGTTGAATCTTGCATCTTGGGATTAGGAACGGGGGGGGGGAGGATGGGGCATGTGATGATGGCGTTTTTATGGGACATGTCAAAAGTTTTGGTTTGCGGATTAGTGGGTGTGGGTAGATATATACCTGAAGTGCAACCTAGAGAATCAACCAGCTTTTTCACGTAGAGCCTTTCAATTTGCATAATGAACTTTTTATGTGGAATTGTATTGAGACTAAAAGTTTTAGGCGTATATCCATTGGCAACCAACCTGGCAGAGATATATATAAGTTGAATCATATATGCATAGACTGAACTACCCCAATATAGACAGCCATACTTGCGAACCCCTTAAAACTTCACGTCTGCCAAAATCACCATCCTCTCCCCTGCATCTTATCCTTCTCATCCATCGACGAGCAGTTCAATCCCACCATCGCCTCACCCAAATCCTCGCTAACCTCGGCCAAAACCTTGGGATCATTAAAATGCGTAACAGCCTGCACAATAGCCTTCGCCCTCTTAGCCGCATCACCGCTCTTGAAAATCCCGCTCCCAACAAAAACACCATCACAGCCCAACTGCATCATAAGCGCAGCATCCGCGGGCGTAGCAATTCCTCCAGCGGCGAAATTCACAACTGGCAGACGTCCAAGCTTCGCGGTCTCCTTCAGCAGGTCGTATGGGGCTTGGATATCCTTAGCTAGCACACGCAGTTCGGCGTCTGACATGTTGCGCGCATGGGCAATCTCAGCGTTGAGGGTTCGCATGTGGCGGACTGCTTCAATCACGTCGCCGGTGCCGGCTTCGCCCTTTGTGCGGATCATGGCGGCGCCTTCGCTGATGCGGCGGAGGGCTTCGCCCAAGTTGCGGCAACCGCAGACGAAGGGGCTTTTGAAGGAGTGCTTCTCAACGTGGTGTGCGTGGTCGGCGGGGGTGAGGACTTCGGACTCGTCGATATAATCTATGCCAATTGCCTCGAGGATCTGTTTTACGGGTATTTGGTTAGTGCTACAGGTCGAATGTAGAAACGGGAAGTAAACAAGTACCTGGCATTCAACAAAGTGCCCAATCCGTGCCTTGGCCATGACGGGGATGGTCACTGTGTTCATGATCTCCTTGATCATCTTGGGGTCTGACATTCGTGCTACTCCACCTTCCGCTCTGATGTCTGCAGGGACACGCTCTAGAGCCATGACTGCCACAGCGCCGGCTTCTTCTGCTATCCGCGCCTATTGATAGAGGACAGAGTCAGCCAATCCTTACCCGATCGAGTCTCCGTTTTGGAATAAGGGAACATGGTAATACCTGCTTAGCATCCACCACATCCATAATGACACCTCCCTTGAGCATGCGGGCTAATCCCGTCTTGACGGTGAAGTTCTGCTCGCCGGCAGTATCCGGAGCTGCGCCCTCGCCATTTGTCGCTCGTGTAGGGAGTTCGGTAGCCATTGTAGTAGTAATATCGTTGACTATATACTTCGTCTACTTTTTCCCTCAAGTTTGACTTCAAGTTGCAGGGTGAAGATGGGCGTAAAGTGAACTGCGCTTGATAAAAGGAGACAAGGAGAGAGTTCTTGAAGTAGCGTTGGCAGTTACTTTTATAATCTTTCAATTGGAATGAACGGGTGGTGAGTCTTACAATCCAACGACGTACAGTAATAATAATTAAGATTTTCTCGCCGGTGCTTAGCGGATCGGGTTCGGAGGGGGAGGGGGGAGGGGAGCGGAGGGGCAGCGGCGGCCGGGCGAGCAGGGGTCTTGGCGGGGTGAAAACCGAGGGGGCACGTGTCAGGGACGGTGTGGCCGTAGCAGGGTTTGCCGTAGTCAAAAGGCGGTGTGTATCAAAAACGCCATTGCGCCCTCCGGCACCGCTCCGTGTACAGTAAGCGCCTACGGAGGTAAGGCGGAAGGAACTTTAAGCCGACGGCAGCCCCCACCAACCGGCCGAGAGTCTGGGGAACCGTCAACGGCCAAACAAACGAAACGGGTTCAGCGATAGTGACATCAGCAAGTTGCTGCACGCAGTACGTACCCCTCGGACGCAAGCTGGGCAAACAACATAAACATACACATTATTATTATCGAGCCTCAATTCTTACATAACAATCAACCACCATGTCAGGCCTTTTCGCGCGTCAATTCCTACGCCCGCATACTCTGGGACTCGGGCTTGGCCTCTCCCTCTACACAACCTACCACATCTGCCACCAGGCGCCCATTCGGCTAGACAGTCGTCTGTCGAGCGATTCTTCTTCATATAGAAGGGGTGCGTCGCTGCCAGGGCTGCAAAAGGGCGCGAGGCTAAGTTCGGGGGCTGTGAGACAGATTAGCAGTGGTTCCATTATAGGTCAGTAGCGATTTGATAAACGCCCGCCTGGGACAGTTGAGCAAAGACAAAAGGAAAAAGAAAAAAAGGGCTAATATGAAGGTGATGGTGGTTGGAATGTAGGTTTATGTACAGGTTTGCTTGTTAGTACGTTTTCGCGGTCATTGGTGCTGTTATTGGGATTATTGGTTGTCGGTGTACAGGTGAGTATTCCTTCTTTCATAAGGCGTCATACCAGGGCTTTCCCAGGAGACAGGACTAACGTGGGGGGTAGTGGGCGCAAAGTTACGGTATCACTGTCATTCCGTATAAGAAGCTGCAAAAATATGTTTCGGGGGTAGATCTTCGATCATTGGTGCAGGAAAATGCTGCTTTCAAGATCTCATTTGGGACCACGTTCGCCATGGCAGCTTTCATGCATTTTTAGGACTGCACGTGTAGCTATTCAGACATCCTCCCTGCAATAGACACCCTATAGACTTTTCCACCATACAAGGGAAATTTTAAATTGGTTGCGTCTCGCGCTCCAACCACTTCATCGCCACCGAATCAGGCTTGAAGAAATGCTTGGTCTTGCCATAGATATCGGCGTGATACTCGTTCAACCAATGCTTCTCCCGCCTTGTCAGGAGTTCCTCGTCAATGAGTTTCCGGCAGTATGGCACCATGGTTACATGCTCAAAACCAAGGTACGGTTTGTCACCAAACCTGTGCTTGGTCTCAACCTCCTTTACCATGATGATGTTCTCGATGCGGATACCAAAGCTTCCGTCTTCGTAGTAGCCAGGCTCGTTTGATATCACGTTGCCTGGCGCCAGAGGAACTTCGGAATATTGTATCCGGGTCCCAATTCCGATTGGCCCTTCATGTACGTTTAGATATGAGCCGACACCGTGACCTGTACCGTGTCTGTAATCTAGACCTTCTTCCTGTGGGTTATTTAGCATCTAGGAATCACGGGGAGTGCGAGGCTGGCAAACGTACCCATAAGAATTGTCTGGCCAGCGTATCTAAGGCGAACCCACTAGTGCCTTTGGGAAATACAACAACATCCAGAGCGATGTTCCCCTTGAGCACCAGCGTATACGCTTTTCTTTCCATTTCTGTCGGTTCTCCGAAATGGAGCGTTCTAGTGGTGTCGGTAGTACCATCAAGATACTGAGCGCCCGAGTCACACAGATAGACCGCCTTAGGATCAATGACAGAGCAATTCCCCTTTTCAGGCTTGTAATGGATCACCGCCGCGTTGGCACCCGTCGATGAGATCGTGTCAAACGAGAGTCCCACATAGTTCTTTTGCTTTTTCCGGAGCTCTTCTAGCTTGTCTGCGGCAACGACCTCATCGAGTTCTACCTTCTCAACGGTGAGCTGGTGTTCCAGCCAGGCGAAATACTCAGTCAGAGCTGCACCATCCCGGACGTGGCAGGCTCTCATGCCCTCAAGCTCAGTCTCGTTCTTGACAGCTTTGGCATCACCAATGGGGCTTCGAATCTCTTCGACCTTGGTCTCTCCACCCAATGATCGCTTCAGCGCCCAAGATGTCTTCGTTGACACCAAGAATTTCTTAATCTTGACTTCCGGCACACCATCACCGCTTTCTTTCGTGTCCAGAGATTTGCCTAGAACTTCGGTATCATCGAATATCTTGTGGTATGGTCGGACAGAGACCCCATTTTCAGTAAGGTAAGTTTTGCATTCGCTGCCCAGTTTCGACGAGTCTACGTATAGCGTAGCCGACGTGGGTGTGATTGCAGCGTAAGAGAAGAATACTGGGTTGTATGGAATATCGTTCCCCCTCATATTAAACAGCCAAGCAACCTCATCCAGCATCGAAACGATGAACCCAGAGCTCTTCTTCTTTTCCAGCTCCTTCCGAAGTTCTTCGAGCTTCGTCTTCACTTCTTTTCCTGCAAAGGCCTTCGGCAGGATCTTCACCGGCTCGCTAGGCCTAGGTGGTTGGCTGCTCCCCCAGACGAGGTCCACAAGGTTTTCATCTATCGCCAGCAGCTCTTGGCCGCCCCGTTTCTTGATCTTTTCGGATAGTTTCCGCGCCTCTGACGCAGATATAACCTTTGGATCGACGCCAACAGCCTTGCCTCCTTCAGACTGCTCTGCCGACCATTCCTGCCACGTAGGAACATCTTGTAGGCCTTGCTTGAGCAGGAGCCAATTCGCGTCAAGCTGCTTCGACGCGTGGTTAAAGTATCGTCCGTCGGTCGCGAGTGCGGCTTTCTCGTGCGTGATTACTGCTGTCCCCGCTGAACCAGAGAAGCCAGATATATATTCCCTCCTTGCGTCACATGGTGCGATATATTCGGAAGAATGGCTGTCCTCACTAGGAACGACTTCGGAGACCATCAGTGATGGCAGAGCACCGGGATTTCGATCACTCACATACTGTAAATATCGAGCTTGCGCTGTTTCATAAGCTCTCTTAGCCGAGTAAGGCGCTCTGTGGTGTTGACCTTCTCCATGACTAGATTGCGAATTAGATTAATGCCTCGTAGGTGTAACAGCTCCCAGTGCGGGGTTGCAGCTTGCCTTTACTGGATATGCTATTCTCAGAGTTTGAACTGTGTCGAATGGAGATTCCTAGCCTTTGGGCGAAACGGTTGTAAATAGGAGCAGGGCTACCGGTACTCGTCGAAAGCCTTTTAAGGAATCCGGCGTATCTCATTGATCTTGCACAAGCAAGTCAAGCTCCTTCCAGCGTTGGCCTGAATTCCTGCTTGAAAGCAGCTGCGGGATGCTGGAAGGGTTATCGGGATTGGTCAAACTGATTGGGTTGGCTTTCAAACAGGTCGATACTTTACGTGTTCGCCTGGGGGAAGTGGGGGATGTGGGATTCTTGATGATGCATGGGCATGGGCAGTCTTGGAGTCTTGGATTGGGAGCTTGTCGGCGGGACACTACAGCGACTCCAGTGAAGCCACTGGCCTTACGACGTATGGTGTTGAAGCCTGGAAAGTAAGGCATAAAGAAGGGCAATTGCATCAATCGAATTTCATCTTTTCAACCAACTTTGGTAAATTCACATGACAAAATGCAGGACCTGAAACTGAAAGCTCAGAGCAGGTGATGATAGATCCTCAACTTTCCAACAATGAAGCGTGTTGCTTTCCTATTTAATCTACACAACGCCCGTTCCTGATAAGCCCTATCTCCTGATTTGTGAGAATCCAAGTTAAGCCATAAGGAAAACATGGCTGGCGTCGATCTGGGCCAACTGCCAACCTCTCTAGAGGAGGTCGTTCATGTAAGTCTTTTATCTTGTATTTAACCCCTCTATTGCGTCTGAAACAGTGGACCGTACGCAAATACGCCAGGCAACCTTTGATCCTGCTCCAGCTGACTCTCTGCAGCTTATAGTCCAGCTGTATCAGCCGGGAGCACCAGAAGTGATTGCCAAAACCCAAGAAACGCTGCAAAAGCTGCAGCGGTCTCCCGATGGATGGCGTATAGCTTATAGCCTGGCCAACCACGAGGACCAGCAAGTGAGGTTCTTCGCAGCCCTGACCTTCATTGTCAAACTCAACACAGATGCGTAAGTTTAAAGCACTTGGTAGGTACCATTGCTAAGAAATGCTAGGAAATCTCTGGGAGAGGAGGATGAAAAAGTTTTACTCCATACTCTCATCAGTTGGATGATCCGATGTGTCCAGAATTCAGAGGGCCCACTTGTCATGAGGAAGCTCTGCAGCACCTTGGTAGCATATTTCTTCCAATTCTCAGCGTCTTGGATAAAATGCGTCAAGCACCTTATGTACTGCCTCTGTATCAAGGAGGCGATTCCATATGAAGCTCTACCCGACACCCTCGATACTCAAGCCCTCGTGAGTGATATTCCTAACGCGACAGCAATGGCCATCTTCTGGTTTGCTTCCTCTCTCGTGGAAGAAGTTGGAAAGACAGACTCCAACTCTATGAAGCAGTTGAGTCACTCTTTGTACCTTTGGAAATTCGGTACACTAACACTGTGGCCAGGCATAAGTTCCACCAGAGTGTGCTACCTAATGTCGACGATATTGTTCCGTTGATATCCAAGTATATCTCTAACACCGCCCCTGTCACCGCTGATATCAAAGTCCGCCAAGAGGCCCTGACGTGTTTTCAAGTACGTTATTATCTATGCTTAATTCTTCCACCAACGATAAATTTCATATTCTCTTATGTTTTGATATACTAACTTCACAGGCATGGGTCTCTTATTCACATCGCGCCTTCATCGATGATGCAATCATGCTTGAGCCCCTTCGGATACTGACCAAACCGGCAATTATGTGTCTTGCCGATGACAATCTATATGAAATCGCAATGGAGATGTTCGCCGATGTGCTCTCAAATTACTCCAAATTCTTCTCCGAAGACGATTTTCAACTTTTATATTCCCTCTTCAACAGTCCATGGACAGAAGGGCGCTACCAGCGACTGGTTGGAGGCGACTTCGACTTCGATTCTCTCCAATTCGGCCATTTTCTCCTTGCCTTTGGTGACGCTACACTTCAGGAACTGGCCACAAACACAGAGCCACGGTTTCAACAAGTTCTCGTTGTACTTGGCGGACTCCTTGCAGCGGAAGGGTATCCCATCCACGAGGATAAGATATTCGTGCCAGCGCTAGAGTTTTGGAATTCTTTCGTCGAGAACATGATCGACGATGTTTTTTCAGTCGGTGGAAACCACCCACACTGGTTTGAACCAGCTAAGATGCATGTCATTCAAGCGATTGAATCGTGTATGCGGAAGCTCCAGTTTCCCTCGCCACAAGTTTTCAGTTCCTGGGATTCAGTAGATCGCACAGGGTTCAAAGATGCCAGAAGAGATTTTGGGGATCTCCTGCAGCAGTTTTACCTCGTTACTGGTATTACAATCCTTGATACATTTATCGATAGGGCTCATGACGCAATCCGTTCCAGGGACTGGGCAGACCTTGAAGTCTCGCTATTCTGCATCGGGGTATTTCCCGATAATATAGCTGACGAGGAGTCTCGAGATAAATTTCTGAGCAAAATCTTCACAGGCCCCGTCATCTCTCTGTTTGTAGACCCCAATCAGGAGATCCCTGCGCGGACTGTGCAATCTTTCCTGAGTCTTATTCATGGATATGCGGACTACTTCCAACAGAACACAGAGTTTCTACCCAACGTACTGAACATCGTTTTTGGAGCTATGGCAAATCCTGCCCTGAGACCTAAAGCATCATACACCGTTCTACGGTTATGTTCAGATTGCAGGAACCTTCTCCTTCCCGAGCTAGGTGCCTTCCTGCAACAGTACCAAAGCCTTACTCTCAATGCTTCCCTTGATAAGGATGACAAAGAACAAATCATGCAAGGCATATGTTCCCTTATCCAAGCCATCCCAGAAGAACAAGATAAAGTTGCGCCACTAGAACAACTTCTCAACTTCGTCGATCGAGATATCGAAGATTCCTTCCGCATACTATCTTCGCAACCATCGTTGGAGGTGGCTCTAAAGGATATGAAGGATGACAAGACATCATCGAGTCCAACATCAACAGCCTTGGAGCTAGGGCATGGAGCACTAAGGTGTCTCGCAGGAATTGGCCACGCGCTTCAAGCCCCAAATGATCAGCCCGTAGACCTCGAAGAAAAGGAGACTGGGTCGGACTTTTGGATTGCCGGAGGCGGTGCTCCAGTCCAGCGACGTATATTTTCTATGGTTACCAGAGTATACGATACTCTTGGGAGCCATGGAGATATTGTGGACGCGGCTTGTTATGTATGGCGCCAAGGGTTCAGAGAGCTAGAGCCAGGACCATTTGTTATGGCTCCAAGTATGATCGCCGAGTTCCTTCTCAAAGCTGGTCCTCAAACGCCCCGACTTGGCTGTGTGATTGGCACTGCCTGTTCATTTGTGACATCCCACAAGTCAGGTGATGGAATTAATCAGATCATTGATGCATTGTTGAACTGGATATCTCGACTACTTCAGGCGCAAGAAAGTAAGTTACAAATCCAGCCTCAAGAAGTCTCTTAGGTAACCTTTTCTTAGAACCAAGCAACGACCCTGAGGTTGCCCAGAACGGAATTGACTTCCTTACCCGTCTATTACCCAAATATCTGGATGCACTCATGAACCATGATTCTCCATCATTGGAATACCTCCTCATGTTCACCCTGAACGCCCTTACAGGAAGCGACCCACTTCCCAAAATCGCGGCGGCTGATTTCTGGGTATGTCCTTATACGCCATACGCTTGTTGACAACTTCTAACCTTTGCAGTCTACATTCATCAACCTCCCAAGCCAACCTGATCAACTTCAGGCGCCAATTGAGAATGTTATCAAACTTGTCGGTCCCCTACTCGCACGAGCGCTCATCTATAACATCGGCGGCCATGCTGCACGCAGCGAGCTAGATAAGCTTTCAGAGCCCTTGAAGAAACTTGTCGTCCGGCAAATTGACTCGAAGAGATGGTTCGAAGCGGCACTTCTAGGGGAAGATTTTCCTAGTGATAAAGTGTCTACTCAAGATAGAACTATCTTTCTCGAGAAAATAACGAAGTATGTCGAGCCAATGCTTGTCAAAATCCAACTAACGATTTATAGGCTTCGGGGGGCACGAGGAACGAACCAGGTGGTTCGAGAATTTTGGGTGGCATGCCGTGGCACGAATTTTGCATACGCTTCATGACATGCTCGATTTCTTCATAGTATTAGGGAAAGAGATAACCCACAAATTAGGGGTTCGTTGTCGAGGACAGAGGGTTTGTCAGAGAGTTGATGTGAAAAATCATCTCAAGGTTCGGGAAAGCTTTCTCTATGAGTATGTCTGGATACGGTAGGTTATGAATGCAGATATGTATAGATGGAATACTAAAACTCATTACCCCCTATTAAAGCAACTGAGCACTTCTGGTGATACTGTACCTAGGTAGCGGCGACCCTTGAAACCCCTTATATAAAGTCACGTGTAGATAAGCAGCAAATTCCAACCTTGTGGATACCGTATCTGTTTGGATCGTCTTTGATCAGCGCCCTAATAGCAACTTTGCAATTGATTAAGCCTCCAAGAACCTATCGGTCTTTCTATATATTTAATTTCATGGGGGATAGCACCACCTAAATAGGCGGACCGGCCAATGTGACTTGCGATTCTCGGCGGTTCCGCCAGTACATTTAGCCAAGCTCCCAAAATACCACGTTGTTCCCAGACTCGACTTCCCTCACCAGCTCTTACGACGATGTTAAGGCCAGAATGGTATTCGACTGTACTTACCATTCTTTGGTAGCAGCAGCCCTCTTGCTGTTGTCTCTTGCCCCTCAGCATGTCAAATCGAGTACGATAACAAGCTCCTCGGGGGCAGCGCCGACTGCGAGCATCCCTTCGACTTGCGAATTCAGAACAATCAATTACATTACGGATTCTTTGCCTCAACTCTGCTTCAAATCATCATGGAGTGCTGATGGAATCTCGTCTACTAAGTCGATACCCACCGAGGGCGGCACCGCGACTCTCATAGCGCAAGCGACTGAACCAACCGAAAACTGTGAAAACTACAACCCGGGTCAAGATACAATACCCTCTGTAACGGTTAATATAAATATATCAGTCGACTCCCCGACAGATCGGAGTGGGTCCATAACTTCAGAGGACCTCGAACCCAGCGAGTTGAATGACGCCTCGTTTCTGTCCTTCGAGGAATGGAAGAAGCAGGCGCTAGAGAAGGCTGGGCAGGAAGATGCAAACATTGGTGGGCGAAAATCGAATACAGGCGAGAATAGGAGAAGGGATTCGGAGCACCTAAACAATAACCTGGACACTGTGGGAGAAGAGGGAGAAATTGAACTAGACTTTGGTGCTTTTCGAGGCGATGGAAAGAGCCAGGAGGCTTCGCAGACTGCTGAAGCCAAAGGTTCTGAAACCAGGGAGGAAAATAATGATCCAGCAAAGGGCAAACGGCGGCAAGATCACTATCGCAGCAAGGATGCTGGCAAAACTTGCAAGGAGCGGTTTTCATATGCATCTTTTGATGCCGGGGCTACGGTTCTCAAAACCCACGCAGGAGCTAAGAACTCCAAAGCTGTGCTGGTAGAGAACAAGGATACTTACATGTTGTCACAATGTTCAACGGAAAATAAGTTCATAATTGTTGAGCTCTCGGTATGGTCTCCCGCTAAAAGATTATGCTGAAGTTTTATACTAACATCTATTTAGGAAGACATTTGGATCGATACTGTTGTCCTTGCCAATTATGAGTTCTTTTCCAGTATGGTTCGCCAATTCCGCATCAGTGTCAGCGACCGATATCCTGTGAAAATGGAGAAGTGGAAAGATATCGGAACATATGAAGCTCGGAATTCTCGAGAAATACAGGCATTTCTCGTCGAAAACCCGCACATATGGGCAAGATATCTAAGGATAGAATTTGTAAACCATTATGGTAACGAATATTACTGTCCCCTTTCGCTGGTCAGAGTCCATGGTACTAGGATGCTTGAGAGCTGGAAGGAGTCGGAGGCAATTGGAGAGGACGAAGATCTCGAGAATGAAGATGTCGGGGCCGAAGAACAGTTCGTGCCTGATGCCGTAGCAGATGTTGTCCAGGAGGAAGAGAGACTAAATGCTGAACTCCGCGAAGCTGCAAAATCAGTTGTCAGGAATGCACATGCTGTTGCGGCTGAGGATGCTCGCTCAGCGGAGGTTGAACGTTTGGCAAATGCAACTACCCCGTGGATCAAATCTGCCTTTTTGTTTTCAAACATACCAGAGGTAGTCGGAGAGGACGAAGTCTGCCTTCTAGCAGAGGCGCCAATCCAGCCCGTTCCCGCCTCTGCAGCAACCAGCACGCCGAAATCGACAGCTTCAGAACATCCATCAACCATGGATGGCGCCACTACCATGGTACCCACTACTCAAGGGACGTCGACCGACGTTCAAACTAATACACACGTCACAACGGAGAATGCAACGATGGCAGTGACCTCAACCGTTACTTCAACTCTGTCAAATACTACTGCCTCTTCCGTCTCCACAACTTCGGTATCTTCATCTACATTCTCACCACCACCCGTTTCCGCTGCAGCAAGTAAGACCCAGAATACAACTGTGCCGCATAAAAACAAGACAACAAGCACGTCATCTGCAGCGTCATCTTTGCCAACTATACAGGAGAGTTTCTTCAAGGCCGTGTCGAGGCGATTGCAACTACTGGAGACCAATTCAACTTTGTCGCTGAAGTATATTGAAGAGCAATCCAAAATCCTAAGAGAAGCCTTCTCAAAGGTTGAGAAGAAACAACTCCAAAAATCATCCTCCTTCCTCGACACCCTAAATAACACTGTTCTTGCCGAGCTTCGGGGTTTCAGGCAGCAGTACGACGAGATATGGCAGTCCACTGTGATATCTCTCGAAAGCCAGAGAGAGGAATCGCGGAAAGAGATTTTCGCAATCAGCGCAAGACTCAACATCCTCGCAGACGAGGTCGTCTTTCAGAAACGCATGTCGATTGTGCAGTCGGTTCTCGTACTCCTCTGCCTAGGATTGGTGATATTCTCTCGTGTATCTGCCAGCGGTCAGTTTGACTTCCCCTTGCATAGCAGGATGCGGAATCTATCCACAGATACTTCTTTTCAGAGTGGCCCTGAAACTCCTGCGTATCGCAGGATGGGTTCTGAGAGACATGAGCAATCCTGGAGTGGACATGCGAGGCACCAATCCAATGAATCTGCTATTTCCAAATCGATGAACAGGGATGGCTCTCCACCAACCCCCATCTCAGCAGACTCAAGATCGGAACATAATTTCACACCACCTCCAGGTCCGGAAGATGTTACCCCAGAAATAGGAGGCGATATTCAAGCCTCTCGGCCGGAATACTTAGAACCATCAGTTCAAAGGCCGAGGTCGAGTTCCACAATATCGCAAGAACTTGGCAATGGCGTATCGTCTACTCCTACTTCGCCTCCCAGAAAACGAAAAAAGCGAAAAGGCTCACTTCGTCAACAACAAAGTCCCGCACCGAGCGGTGCAGCTGAATCTAGGAATGTCTCCCGGGATTCTACTCCTCACCGTAATCAAGTTAATATAATTGTCAGCCCCTCATCGGGGTTACAATCGCCTCCAGAAGCGGGCAACGGGCCAGGCACAGCATCGTTTAATATCACCCGCAAGCCGTTACCTGCTCTACCCAAGAATGGCGGATAGCCAATATTTTGTATCATGACTAATGAATGTCCTGGAGAGATTTGGATATGCGATTTAGCATGGAGTTTGGGGGCTTGAAATATTCTGTGTCTTATTGCATCATAGCGCATCATATTTACATTAGCTTCAAATACAGCATATTGTTCCTGATACTTCCGAGTTAACACTTAATTGTTTGAAGTACATATCCCGATAAATATCACATCAAGTGAGCGAATGAAGCGATCTTCTGCTGAGTTACTCAACTGCAATTGATGATAATCCTACTTTATGACGATGAAACGCTCGAAACTTCAATGATTCCCTGAATATCCCAAACTTATGCATATAGTTAGTGTTAGTCAGAGGGGAGTTTATGATCCCAGCTATATTGATTAACGGTTGTAGTTTACGAACATAAAGCTTAGGAATATATACTTTGTAGTATAGTTATACACTGCGCGGATCAGAACTTCTAAATATTATAGATGGTACATGGTTCAGGGTTCATATTAACAGAGATGGGTTTTGGTGCAAAGAGATGTATATTGAAAACGGGTGGGTGAAGGGAGCAATAAAGGGAAATCCTTTCCCACTATTAAATTTTGCATATGCTGGATTATATGTTGCATTAGGGTGTGGTAATGGGCGATGTCCTATTGTACCAAATCCAATATGAAGCCTTTCATGTATTTAGGACAAACAATCATATTACAACTATAATCACAAGATAAGGAGGGTATATTACGCTCAATGTATTCAATTTGCTATCTGGCAAGCTAAAGGCAACTGCAAAGCTAAAGGAGGCCGACGCCTATTTCACGAATGTTATGTGAGCAAACCAAGCCCGATCCGTGTCAAAATCGCCAAATAACATGTAATATGAAAACCGATCCTTCCAACCCACCAATCTCCATCAAAACGTAACTTGAAGGTTTGTCATGATATTGAACTCACGTCCCCAATTTGGTCTTCAAGGTTCAAAAAATGGACCAGAATCGAGGGATGTGATCGACACAAATATTCGGGGATAGATACCATGGCCAAGTAGTTCCAGAAAACTCGGGAACGTGTATGGCCGCAGATCGAAATGACCATCACAGTCAGTCTAGGCATTCGTTAGTGCGTGGAAACTAGGGTGTTGCAACTGCTAGAGGAGCCTTACAAGATCTGTAACTAGAGAAGCTCCCGCCCCTACCTTCACCACCGCCATATCTGTCCAGAGCATCATAGTGATACTCCTCTTGCTCAGCTAAGCTGGTCCCCCGGTCGTATTGGGAGCGTCGTCTGCGCTGCTCGTCCCTCAACTTTTGGCCTGCACTAGGGGCGAAGAGCCCTAGATATAGTTAGGACTTGTGGTGGGCATCGAACTCTCAGAACGCCTACCCTGATGTTCGGCGTTCTCACAGCTTCGCTTGAGCTTAGCTAGATTATCAGTAGCCGGGAAAGGCTCCTCTTGCCCAGCTCTACCTAAGGAATCGGCAATGGTGAAAAAAAGCTACTTGAGTTAGGAAGCCCACATGCACAAGACTCAGGGGGGCTAACCTTGGGTCGGTGGTGTGGGGGTTCAAGCATCACAGAAGAATTCCGAAATTTCTCAACTAGAGATTCTCGGCCTTGAATTGCTGGAAAAGGATATGAGAACTGTGGATGTGTTATGTCAAATCGAGAGTCACTTACCTGCATATGAGATCTCAGCAACCTTCTCACTGTTGAAATAGTTCCTTGGCAACATCAGCGTAAACCCTAAAGGAGTTCTAACCAGGATAAAATCTTACCATTTCTTGTTTGCTCGGGCGATAACAAACTTTGCTCACGTTAGCCAAGTCATCCAATTCCACTAATGACGAAGATCACATACATGAATAATATCCACCGCCTATATAAGTTAGCATGGGCCACCAGGAGCGAGGATCAGGTCAACTTACATGAACAAAATTGATAAAGGCATAACCGACGCTAGAGAGTAATTAGCATATACGTCAAGAAAGTATCAAGAATTCACATACTTGCAATTGTTCGAGAAGTCAATTCGAAGATACATGAAGTCGTATCGTCCGAAACTGGATTCATCGACTATCTGTTTTAGAGTTGCTTGGTCGAGCTTGTTGGGGATATTTCTAAGCATAATCTGACACGCTTTAGCCATAGTATATCTTGAACTAATTAGTTTTCACCTACGGTTGTCTTGACATCCAATCCTGCTTCAATCATTCGTATATCGACCTGACTGTATTGGGTTGCTGCCTGAATCGAATGGTTTCTAGGGACCTTAACGGCATTTTGGCGACGGCGGGAGGAAAATTGCGACGGAGTAGGAGACAACTGGGAATATCCTAAACCGGGAGCGAGAAGCTGCTGGTGTGGGCTCATTGGACTATATCCACTGTTCCTCATGTCAGAATATGGATATGCCGCTGGAGGGGTACCGTATAGTGTCTGGCCGATGTTTGGAAGTCCGAGATGGGGGGGCGGTCCGAATTCGCGACCAGAGGCCATTGGAAGGCGTTGCTGGCCAGTTGTAGCTGCTCTCCTGGCTGGGGTATAATCCAGCCGTGGAGGAGTAACTGAAGATGTAAATCTCCTGGTAGTGCCCCATCCTTGATCGTGAGTGGTCAAGGCCCTCATCGCATCATTCAAATAGAAATTTTCGTTAGACTTCTCCGCAGGTAAGGCAGCTGGAGCCAGAGGTTTTTTGAAAATTTCCCTCGCATGTTCTAAGCCTTGCGGGTTATGTAACTTAACTGTCATGGTAATGTTGCTTTGACTCTATTGAATTGCAGAGTTAGTGACGGTGTTATTGTATGATAAAGAAGTGTGCTTACGCTGAGGGGTTTTTTATGAAGAGCATCGACAACCTTGCTGGCCTTAGCCGCATCAGCCAAATGGATAAGAAGCTGAAAGACGGCGGAGTCTTTGGTGGAAATGGGTTGCCACGACCACAATGGACCACCAGACTCAACCAGCAAATTCCTCAGATGCTGCTCAAATTTCTTCCGCGACGTGATTTGTTGTGATGGGTAATGTGCCTCCAGATACACTTGGCCTTCGTACTTCGAAGGAGGCTTCTGGCCAGGGATGACCTCCTATTTCAATGTCAGCAGGTTACATCACAAAACAAGGATGCTATTTACCGATGCCCAAGTAGCAACCGAGATATATTCGACTACAAGTCTGTTGTGGTTATCTGATGCCACCGCATTGTAGATGTGCTGAGCATCATAAAGGTTTGACATTCGCATGTAGACATTGCCGTTGCGGAATACCTTCCGTAACGAGCCATCGGGGGCCCAGCCAGATTCAGCCAGTTTCTAGGATCCAGGTTAGCACACGCCCGAGGTGCCATATAATTCCGATAACATACCGTCAATGAAGCATCAGCCAAATCCACAACACTCTCGCCAACGATGCCAGTAATCTTCAAGCAGCGAGCGACCTTGGCGTCGGAGGTAAACCCATCATCGACGGTTTTAGCTGCGTGCTCAATTTGCCCTTCCCCGGACTGGGGCATTCCAGGTCGAGACGAACTGGGACGATCGACGGGGAGACCAAAGGGCTGAAATTCGGAAGCTGTCGCTGAGAGCTTGGCCCCGGGCTTTCGCATGGCAGAAGGGGCAACGAATGGGTCCGCAAGGGACTCGTTCACGGCAGTATTGCTGACCCTCGAAGCGGAATAATTGGGATCGGAATACCTAACTACCTCTGGAGAGAAAACCGTGATAGCGGAAGCGGGAGTCGCATTGAGTGGTTCGCCACTACCAATAGACGAGTGGGGTGATGCCGAATACGCCTCGCTATGGCGAAGGTTGACGGAGCTCGCCATGTTCAAAAGTCAAGTCAAACTTCCAAACGGTGTGAAACTCGATAAACGGCTACGGCAGCCGATATTGGACAGGCAAAATCGCTAGAAGGCGGAGGGCGTCAGCGGTGTAACGGTACGGTGAGATCAAACATTTCAAGGAACGTTGGAGGGCGAGACAGGGAAACGCGACAGGAGAACGCGGCCTGGCGTTTGGAGGGTAGTGGAGGTGGCGGCTAGGATGGAGGTATTGGAGTAGAAAGGAGATGTAGAGCGATAACAGCAGGTTGCAGAGAGCACAGAGCAGGTGATACTAGTAGATCGGAGGTAGATCGTCGGTGGTAGAGGATGGAGGATGGTAGGTAGACGGTGGGGGATAGAGGACGGGGGATAGCGTGCAGAGTGTTATCAGTGACCCATAGTATAGCGCATGGACTCACCTTGAAGAAAGGACTCCAAATAGATGTGTGTTATACTTGTGAGAGATGAGAGATGATGGACGGTTGATGTTTTGGGAAGAAAGGAAGATGGAGGTCGACAGGTGGCAGTAATATTTATAGCGTGGAAGTTCATCCCGCCCTCACCAGCCACCTATTCGCGCATCCCCCAAGACGCCCGCAGACTCAACTGCTTCATCGACGAATAGTTCAATCGATCAATCGCCTCATCGGCGTTTATTTACTGTATCTATTTATATATATATCAAGGAGAGCAGAGTACTACACCGTCTTAAGGGCGTTAGATGTTTTAAAGTGCTACAATACCCCGCCTGTTACAAGAGAAAACTAAACCACAAGGTAGGGGGATAAATTGTAAATGTTCTATGAGGAATGAAACATTAATACTAGGAGGTGAAAAAGAGAAAATTTTGTGACAGAACACGATGTGTAGAAGGGATATAATAGGAGTGGCATTCATGCATCTGTACTGGAGAAAGTCCGCAAATACAACATAGCAACAAGGCCATGTGTAGAAACGTGTATTAGTGTTTAGTCGGTAAATTTTTTAACAGTATGAAATATCTACACGAAGCTTGTAAAATGACATGTGCTACTGCAAGAACGTTAGAGACTTCTCTAACCTCTGTGTTTCTGAAACTTAGGCTAACATCGTCGCACCGGAGATATATGTCCATTACTAAATGGTACATGCTATGAAATTTGCACGGGGGGCAGACCTTCGGGGGTTGTGCATTACTTCCATTCAGGAGAACAGAATGAAATTGTCTTGATCCCAGAAAGTTTTATATGAGAGCTTACAAAGAAAATTTTGCCCGGTTGTGGGTTGTTGATTATACATAGGCCCAAGGGCTGAATATGCATCCTAGGTTGGAGCAACCATCTGAAGGTAAACTTCAGGATAACTGTCACACTTGCAACAATCTCCCGGGCGAATCTACGCTGGTAATATTTTACACACTCAACCTGGGTATTCTACTTCGAAACCAGGAAGATAGAACCATTTACCTGATATAGGTAGGTCCTAAAAGGATTGAGTAGGGCGGCAGATCACCCAGAGGTATGAATTGCTTCAAAAGTGCCCGCGAAGCTGAAGCGGTCCAAAGAGCTCAACTTAGAGTCGATCTGTTGCCTCATGACTTCGAGAAAGCTTTACCTAATATAGGTTCTAGGACAAAAATCATTCATGGCGGGCCACCCATATGTGAATTGCGCTTTAAGGGGTGTGTGTGTGGAGTGAATAGTTGGGAGAATCTATACCGGCAGAATTCGTGAGGTTGTGATGTTGTGATGTTGATAACTGATTGAGGACGTTAAATTTGGGTTGCCGACAACTCGTTAGACACTCCAGTGGCAGGGGAACTTTGTTACCCCGTAGCCGAGGAGGGATCTACCAAGTAAGGTCTGGTCAATAAGAGGGAGCTGTTTCAGCCTTGTAATTCGGGCGGCGAAGCCAAATATCACATCAGCCCGTGAATGTACCAAGTATCACAGTCGCAAATTACAATCCCTATAGGGGCCCATCCAAGTCCCAAGCACAAACATGGCTCCTCGGAAAGCTCCCCAATATGACGACTATCGAGTTGCCGCACAGGAGGTACCTTCTCCTGCCCTGATCTCCGATCACTCTAAACCCAGGCTAACAAGGAGTCTATAGATTATCCTCTCCTCCTCCGATAACGATTACCTAGACCAGCTAATTCCCGCGCTCAAAGATGCCACAAACTCAGGTCGAACGAAGGGGCTCATGCAGAGCTTGTCGCAATATGCTGATGCGCGAGAAGGGGATATCGAACGGATTGGGATGACGAAGCATGAAGAATTTCTGCAATCTGTTAATCAGTTGCAGCAGGTTAGGGAGGGAACCACGGCGCTCACAACAGAGATCTTGAAACTCAATCAATCCATACAATCAAGCACCGAGAAATTAGCTGCACAGAAGGGCGCGCTGGTTGATACAAGCGCGGTTCGCCAGAACATCGCCGAGGCGTCCGAAGCGCTGAGAGAATCCCTCAAGGTTCTCCACGCTGTCAATCAGGCTCATGATTTGATCCGCAAGAAACAATACTATGCTGCCTTGAAAGCTCTGGATGATCTCCAGAACGAACATCTTATCCCTACAATTCAAAACAAATATGCGACTCAACATCGGCTGGCCGATATAATACAAAAGTCCATCCCTGCCTCCCAAAAAGCTATATCCGAAGCTGTCATGAGCGATCTTAATACCTGGCTTTTCCGAATAAGAGAGACATCTCAATTCCTGGGCGAGGTCGCCTTCTACCATACCGAGCTCCGACGAACACGACAGAAGGAGCGTATGGAAGGGAACCCGTATTTGCAAAATTTTAAGCTCAACTCTGCCATTGAATTGGTATTTGACGAGAGCGAGGAATTTGATGTCCTTGATAATGAGGAGTTGCAGGTCGACTTCACACCACTATTCGAGTGCCTGCACATTCATGAAGCACTCGGTCAAAGTGATAAATTCCGGGCAGATTACGCTGCAACTAGGAGGCAACAGAAGGAATTGTTGTTACCAAGCTCAGTCAACCTCCTGGAGGATAACGAGAACAGTCTCAGCAGTTTGTTAGAAGGGATCGCTGGTTTTGCCATTATCGAAAAGGCTACGACGAGGAGAGCTCACAGCCTTCGGTCTCCTGTTGATGTAAGCTTACCCGCGGAGAAAAGTGATAATAGACTGATCAAATACAGGTCGATGAACTCTGGGATTCAATGTGCAATACTACAGTTAAATTGATTACGAAGGCTTTAGATCAGGTTGACAATGCGGAGGTGCTACTCAAGATCAAGGGTGTCATTGCCCTATTTATACAGACCATGGATGTAAGAATTATCCAAGAGCGAGTCCGAATCGTATACTGATTTTCGTATCAAGGGCTGGGGCTACTCTGTGGCATTACTCGACAATTTCTTGCTCAAGCTCTTCGAGAAATACGCAGAACTACTCAAGAAAAGATTCAGTGATGACTTCCAAGAGGTATGCCGAATTAAGACCTGCGCGGACTATTTGCTGACGCCCATTAGATTGTATCCAGCGACGATTACATGCCCATGCCCATAAGTGACTTGGACAAGTACGACAAAGTCGTTAGTGTTAGTTGGTTTACGCCGGAGATGCCAAGAGAAGAGCTCACGTAAGTATCTCGAGCCATTCCAAGAAAGCTGCTAATCAACTCGCAGATTCCCATGTGTATTGCCTTTCTCGCAAATGTACCCTCTTTGCTGCATCGATATCCGGAACTTCCTTAATCAATTTTATTTCTTCTCCGACGATCATTTCCAGCAGCCAAATGTAATTGACGAGGCGCTTAAAAAGGTATATGCTCATCTACAACATCTATCCTCGGATGAAGTGCTGATACCTCCCTTACAGTCCCTAGATGAACTACTTTCCGAAAAAGTTTGCAAGTCCTTAGTAGAGAGGCTCAGCTCTCAATACCTAGGCCAGATCGTACAAATCCTCATCAATCTCGAACATTTTGAAATAGCATGCAAAGAGCTGGAGCAACTGCTCATCGCAGCCCGATCCTCGACTTCGGCCGGCGGGCCAATAATTCTCGATGCGACCGAAGAATTCCGGAGCAATAAGAAGACGGCGGAAAAGCGGATATTCGAATTGGTGAATTCGAAGATCGACGATTTGGTTGAAACGGCTGAGTATGACTGGTACGTCAACCATGCACAAGAATTCCGCTGCGGTGCCCCCTACTAATTATCGCGTTCCATTATTCAGGATGGCTCCAACACTGGAAACAGAGCCGAGCAACTACATGCAAACACTCATACGCTACCTATCCAACATCATGAACTCCACGCTCCTAGGCCTCCCTCGAGAGATCAAAGAACTGATTTACTTCGACGCGCTCTCTCACGCCGCAAACATGATTCTCGTAGGATACCCCCCTTATTCTCCCTCCCCTTCCACCAATCTCCAACTAACGCCACAAACAGGCCCTCCCCCTCTCCCCCTCAGTCAAGAAAATAAACCCCAACGGCACCGCCGCCCTCGCCAAAGATGTGTCCCACCTCAGCGATTTCGTCGACGGCCTAGAGAACGCGCCCATCCTGAAGGAAAACTTGGATGAGTTACAACAGACGGTCCTGCTCATGCAGACAGAGAACCCTGAGGAGTTTTATGATATTAGTATTAGGAACAAGAAGTTCGGCAGGGTGGATGCGATGAATGGACCGCAGATTTTAGAGAAGTATGGCTTGTGCTTATTTTAGTTGGGGGATTTTGCTAACTAGCGTTGATACAGACTTACGTATTCGGTGCAGAGCCCTACGGGGACGAGGACAGATCGTCTTGCTAATTTCTCATCAAGGTTTGGGATGAAGTAAGGGAAGGGCAACATCATCGTATTCATTACTTCGAAGGTTTGCAAGATCTCATCAGTAGTACGGAACGAGCGGTGCCAATCAATGCAATCTGGGGTTGTCATATTCTTCGAACCAGGAATCACCTCTAACAAAGCTCTCAAACAAATCTTGCTACAATATACGGATAGGGGTAACTTATTTCCATCCAAAAACTCCAACAACTGGGATAGGACACCATGAAAGAAAACGAACCTCGTGAACAGACGGACAGCGCGGTTAGCCGACCTCATAGTCCCGCTCGCCCTCAGCATCAACATCGCCCTCCCCTCCGTCGTTGCGCGGATAGCTATGTCCTGCGTCATGGCCGACCGAGGGATCTTGTGGGCGCTGTTGCTGCACGTGGTACATTTGCTATAGAGAGGTCAGCATGAAATCAGGCGATGTGCTTTCTCAACAATATATGGGGGTTTGCGGGCATACCTGTTGCGCTTGCATTGGAGGATATCCATAGATCCCCTCCATCTCGTTGTACATCTGCTGGCCCGGAGCGCCATATGGAGCAGCGGGACCGGGTTGGACTTGGGCCCCATACATGTTTGGCTGCTGAGGGTATTCCTGTTCAGGAGCAAGGCCATGCGCCGGGTTCAGACCATAGTTTGGCTGTGGGGGCATGTGCTGCTGAGCTGGGTGGCCCGGTTGTTGCGGGATATTCGCATGCTGAGGAGGAAGCTGGGCAGCGCCAGGAGCAGGGCCAGGGACACCCTGGGGTGGGGCAGCGCCTTGTCCCGTTGCTCTCTTTGCGTGTGACGCAGCCTCCTCGCGGGGAACAATGTCGATTAGGAAATCAAACATGTCTGATTTGGCCAGCGCAGATGCGATATCTGATCTCTGAAGCGTCCGGCGCTTATTCTCCTCCGCATGTATCCAGGCGCGCATGGTGAGTTCCGTAATGAAGATATCACAGCCTTTTGCAAATAAGATAGGCGCTTCTGCGGAAATCATCTTCACGTCCGGATCGGCCTTCATGACTTTCTTGATTCGCGCCAGCGGCAGTTGATGCAGCTTGTAATCATGTGTCTCGGTTTCGAGGTGGTTGATTATGTGCTGCCAGTAGGTGGTGAGGATATCTTTGTAGGTGCCGTGGAGTCCTTGGTTAACCTATAGCCCCGCATCGCACCCATCAGCTCTCCATTCCGTAGCATAGCATAACATATAGCACTGAGTACCAAGCAACCTAAAGGGGGGGATTTCTTTCATACATTTGCCCACGCGCCAGTATAGAATTCTGCAACGGGCGCATAGCCGTGAGCCGCAAGCTAAATAGGACGGTCAGTCGAGAGCAAGCTTGCGCAACACCTCCAAGAGGACATACCGCGGCGCTGGCACCTGTCGCAAAGCACGGGATTAGCCAATGGATCCTCTAGACGAGGTTTTCTGTGCGTCCGAATTGTGTTTGTTTGCTTGGGATAGGGAAGGGCACTCACCATAGTGACCGCCATGATTGGTATCATACACCGGCTGTGCGCGTTGCCCTTGCTGGCCGTGGGACGAAGTGGGTGGGTTCTGCGAATCCATCTCGGAGTCGATTCGGTCTCCTTGCTGGGAGCCTTTCAAGGGCTGGAGGGTGTGTTCTTGCTGGTTCGTACCTGCAGCAGACGTTCGATGCAGCCGGAATCGCGTCCAATGAAGCTGCAGCTCAGGTCTCGAGGGCAGTAAGGCAATTAATTCTTCTTTTGTTTTGACACTCGGCGGGCGACGAGGCTCTGGGAACGAATCGCCAGTGCAGTTGTCTGCGGTTCAGCGCAGCGGCGGAAGCTGACGGTCCGAGAAGGATATAACCTAGGGGATAGGGAGCAAACGGTGTAATCGTTCGAGGGCAATGGCAGCTTGGTGTCACCGGGCGAGGTCTGTTTGCGCGACGCTCTGGCGACTCTCTCGAAGCTGCGACTGTTGACAGCTTCGGGGATTGGCGGGGCGTGATTGGTTGTTTGGTCGAGCTTTTGGATGATGTTGTTCAGTGGTCGGATAGGGCGATAGGGGATCGTTGGGGGGGTTCGCAGAGAGGTTGATGACTGGCTCTCCAAGTCTCCAGTGGTCTCGGGGGGCCCAAGGGATTTGCGACAGGCGACGGCGGCGACTGGGCACAAAGCAAAACAAAGCGAGTCCACTGGCACTGGCACTGGCACTGGCTATAGAGTATCACCCACTGGAATGTAATACTAGGCAATGAAGGGTCGAGGATGGTGTGTGGTGTATGGTGTATGGCATATGATGTATGTATGGCCCAACACCGACACCGACAGCCACGGTTTATATGGGAAAATGGGCGACGATGAATTCACATTGGGCAGCGTTGTGGCATGGATGAGCGATGGGTGTGGGTGTGTGAGTTATGTGTTGTTCACTTTGACCTCCACCGCCGCAACAAGGCTGAGTCGAAGGTACTTGGGATGGTACGTATGTACAGTCTCTCCAGTCTGTACAGTATTATACTTGGTGGTTACTACGTAGCAGCAAGTACCAGACGCCGTTGCGATACAATCAACCTCCCGCCAGCTTCCCATCAGTGCCCAAGCCCGTCGGTCCCGCCGTCCTGTCGGCGAATAGAACAGTGAAGCCTCACCGTCCTCTGCTGCCCCAATACATCATCATATCATGCTAATCAAGCTAATCTTATACACCGTCGACATCATCGTACACTTCCCTGAGACGATCCCGCTGCTGCGCCTTTTCGTCTTTTTCGCTTTTTCGTAGTGTCCCCGTCACCGACTTTTGGTAAATGGCTCGAAGCGGACTAGCGTCGACGCAAAAAAAGGCCTAAGCGAGCAAGCTACCAATTTTCTCCATTTGCAGCTTCCACAGCTTTTTCGGACCACCACACCAAATACTTAGTATTTCATCCGACATCATGGCTGAAGAGGAGCTTTCTGATGCTCAACTCCAGCAATTGCTCAGGGGTGCCGAGGAGCGCTTGAGGGCCGCCAAAGGGAATATCAAGGGAAATACCGCAGCCAGCTCGCTGGCAGCTCTCCAACAGTATGCAGCCCAAATCCTCCACCCGTCCACCCCTCCAACTATCTACATCCCCGTGCTAATTCGCTGCCTCTTCCAGACTTCCGAAGATTGCACCCCAGAATCCTCTAGTTCCATTCGTGAGCAAAACGGCCCAAGGTGCTCAGGTCGATGCCTCGAAACTCGTGAATCCCGAGCAACGGAAACTAGCCAATGGGTTCAGGACAGTCGAAGATCCGGTCATGGTCAGAGAGAGAGCAGCTAAGGTGAGCATTTACATTTACATTTATTTATGCACAAATTCTGTTTTCGATGAGGAAAATTAACCCAAACAATACTTGACGCGGAACCTAGCCCCGTCTTGGGCGCTACTCTGCACCACATGATGTCTTAATTTCATAGTTACACTGAGAAAACACAAATATTATTCTATTTTTGGCCTGCCTTTTCTGCAATGGCTGCTAATTAGATTGATAGATGAAGAAAGCTACTGCTGGTGCCAGCTGGTACGACCTCCCACGAACAAATTTGACTCCGGAACTCAAACGAGACTTCCAACTACTCAAAATGAGATCGGTTCTGGACCCAAAGCGGCATTACAAGAAGGAGGGTTCAAAGCAAGAGATACCGGAATTCTCACAAGTCGGTACCATCATTGAAGGGCCAACAGAATTCTTCAGCGCGAGATTATCAAACAAGGATCGGAAGCGAACCTTGGTTGAAGAGGTGCTTGAGGGCGAGAGAGCTACTCAGCGCTTCAAGACCAAATACAATGAGATCCAGGCTGCCAAGACAAGTGGCAAGAAGGCTCATTACAAGAAAATGAGGTCCTTGAGACGTGGCACGAAAGGTTGAGGATTAGGAGGCAATGGCCTTCTATCGTCTCAATGATATCTTCCAGGAACGATCCCGTCTTTAATGGAAGTATCCAAAACTGACCCCGTCTTCTGAGTTGAAATAATGGCTCAGGCGCCCGTCACATCAGCTGCCGAGGACAATATAAGCTTCATGCTTATGAGGGGTCTACGGGCACAGTGGCGTGGAGATTATGAGAGGTTGGACACCCTAACAAGCTCAAACCCAGAACGTAAGGATCCCACATTTCCTCCTGGCTTCGTAGCTAACAAATTTAGCCAGGTTTAAATTATCAGGATCAATAAGAACATCTTGCTATTGCAAAAGCGCGAATTCCTTCGCGGGTTTGGATTTTGGCACCATTATTAGAAATCCCATATCACGCCGTAGAGGCATCTTGGGTGGATCTTAGGTGGATGGGCGGGTTAAGAACGCCGAAAGCATTACACCAAGGTCCAGAACTACCTCTCAATCCTCGTACGAGTAGTAAATTCATACTATGTAGTGCTACCAAATTGATACTTTTTGAACGAGTTATGATGACCTGAAATCTCCTACATATTTTCGAAGCCCGTGTATGCTGTTTGGCCGACCGTACCTGTAATTAAGGGATCATGGTCCGTACTTGCTCGATTACTTCCTCAGCCCGGAGGCGGTTATAAACATTAGCCACAGTTCGTACCTAGAGTAATATATATAACTCGTGATTAAAATATTAGCAACTCTGTCGTAAGCATTTATTAAGGTCGGACTTGGTGTATAGGTGCTGAGCGAGTGAGTGCTGTGGTGGAATGCGGCCGCGGCAACAGCCGAGTTCGCGACCTGAGCAAATAATTTTGGCTTCGACAGCGACAAACAGGACTCCTCGAACTCCCAATCCATCCAACATGGCCGCATCAGCTCCAATGCGGTTGCCATGGCGCATACTTACTCGATCGGCAGCAGTCAGTTCCCCATTGCCTTCACCCGCGCACGATAGTCCTATCCTAATCAATTGCAGGCCAATCCGCTCATACCAGCTTCCCACCACGGTAGAATACAGCGGCCCACCAACCCACCAAGGGCAGGAGTTCTGTGCAGATATAATTCGGATTTAACGTATGGGGACTATATGATATATTCGGGGGTTCGCAAATTGACGTCGTGTAGCACCCCTCCTCCAGGGATCCAACAGGTCGAGACAGAGTACGATTTCAACCTCGATACCAGTTCTACATACGCTAACTTGAACTCAGGACACTTCGCGCGCCAAAGCAGCAAAGGTAATAAGGCCTAGGTTTCTGCAAGGCAGTAGACTAACAATCATTGCAGCCCTCCTCCACCAGAGAACGAAACCTCTCAGCCAGCGTACGTTCTTCCCAACTAACACCAAACTCTTCTCTAACCCAACCACAGAGCCAGCGCAGCCGAAGCACAAGACCTGGCATCAAGCAAACCCTTAGAAAAAGACTCGGAAACGGGCCTAGATTTCCGATTACCACGAAGCGTCCAAGCCGTCTACCTCCGCCCTCTCCGCCGACAAGCCGAATATGGTGTCCCCTCGTGTGATCTCCAACTGCGTTCCTACAGCGTCCGCAATCTCGAATTCTTCTGCGACTTCGCTCTCCGCGCAGCGTATTACCTAGGCCTGCCTGCCTACGGCCCAGTCCCCCTACCGCGAATCGTCGAGCGGTGGACAGTACCCAGATCAAGTTTCATTTTCAAGAAGTCGCAGGAGAATTTTGAGAGGAGGACTGTGAGGCGGTTGATTCAGATTAAGGATGGGAATCCCGAGACAGTGGAGGCGTGGCTGGCTTTCTTGAGGAAGCATGCCTACTATGGGATTGGTATGAAGGCTAATGTTTTCGAGTTTTCGAAACTGGGTAAGAGGCGCGAGAATTCCTCTCTTTACAGCGCGGTCTCTAACTTCTTCGTGTTTACTAGATGTGGGGAAGAACATGGATATCGAGATGGAGCAGATGAAGGATACTGTGAATGAAACTTGGGAACAGGTGGGCATCGATAGGAGCCGGAATCGTGGCAAGCGCATGACTACGGAGACTATCATGGAGTTTATCAACAAGGAGAATTTCCGCTCTGCAACTCACGGAAATGCTCCCTTGAGCAAGCCTCCTTCGCCGTTTTAGTTTATGAATGGCTTAGTTGGATGTATGGAGGAGAAGCCTGGGAACGGATTTGCAGTCACCCCCCGTGTCAGGCGCATCCTTGGGTGTACATTTTGTGTAACATTAAGGTGTTGGTGTGCAAGATATATAGGGTAGGGAGCTGCATACTGAGTGGGAACTTGCTGGGAAGAACAATACAATGTAAAAGATTGGATGCCCGAATACTACTACTATATAACAACCATTGCCGCTACAACGAACAAGTTTTAGTTAATGCAACTAACTGGAATGTTACTATGAGAATATCTGGGGATATTATCTAGCCAGATCTTGCGGTGGGTTTTGAAGCCTATTAGAAAGCACATCAATCATAGTTTACCATCATCGATACACTCAAAACCCTCACTTCCCCTAATAGCTAGTCTGGTATTTCATAGTACTTTGAGCTTTCTTTTCCTGGGTTCACTTTTACTCCGCAAGCTTCGAACTATACATAGTGCCTCGCGCGCTAGGAGTGTGTTCTCTCCATACCCTACAGCCGTGACGCCAAAACAGAATATAGGAAGATTAATGGGATGGGGATGGTTAAAAATGTATTCCATCATATTTTATAGCAAAGCAGAGGTAGGGAAGATATTAAATAAATATCATGCATTTGAAATGTTATTTCCAAGCCATCCCCAGGTGTATTGGGGGTACAATTTAACCACTGCGTGTCCGTATGATTTACCATAAGTTATATAATCATACCTATATTCCAAATCCGTAAGGTGAGATATATCTTCTAACATTGTGTAGTACAATCCATCTCTACCACGCGAAAGTCGCCTCGTCATATGATTGAAAGGTACCGCTAGTTTTCTCCCTCGTAGCCCCATCAAACTATCCCATAACATTAGTAAATATCAATAATAAGCCGGTTTCCGGGAAATTTTACCTTTTTAAGCATGCCTTCAACACTCTGCTCTAAAGTAACAGGTGCGTCTTCCATTCCATGGGACTTCGCCCCAAAAGTTCCCATATCAGTCTGGACCCATCTACACACATCCCATTAGCACATTTGTCAATCTTCAAAAGCTCAGCCAGCAACTCATGACTTACCCAGGACTAATCGCAAAAGCCACCAACTCCGGATTCTCGAAGTGGATCTTGCGAACCAGGTAGTTCAGTGCAGCCTTGCTCATACCATACGCGGTGGTGATAGCAGGGACCTTCTCCATATCGCCAATACTAGCAATCGCCGACGACATACCCACGAATACCGGTTTTGGGGATTTCTTGAGCAGTGCAATGGTAGCTTGGTAAAGTGCGACAGTAGCAACGGCGTTGATTTCATAGTGCTCGCGGATTTGGTCTAGGGGGGTGGCTTCGGCGGTGGCATAGCAGTTTGAGATTCCGGCGTTGGCGATAACGAAGTCTAGGGATGTGATGTTGTGTTTGGATTGGAGTTCCTGGATGGCTTCATTGACTGTGGACAGGGAGTTGTAGTCTATTTTTACGGTGATGACTTTGCTCCCCGAAGCGGTTTTCAATGATTCCAGGGATTTGGAGGACTCGTTGGAGGGGTCCCGGACGCCTGCTATCACGGTTGTGTTTGGGCGTTGGATGAGTGCTTCAAGGAGCCCGCGGCCCAGGCCTAAAAGAATAGGTTAGATTTCATTCTGGATCAAGCTCAGTTGGGGATATTGACCTCGGTTTGCGCCGGTGATGAGATAAGTCGTAGAAGACATCTTCTTGTTATTCCAAAGGAGCAATGCGGAGGCTTTGAATAGTGTGTATTTATTCGAAGATACGGAGAAGACTGATGATGACGAAAGGGTTGAGAGCTTGAGTGCTGTCCTCCCCTCCTATCTATATACTATTTCCCTAGTTCGCCATTTCCGATTTCCGTCCTCCCTAACTGAAGGTGTATCATAAAATGGAGCAAATTAGCCTTGATGTACGTTGCTTTCAAATCCGTTGTTAAGATGCATTTGTAAGCCGCCGATCGTAAACCCGGGCAGCTAAACAATACTAATCCATCCGAACCACAACAATACTCCACACCCGACATGGGGATATTGTTCCTCCGGCGGACTACTGGTAAGAACTCGGAGTTCGAATGGTCAGATTACAGAGTAAATGTCCTAGATACGAGTTGGGGAAACAGATACGGAGCGTAACGAGGGATAAGGAGACTTGGCAGAGAGTAGATCAAAGCAGACCTAGGGGTACACGAGCGAGCTGTTGCTCTCGGTTGTGGCCGTAAGGTCACAGCATATGCGGAAGTTCACTTGCGAGTAGAGCAAGACCAGAAGTATGTCATATTGTTTCGTGCACCCGTGTGTTGCGAGGTACCTGCCCCCAAATTTTTGTGCAACTCGTCCTGAGCGGGTGGTAACTGTCGAAGTAATAGTTCTATCAGCAAGTATCTCGAGGATGAGAGCTGCGGAGTTGTACTCGTAAAGTTCCTGGGTATGAATAATTGAATCACGTGAATTCGCGATCTGGTGAGACCTCGGGAGCTCTCAAATTAACCTACATGATAAATGGCGCGTTCTTCAACCAAAATCCGTATAGACGCAAACCATTTTAACAATGCTGTTAACAAGGCGTAGCATCAAACATAGCTTAAATCGGTGCAACTTATCTGGTGCTTTCGCTGGTCGAATCCCAATCACGACCACCAGCAGTCGACGAAGCATCTCAACTCCTAGCCAACCACCACCAAACCAAGTGATTTTCTCTGGAATTCAGCCAACAGGTATCCCGCATCTTGGGAACTATCTCGGAGCTCTACAACAATGGGTAAAGCTCCAAAACACGGCAGCTCCGTCTACCAAACTCCTCTATTCGATAGTTGACTTGCATGCTATTACCTTGCCGCAAGATGCGCAGAAGCTAAGGCAATGGAAGAGGGAGGGTCTGGCCACGTTGCTGGCTATTGGCCTGGATCCTGAGCGGTCGATTTTGTTTCATCAATCGTCTGTACGTATAGATATCCCAAGTTCAATGTAGGCCCGGATACTGATATTTGTGTCAACCTAGGTTTTTGCTCACACCGAGCTGATGTGGATCCTTAGCTGTACGGCTTCCATGGGATATCTCTCTCGCATGACACAGTGGAAAGTTTGTAAATATCTTCCCTAACGTTTTGTTTGGACCCCCGACTGATTACCCATCAGAGCAAGCTTTCATTGACGGATGATACGTCTCCCCTCGAGGAGAGCGCTAAGTCAAAACTTAAGCTTGGGTTATTTTCATATCCTGTGCTTCAAGCTGCAGATATATTGGTTCATAGGTACAGTTCCTCAAGATGATACTTTGCCTTGATTTCCATTTCTGATCCGATATATAGGGCAACACATGTTCCCGTTGGGGAAGACCAAAGCCAGCACTTAGAATTCGCGCGCGAGTGCGTAACGAATTTTAACCACGCATATGGGCCCCATCTAATAGCACCAAAGACCATCATGTGTATGTGTTCCCTCCCGACTCGAGGGATGGAAAATACTAATTCCTCCAAGCTCCTGCCAAACGAGTCATGTCTCTACAAGAACCACATCTCAAAATGTCCAAATCGCATGTAGACCCCCGGTCAAGAATCCTGATTACAGACACACCTGAAATAATCTACAAAAAGCTCATGTCCGCATTAACTGACTCCACAAACTCTATTTCATATGACCCAGTGGCTCGCCCAGGAGTATCCAATCTACTCGAGTTGCTGTCACATTTCGATGCCGAGGGGAGGGATGCACAGAAGCTTGCAGTCGTGTATGGAGATCTTGGGCTAGGCCAATTCAAAAAGGTGGTAGCTACGACAATATCGGAGAGCCTTGCGGGCATCCGTGAAAAGTATGCGCAGGTGCTAAATCAGGATGGCGGGGCTTATCTTGATCATGTAGAGAGAGAGGGCGCGAGAAGGGCGAGGGAGAATGCCAATGCAACTATGGCTATAGTGAGAGAAGCGGTTGGTTTGTCGGATCATTCTGTATTATAGAAATAGAAGCAAGATATAAGTTTCCAAAATATGTTGCTACGTTTAAATGAGTCAACTTGATTCATTTGGTTTCATTTGGAACCGCTCATATGATTATTTTTATATTTGGAAGCATAGCTTTCAATTAATAGGGGATGCTCGGAGGGTGATAAGGTTGGGCTTGGCGCAAGCCAAACTTAGCGTCCTTAGACTGCGCTCCATAGGCCTTCGCCACAGGGGGGATTGATCCCAAGAAGTTCAGCCTCGTCAAAGAACTTCAAGATCTAGACCTACAACACCAGCCTCTTCCGACATCACCTCAAGACCATCAAAACCGCCGACTCCCCACCACATCGCACTCACATATTCACATCAATCCATCGTCACCATGACAGAAAACTACGTCGCATCAGGCCAGCAGCGCAACCTGCGCGCCTGCATGGTCTGCTCCATAGTAATGACCCAGACTGTCCGTCCTCCCTCATTCCCCGTCCTCAACGTGCTGTCTCAACTAACCACTCTCTCCAGCGCTTCCTCCGCGAAGGGTGCCCTAACTGCGACGAATTCCTGCACATCCAAGGCTCGCAAGACGCGCTCCTGGACTGCACATCGCAGGTCTTCGAGGGCTTGATCGCGCTCGCGGATCCCTCGAAATCATGGGTGGCGAAGTGGCAGCGGTTGGATAATTATGTGAAGGGAGTTTATGCGACGAAGGTTTCGGGTCAGCTTGGTGATGAGGTTATTGCTGTTATTGAGGATGAGGCGAGGATTCGGTATATTCCGTAAGTGGCCCTTGGATATATGTATACGAGGGGTGAATGCTAATTATTTGGGATAGGCGAGATGGGAGTGCTACAGAGGCTGATTGAGGGGTTGGATGTGTAGAGGCTAATAGGGGATTGGGTGGCGTGGATGATGGATGGATGACTGAAGATGGATACTTGATTTTAGAGGACGGGATATTGAGCACTGCAAGGCGGTATAGGAGTTTTAGGAGTCATAAATGGAATATGATTGATCTCTCTAAACAGAATACAAATGGTATCAACCTGACAGAACCCATGTCCCCAACGCCTGAGCAATGCGTGTCCCGCCAAACGCCAGCAAATCAATATCATCACTCTTTAGAACCGTTGTTTTTTCTGCGCCGGACCTCCAAACCCAGAAGGCCCTCGTTGTCTTTTCCGCTCCATCTCTTCCTTCATGATCCGTTCTGCTTCGCTCATCTTCTTTGGTTGTTCTATAACAGCGGCTTTTTTACCACCCAGAGCGTTCTTCTTCGCAGCGGCAAACACATTCTTGGGTTTGCTTGAGAACCCCATCTTCAACGACACCTTCCCTGGAGCAGTCGACGGCTCTGCTGCAGCAGGGGTCTCCGTGGAGTCGGCAGGCTTGTCTGAAGAAACCTTCGGCTCGCTGCCATCCGGGACAGGATTCTCGGCAGCTGGTGAGCCTGAAGCGGAATCTTTCTTCGCATCTGATCCAGTAGCAGTGGATGAAGTTTCTGCTTTCGACGGCCCAGCCTTCGTCCCGAAATTAAGCTTGATCTTCTCGTCCCCTTCTCTCTTCAGCTCCCTCTCCGTACCATCAATATCGTCCTCCCCCTTCCCCCCAACTTCCGCCTCAGCCCTCTTAACCTGTTCCCTGATCAACATCTGCTCCCTCTCCTCATCCCCTTTATCCTGCCTCTCCTTCTTCCGAATGGCATCCTGCCTCCTCAACGCCTCAGGGCTGTTATCAATCCACGCCACATGTATTCCCTTTTCGTCGTCCTCCACTCTACAAATCCCCTCCCTCCCAAGATGTTTTGCAAACTCCGTCAGCGACGGCCATTTTGTAGCGTTCATGTGAATGTGCTCTTTGTTGCCTATGTACTCCTGGTAAAAGTGGTTGAGCTGGACCTTCTTCTCGCCGTGGGATGTGCGAAGGAGTAGCAGGAAGTCCCGCTGGAATTGATTGCTGTAGTCGTTTATGTATTTCTTTGGGTCTTCACCAACGAGGAGCATTTGTCGCACATGCGACTCTGCCTGGACGTGCATCTTGAAGCCGTTGGCATCTCGACATTGCTTTTCGCAGACCTGGAGGGCGAGTTGGGTTAGCATCGGGGGCGAATATGAGGACGGAGATCAAGACTTACTTGGCAATACCATCGTAACCGCTGGAGCCCCTTGGACTTGAGCTTGTTGTTTAGGTACTTCGTAGAACCAACTTCTGCTTTCGGCATCTTCGCGGATATGTGGTATGGTTTGTGGTTTCTGAGGCTCGAATCTGCGGCTTGAGTTTATGATGGAAGGTTGCAACCTCGCCTCGCCACTAAGGCTGAAGGCTAACGAAAAGTGACTACGAGTGTCGGGTAAACCTCGGAAGACTCCTGGATTGCTCACGGAGGACTTGTAAAGTCACATTTCTCAGACTTCGATATGTGATATGTTTCTGTATACGTTACTAGATGTTATATCTACGTAGACATGGATTCAACAATATATAGTCCAGGGCCTAAATTTGAAATACGAGGTGGCATATTTTACTTATGATTGTCGAAGAAAATAATATTAATATTAGTTATTCAATCACATTTGAAATAATATTGTGATAATTAATAATCGACGGTAAAAATTATTAAAACGTAGCTTAATTAAAGGAGCTTTCCGTCGTTTATAATAGTAATACCTAGAGAAGCTTTTGATTTTGTACTAGATTCAAGTCGTCTGAAGAGCTTTTCAGTTTGCGTACGCCTGACCGGGTTCCCTCGAGGTTCTACGTAGATATTAATTTACTTCCTCGTAAACATCACGGGAGATCAAGTGAGATGTAACCATAATAGTTAACGTGTTTTAATTCCCCAGTCTATGCTTGCTACATAGCTAAGCTAGCCGAAAGATTATACAAAAGGCCAGTGAAATACCTGATCCTTTGCTAATAACTCGAGCCTATTGCCACGTCCATATCGTAGCACATCCAACATAAGAAACCCGTTGGGAAAATATCACAAACAAATCATGCATGCATGAGAAAACACCTAGTCCTTCCCTTATATACCCAGACATCATTATCATAGACAAAATGAACACAGGCCCTGCGGCTATCCTACTTTAACACCCCTACATTGTTTTCGCCACCCCAAATTTGCGCCCTCCCTTAAGCGCTATATCAATTTGCCAGTCGTGTGTTTGATTGATGCGCCTAAATTCGTGAAGGTCATAATAGTCATCGCCGGCGTCCTGCCGAGTGTGCCGCGTAAAAAAATAATTAGGAAAATCGTGATTCATCTACTCCAACAGTACCCATTCATTCAGATGGGTTTCAAAGGCACCAATTTAAAATCGAGAATTGAAGCTTCGACCGAAATTTGGCCGAGAGCTGCCTATCTTTGGCGTAGTCCGGGCAGTTTGACCAGCAGCAGCGCCAATTTTCTGAAAGCCTTGCATAATATCCACACCCGAGAAGTCGTCGAGGTCATCAGCCAAAAAATCATCGACAAAATAGTCCTCTTGACGGAGGCCAAACGCTTCAAGGTTGAAATTTGGCGAAGCAATTTTCGTTGGCGATGAGAGGTTGAGTAACTTGCTAGGGGATTCCATGGTAGGCGAGGCCATTGACTCAAAGGATTGGTCTGTTGGGTCGTCAAATACTGACAGATGAATGCTCGGAGTCAGTTTAAGAGAAGGTGTAGAAGTCGTGTTCTTGGTAAAGCCATGATTGAAAAGCGGTATGTCAGCCAGGGGGTTGCCCAATCCTCGTGACCGGTCTAATCGAGGTCTCTTCGCGGATCTCTTTTCGGGAGACCTAATGCCAGGGACACTGAGGAAGCTTGCGCTTGTGCCGCTGAAGATATCCAGATCCGCATTGCTGGTTAAATCTTGAAACATATAGCCGCTATCGTCTAGATTAAAGGCTGGGCTCCAGGGAAGATTTTCGTCTAGGCAAGTTACCCCTCTGAGGGGCGAGCCTACCATTTCTCGAACCTTATCACGGTGCATCCTGAGGTTGGTGTTTGGTGATACAGAAGGAGGCGGCCGAACAGGGGCTCTTAGCTTGACTGCTGGAGTAAGTGGTGGCGGCATCTGAGACGACTTCTTTAGAATGGGTTTCCGTAACGGAGATGAAGAAGGAGGAGCAAAGCAAGTTCTATTTTTCGTGGGACTGTCATAGGACGAGCCACGAAGGCGTGCGATCTCCTCTTCTGCACGACCTCGCTTAATTATGGGGCGATCAGCTTCTGAAGTTAGAAGTCGATGAGGCCGTACTGCAGAAGAGTCCAAAGACGAGAAGTACCCGCTGTCATCCATGGATGCAAACTTGCGTTTGTGTGACCGAGTTCTGGAGGACGAGGGGAAGGGTGGCACAGGAGGAGGCGTATGGTGTCGTCTTGGTGCGTGGCGAGCAATAGGGGGGGACGAATGCATAGTTGCCGGGGGTGGTGAGGAGTGAATGAGCGGCGAAGCAGGCATACGTTCTTGAGTTTCTTCTCCCCCCTCTGCTTCAGGAAAGGCATCCGAGGCTGGGATGGTAGCATCAGAAGATATCTCAGGGATCGCAGGGTTTTGGGGCTCCGGCTGGGTATATATTGGTTTTGCCTTCGAAGGCAGTTCTTGAGTTGCTGCTGCAGCCAACGGCTTGAAAACGCGTGAATGAGGAACCTCGGGGGGAGGGGGAGTTGGGCGAGCAGAGAGGATTGGACTATTGTTAATGGGGCCAGCGGATTTCCGAGTCTTTTCCTTGATAAACTGATGCTCCATTCCTGGTTGGATTGCCCAGTAATTACCCTTTCCTTTATCATCCTTTGGCCTTTCTTGCTTGATAAATGCCTTATTGAGACTGAGATTGTGGCGAATACTGTTTTGCCAGCCGGCATCAGTTGCGCCGTAGAATGAATACGTATCGGAGATCCATTTGTAAATCTGGGCTAGCGTGAGACGACGATTGGCCGCCCTTAATATAGCCATGCCAATCAACTGGGCGTAGCTATGAGGAGGCTTCGTTCCATCATCGCGGAGGGCAGGGAACGAATCTGGCGAAGGGAGTTCCATTCCATCTGTAAAGTCTACCCCTTCCTGAAATACCTCCATTTTCGTCCTCTTAAGGGGCCTAGATTCGTGTATCGGTGCGGCATCCATCAATCGCTTTTGCGGGGGCTTTTGGCCGTAAAGACCTTCCAGGGAGAAGCCCATTCCGCCAATTCCATCACTGTATGGTGCTTGGAGATGCGGGTTATACGGTTGTGGGTAATTCTCCTTCTCCGAAGCGCTTGAAAAGGTGGTGAAGAGAGCCTTCTGTGGAGCGGCATTTAGACCTGTCTTGAACTTTGACATCAAGGGCTGTTTCTTTTCCATCGAATCGGTGGTGTACGCCGGTCCTCCGGGGGGTGGCATTGGGACCATATTCAGTTTGTTGCCGAAGGAGGCTCTCGATGGCGAGCTATACGTTTGCTGAGCACTCTTCAGCGGTGACTGCTTGCTTGGGCCAACTCGTGGCGGGTTAAGTACGATATTCCTCCTCGACGCGGCATTTTTTATCGGGCGTAGGGGCGAGGTTTTCTTGGAATTGGAGGCGTTTTTTGATGAAGGCATCGGTGCATGATCGAACGAAGTCGCGGGATCTTGGTAGATTTGCATCGGCTGCGAATAACGCGTCGACGACATCGTGAAGAGTCGACGACGCGAGGTCGTCAGAAAGGGTCAACGTGAGCTCGACGCGAGGGGTTTCCGGATCAGTAGGTTCCAGCGAAATGTGAAATGAAGAATACGAATGCAACTAAAAGAGCTTCTTGATTAGTTGTTTGCAAAATGGTGATGGTGAGCCCCGCTGAGTAGCCTTTCTATGAGGATCTTTGCATGCTGTGTGGGGGGGG